ATATTCGCATACCACCAGCCCATGTATTGACCTTTTAGAGTGTTAATTAGCGGCGTTGAGAATGATCAGCACAATAACACATATGTATCCCAAAAGTAACATAACGAATAAGTATAAGACAAACTGGCCTGCTGTCATTTGAGAAGAAGTATGTAATGAATTTCCAACGATTGGTCCTCAATATGGAGTTCTATAGAAGACATCGCATTTCGTGATACAAAGAATGTGCGTGGCTTATTTATTTAATTTTTTTTCGAGAGAAACAAAGGCAGCTTCACCAAGTTGAAAATGTCTACAGTTAAAGTTTTTATCATCCAACAGTTGTTTTTTTCTTCTTAGGCTTTTAACCATACCACTTGACCGCAAAGTAAACGAACGTTGCTATAAAGAGACACAGAATAATGACACCGATGAGAATCGGAACTCTTTTCGAGGCACGCTGCGCTCCGTCGATGCCTCCATCACCAAGCTCACGTGGGCGCGTCTATAGAAGAAAACAAAAATAGCCAAAATGAAGACGGAAATTTTACCCAAGTATTTTAACTTGCATGCCCAATATTAATGATTATATAACTGACATGCAGATCCTTGTCATTTGATTGGTGGAACTCACATCACGTGTCATTCGTTATTGCTCCCATTAAATGCCATGAGACATACTTTTGAACAGTGTTATTAGGATCATCATTCTTGTGCGGTATATTTGTGTGCAGTTAATGTATGCTGATGTGCGCGTTCCAAAGAGTTTGCGCTACAACGTTTGGTTCAAACATTTTTTCTGAAGGGGTGGTTTGGAAGAGGGAAATACATTTTCCACCAATTTTGTATTGAAATAAAAGAAACAAAATCAAATGGCAAGGATCTAGTCAGTTATATAAAACAAATATTGAGTGGCTTTACATTTTGAAATGGGAGGAATATTATCGCTCGGTAAAATTTGGACTTTTCCCGTTCACTATAGGCTATGCCTCGTGAAATGGAAAAGTCCAGATTTTACCTTGGTATAATGTTCCTCCCAATCCACGCTTAGCCACTCAATGTTTGTATAATGGCCTATTATGAGCTTTCTAGATTTTGTTTATATAGAGCGATCCGAATTGGGAGCGCACCGCTCGAGGTCATGAAAACGAGGTTGTCTATACCCTCAAATTGTACGATAAAACCTACCGCACAACACATGATCAGGCTTACAAGCGTTCCAAACGGGGCTGGAAGGCAACAACCCAGTGCAGTTCCAGCTACCTCTGCGTAAGGATTTGGGGTGTCGTCAGGGGTGCGAACATTCACTACACAGGGCGCCACCTGTAAATGGCAAACGAGAATGCACGTTTTAGATCAGCCTATTTCGTACGTTACGACGACTTCACAATAATGTTCATGGCAGGAATTTCTCTGAGGAACATATACTTCGTGCAACTTTCTACTCCTCTTAAAGGCATGACAAAAATATTTCACATGATCCCCTATTGATGAAATTGTATTGAAAATTGCACTTCGTTAAACATTAAACATATAATCTTTTTTTCCGGACAACTGAGGGCGCTGTTGCTTGATGTCACTACCAGCTTTGATGTTACGTCAGGAAGACACCGTTCAGTTTTTCTGGGATTTCTGTTCAGATTGTGACCCCTAACAGTTTTTTCTTATTATAAATGTGTGTAAAGTTCGCTCACTGGTTTACGGCCATGTACCGGCACAACAACGAATCACCAAATAAAAGGATATTTACGATAGCAACACATCCAAAATTCTGGTAACTTTTGGTGCTGAAATAGCTGTAAAAGTGAGGTTTTTATGCCTGAAATGACATCACACTTTTACTTGTGAATACAGTTTAGTCAAGATGTGAACATGAACACTTTCGAAGGTGCCGATTAGAAAATCATGTGCAAAGTCTACGGGATTTAGGATAGAACAAGAAGAAGAAAAAAAGAAGAAAAAAAGAAAAATAGAAGAAAAAAGTATGGCTTTTCTGCCATTGATGGCGAACAAGCAAATTACATTGCATAAACCCTCTAAGCTTCCTAGCAGACTGAAGTTGAACTTGAATTAAGTAGGGCCTACTTACATTCGCGTAAAATTGCTGAGGCTGAGGGTAACTGGTCGGTGTGCCACCTAGAGGTCCGCCGAAGTTAGGTGGTGGGGGCGGAGCATAAACTTGCCCCGCTGGGAGCCCAGCAATGGGATAAGCCGTGGCATTATTCTCAAACCGTGTGTAACCTGAAAGACACAATTAAAAGACGGAATCCGTAAGTGACGGTTCCTGCGTCGAGTAAAATATCAGGAAATTGTCAAATGACCGACAAGAATGCAAATTCTTTTGTTTTTGTCGTAGTTGCTTTGCTGCATGGTCGATGGTTGTAGTAAGTGTGTTTTTTGCGGTTGTCGTCGATATTAACTGTCACAATTGTTTCGTAGCTATAGCTACCAATTGTCGCTATTGTTACAGTTGTTGTTGCCTCAAATGTCGTCATTGTCGTGGTTGACAATATTGTCGGTTGTCACTTTTGTCGCTGTTGTTGCTCTAGTCGCTGTCGTCGTTGTTACATAAAAATTGTCTGCTGTAGGACCCTCAGTGTCTTTCAAGCTCTTCAATTGTGAACAAATTATGGCAGCATCAAAAACTTTATTCAAACGTACGTTTAAATTTGACACTCCCATATGAACAGGCGAAATCTGCCTTAGGTTTGAGTTTTGTCTCTTGGTCAAGCCCGTGCGTATAAATCTGCCAATAAATAATAATAATAATACCGAAGTCTATAATAATACCAACAATTAGGTACTCAAGGTGCAGGAAATTATGACTATTATTAGAGACAGGTAAATGAACTACATGAGAAATATGAGAACCATTATAAAGCACCTTTATAATGGTTTACAAGGTGCTGCGGCGCATTAAGCAGCCACTGCCAGAAACACCGGGGCAAACCCTTTCTCTTGGCGATAAGTGTTACTGGGTTCTTTAACGTGCATTACACAACACACGGGACCTACGGCTTCACGTCCCATCCGAAGGACGAAGCAATAATGGTAAAGCGCCTTGCTCAAGAGCACAAGCACCATGTTCCCACGGTCAGGATTCGAATCCGTGTACCACGGCACACGAGTCGAACACCGTAACCATTGGACCACAGCGCCCCACATTCCGGAAAGAATGCTGCAACCTGACGATTCTTGTTTTCTTCATAATCTCAATGAAGGTCAGTCAGTGCAAAAATGATGATAAAACATGAATCTGGGACTGCAAAAAGAATTCAATTTTGTTAGGAAGTGCTTAGATAATTTTCTTGACTCTCCATATACTTTGTACACAACCGCTGAAGTAGCGTCAGGTTGTAACATTCTTTCCCAAATTCTTCCATGATCAGACGAAGTTAGTCCTTACCTGTTGCCATTTTTTTTCAGTTTTTTTTTCCAACCGTTCAGAGCATAGACGAAACACTCCTTGTCCGGTGTGCTGCAGTCTGGTTTATGGTAGGCCAATACACCCAGCAAGTTGCTTTTAATCCTACGATTCGTCACTGCTATTTTCGTCACGTAGGTCATAGCTATACATAGGTCAGCAGGAGGTATTGTGAGATGTAGGTATTCAGATCCAGTGCAGGTGTTGTGACCCGCCAGACATAAAAAACCAGACCTTTTCTTGTTCGGTGGATTTTTTTGCATTATACATATGCACTTTGTACATAACCTTCAAACCAGACACGAGTCCATAGCATTACAGAAGGAGAAATCAACGGCCTCATCAATGCAAAAGCAGGACAATTACAAACTTCGAGTTGTTACAATTTTGGAAATAGGCCAAATGCCACAAATGAAACATGATTTCTGTTTTTACTTAAATGTCTGCGTTTTATTGATACATTAAGACGCTTTTATTTTGCGATTTTTTTTTTAACAATGTTCAACATTTGGGCAGTTATCTAAACTAAAATTAAATAATTAATGAGTACACAAAAACATCTTAATTTAACTGAGTCATCCGATTTCCACTACGACAAAAATTTGATGAACCAGTTTTTTTGGTAATCAGTTATATTGTAGCAACCAACTTTTATATTTCTTTTGGTGGAAATTATTAACTTTAAACCATTTAAAGCCTTATTAAAAAAATGACGGCTGAAGTATGCCTGCTTGAATAGTCTGGCACAGCCATTATTATTTTTTGGTGCAACATATTTGTTTAAATATGAAATACATATTTTTTTTTGGGGGGGGGGGGTTTGGGTTTCGTGTTTGTTTTACTCACCCTGTACATGTATATAGTACATTAACAATAATGTTGTGCATATCATTGATTATTGTTACGTTTCCCTGAAGATTGTAAGGCCCCCCTGCCAATTAATAATAATAATAATAATACCGAAGTCTTATATAGCGCACGTATCTACCAACAATTAGGTACTCAAGGTGCAGGAAATTATGTCTATTATTAGAGACAGGTAAATGAAGTACATGAGAAATATGAGAACCGTTATGTAGCACCTTTACAAGGTGCTGCAGCGCATTAAGCAGCCACTGCTGCCAGAAACACCGGGGCAAACCCCTTCTCTTGGCGATAAGTGTTACTGGTTCTTTAACGTGCATTACACAACACACGGGACCTACGGCTTCACGTCCCATCCGAAGGACGAAGCAATAATGGTAAAGCGCCTTGCTCAGGAGCGCAAGCACCATGTTCCCACGGTCAGGATTCGAACCCGTGTACCACGGCACACGAGTCGAACACCGTAACCATTGGACCACAGCACCCAACTCTCGGAAAGGATGTTGCAACCTGACGATGCTTCTTTTCTTCACAATCTCACTGAAGGTCAGTCATTGCAAAAATGATGATTAAACATGAATCTGGGACTGCAAAAAGAATTCAATTTTGTTAGGAAGTGCTTAGATAATTTTCTTGACTCTATGCATATACTTTGTACACGACCGCTGAAGTAGTGTCAGGTTGTCACATTCTTTCCCCAATTCCTCCATGATCAGACGAAGTTAGTCCTTACCTGTTGCCATTATGTCAGCCTCAAGTTCAGTGATCTCAATACAAAAATCAAACTGTTCAGAGCATAGACGAAACACTCCTTGTCCGTTGCGCTGCAGACTGGTTTATGGTAGGCCAAATTCACTGGAATGTTGAAATGTCCAGAGCACGTTGTGCCAGATCACGAGAAAGCGAGTCATCTTTCTGGCAGCAATTGTACAATAGTCCCTACTTGGGAAATCTCTGTTCTCATATGCACGAGACCAACTATTACAAAAGATTAAAGGGAATATACATCATTTGCTTTTGCTGCAACAATTGTACAATAGTCCCTACTTGGGAAATCTCTGTTCTCATATGCACGAGACCAACTATTACAAAAGATTAAAGGGAATATACATCATTTGCTTTTGCTGTAATTTTCAGAAATGGATGGAATTGGGGGGTTGGAAATATATAGCAAATATAGTTACACTGACTTTTTTGAGGTTTTGGGTTCGAAGATGCCATAAAAACCAAGAAAACAATCATTTTCCTGTAGTCTGGTTTCCTGACTCCATTTAAGAAGAAACAGAGCAGTTTACATATATTGGGAAATTGTAAGGTCAGGGAACCAGTCTAGCTGGCTTGTACCCGTTCATACATGTAGGTGTGTAATCGATTGCAAACAAGTGCTACATGTATGGTCAACTGGGGCCAGTATTTGAAAAAAAGCCATTTTTTTCCAACGCCTATCGGCCGGTCAGCGTTGGAAATTGAAACAAAAATACCACTTTTCTTGAAATGACAGTATAACAGGTGCCATGATTTTCCAGGATGCTTTACACTGCCATTCACTAACAGTCCAGCAAAATATTTCAAAATGATTTGGTAGTTTTATTTTTTGATGTTTGCAAATGTTGTATTTTCCCTTTAAAGGATGGGCAAACTAGAGCCCGCGGCACACCGCAAACAGAAGTCGATAGAATCGTACCCTCCATCGCCAGGCACCCTTTGTTGTCGATTATGCAAATATGGACTAAACCACGCCACCGAAAACTCAAAATGAAGCTGAAAAGGGTGCACCCCTGCATTGATATTCCCATGGAGACTAGTGCTAAATGTGCATACTTCAAAAATCTGTTTTAAAATACTCGGAACTCTCACAGGTATTTAAGCTGCACAGAAAAATGATGATCATCGTGTCAGCTTTCATTTACTTTTTATTTTTTGGTGGCTTGACCATTGACTTTTCGAGGAATTCTCACCCAAAGATGACGACCCCTAAAGAAGCCATCTGGAACGATCCCTCCACAACTGACATCATGGCAAAATGGTGCCACTTTGAGCTCAATTGCATCCAAAATGCTCAGAATTGAAAGCCCAATATGCCACAAATAATACACATCCCTAGATTGTGCAGCTAGTTATGTGAATAGAATTCTTAACCTACAAAAACGGGCATTGAGAGTTATTAATTCTGTTGACAGACTTGAACATTCAAATCCTCTTTTCTGTAAACATAAAACACTCAAGGTCAATGACATTTATTCACTTCAGCTTGGAGCCTTCATGCATCGTTTGAATAATAATTTACTTCCAAATCCCATAGCACAAATGTTCTGCAGAAACGAAACTATACATCACCATTTTACCCGACAACGTAGAGAATTTCACTTTTCATTTGCAAGAACAACTGTTTATAAAAAGACAATTAGGCATGAAGGCCATATATATATAAGTACTGGAAGTCCTTACATAAATCACTCCAGGGCACTCGTAGCCTTCTATTATTTAAATCCAAACTTAAATCGAATTTATTATCAAATTATAATAGCTCAGATTAATCTTCTTACTGGGTTACTACTCTGTATTTCTTTTTTTTTTCTTATCAGCAATATTATGTTTTTCCGTGTGTTATGTACAATTTAAAATGTACACGTTCAATTGTTTTTCATTTGTTTTTCATTAAATGTTTGTATTAATCCATGTTAAAGGGGATCTCTACTCGACAAGCTCCGCTTTTTGGGGATCCCCTTCCACCATCTCTAATTAGAAAATAATGCGTCCAAAGTGTACAAATATATTTTGTAAAACAAGCTCAAACTTTATAATACCCAAAACTACAAGTATGTATTTATGCCTTGTCACATTATGAAATGAGATGTGGTAAAAAGTAATAAAGAATGAATGAATGAATGATTAGAATCTTATTTCCGTATTTTATTGAAACATGCGCCCAATTTATTATTATTTTTTTAATAATTTTTACAGTTAATGTTAAAAAGGTCGGTTGTTACTCAGTAACTGAAAAAAAAAATTAATAGGGAAAAACACAAAATGAGCACATACGACACCAGGATGTTTCTTTTCTTACTATACGGGGTGAGTAAAAAACACGAAACCCTTATGCTGGGACCATTGTTTTAGTGAAGTTCTGCATGTAGCCCTTCCAAAATCTAGGATATTAAAGCCCCTTGGTTGATAGAGGACTGATCTGAGTAGGCTCTGCACCGAGAGCAAAGGAAGAGAAAGAATCCTGCTGTAGGAAGCTGATCAACTGAGATCCCTTCCTTACTAGTGCTGGCTTCAGCACGGCTGCGTCTTCACTCATCTCTAAGCATTCCTTGGCAGGGGTATGTGACTGTGACGTTTCAATAGAAAGAGGACTACAACATCACTGCCTCCACAATAATAACATATGCATCTTTCTGTATCCTTCATTGTTATTCAATCCTAAAATTACTGTTTTTGTACATATCCTTTTTTTAATATTATGTATGACGAACACAACCAAAAACAACACTGTTTTTAATGTAATTGCAAAATTACAATTTAGGATAATGTAGGTTATGATCCTTCCAAACGTCGCATCGCACAATTGTTTTTTTTTCTTCATCCTTCTTATTAATACAGGAAGGGTGTATCAAGCTTCAAAAGGAAAGCAAATTAGCCAGCCGACCTCAGCAAGCTCGGTGGTCGAGTGGTAAGACGTCTGCATTAGTAAGCAGGAGGTCGTGGGTTTGGTCTTTCCCTTTCGTTGGGGGAAATACATGGAATGCATTTTTTTCCAACTGAGCAAGGCTAGGACAAGTACCATTAACTGAAGCCGGGTAATCAACTGTCGTCAATAGCCCCATGACAATAACAGCTAGGGATTCAACTATGCTCTAATTGCATCCCTGGATGCACAGAATGAAAGGCTATCGCCCTGCAGAAATCCATACAGATGCAAAGAAACCAACACAATACATTACCTCAGAAAAATCCCTCTTGGTATTGCACAATACATGCAGGGAAAGCACCGACATAGATGAAAGCGTGCGTCACTTTAACATGAATGTAGGAACACTTGTGTACGCATTTCATATCCAAATAGAATATCGTGGGAATCATACATTTCAAGGCTCTCATATGGTAAATGTATTAGGTCATTGTTTCATTAATTTAATATAATAACATCTATTATTGTTATTAATCACTCTTTCAATTAATCGTTAAGGGGAATACCCAGTACAAGCTTCGGCTTTTTGTCTGACCTCCCCATGCTATTATTTAAGGTTCCGTTAAAATTTGCCCAAATTTACAGTATTCAACTTAACTTATAGTGTGGACATAAAATTGAAACTGAACCTGAACCTGAACCTAAAAAGCCCAAATTCCAATATGATTTTTTACCATACTGTGCAAAGAATCTATTTAAACAATTGCACCCTCCACAAAAAGTGTCGTTTGCAGCTATTTAGCTACAAGGGAGTAACCAAAAAAGCACTTTTAAAATCAAACATGCATACATGTACACATACATGGTAGTTCTATTTATAATACATTGTATAATGCTAAATGCAGCAACATGCAACATCTGTTGAAATGACAAGCCTGTTCAGTGTAGCAAGATATCCATCATGTCAAAAGTCTCAAGGCCAAATGCCTCAGAGTCTGTGGTCACCGAATGCAGCAGGATACAACTGTTGCAAGTGGCTGCACTGTTTTCAACTTCTTAAAGAATCCGACATTTTTCAGTAGAAAGAAGAAACCAAAGCAAAACAATACAAAATAAAATCAAACATAAGCTTATACTTAATAGTCTAAAGATTATGCTTAATAGTCTAAAGTAGGGCTAATGCTCAATGCTCAATGTTTATTAAACGAAGTCAGGAAATCAGATCGAGGATTTTGGGGGATGTTGAGAAGTTGTAGTCCACGAATTTCAAGAGGGATGTGGGGTGGGGGCTCAATTGTTTTAATCAACCTCAAGGTTGATGTTATGAGCAACGAATTGAGCTTTGCAATCATGTTTGAGTTTGCACAATTGGACATTGGGGATTGTTTTCAGTTATGTTTAAACAACACTGTTTACTGTTTATATGAACTACAGAAAGCATAAGATCATGTGACCATAACAGATGGTTTTGACATTCACACAGGATACAAATTTCCTTATTGGCACACAGTCTCTATAGCTGGCACACATAATTCCCATTTGGTTTTCATTTGAAGCAGCAAAAGTGCTCAGTTTCTTAATCAGGGTGCATAACACCTAACCTGCAGAACCTTTAGTTCAGTAAGTACTACATATTTTGAGAAAACAGTGGCAACTCCATTGGCTTCGTATCGGATTCCGTTGCTAATGTATGTTATAAAAGCGAGCCAACATGCACCCTCTTTGTGAAGCAACAGTCAGTGTTTGTTTTGTTTACAAGTATAGCATTTCAGTGTATCTTGTGAAAAATTTCACAAGGTATTTGATACCAGTCTATCTACAGTTGCAGCAAGGTTTCTGTCATTAAATCGGCCGGTACTCTACATGAATTTGGAACGCTACGTAAATTTATAGCAAAGTGATCCGAAGATATGCAGGGTTATGTTACAGCATCAGGCTATACAACTGTGAGGCTGCACATCTATGATATTCACTTTCAAAGCATGCATGTATGTATACACATATAGATCTTTCAGATATCAGCAATTACAGTGAATGCACAAGTAAAACAAGACGAGCAATATTTCTGAGAAAAAAAGTAATATTTTTCAGAACGAATTAAATGAAAATTTAGATTCATGCAGGAACAGGAAGTTTATTGCATACCAGTATTAAAGGATCCAATATCATTTTGCTTTATTAATTCAAAAGCAAACTTTGGTCCAGTAATTTTCCACACATGACAAACTGTGAGAAATCTACAATGTTCACAAAAGCCAAAAAAAGACTTGGACAGCTCCCAGGTAAGCTGTCACCTCGGGTACCCTTCCTTTCTAGTAACCTCTATGGAAATACAGTACTTACCTGTGTATTGCACAATACAGGGGAATCCCTGCTGATGAAATACTAGCAACAAACGTAGGTCATGTATACATTGATAACCAAGGGACTATATACACAAACTACTTACAGGCAGCCAATGGGTATATTTTGACATGACTAGAACCCAGTGAGATATTAAAGGTAAACAAGTTTCCAATGCTTGCTGCATAAGATTGGTTGCATTTTTGTGCAATTATACTGTTCGCGACTTCTACATTATTCCGAAAAAAAAACATAAAGTGAAGAGATCCACCGATGAAACACGTCCTGTTTTTCATTTCAGGAAATGATGATAGGCTTTTCTTTTAGAGGGGTGGTGAACATTTGTGTAAGTTGGAGGAAACAATATATTCCAAATACCATATCTTGAGATAACTGTAAGTATTACTTGTACATGTACAAAAAAAGCGTTTGCAAACAAGTGCTACATGTATGGTCAACTGGGGCCAGTATTTGAAAAAAAGCCAATTTTTTTCCAACGCTGATCGGCCGGTCAGCGTTGGAAATTGATACAAAAATACCACTTTTCTTGAAATGACAGTATAACAGGTGCCATGATTTTACAGGATGCTTTACACTTTCATTCACTAACAGTCCAGCAAGGTATTTCAAACTGATTTGGTAGTTTTATTTTTGATGTTTGCAAATTTTGTATTTTCCCTTTAAAGAATGGGCAAACTAGAGCCCGCGGCACACCGCAAACAGAAGTCGATAGAATCGTACCCTCCATCGCCAGGCACCCTTTGTTGTCGATTATGCAAATATGGACTAAACCACGCCACCGAAAACTCAAAATGGAGCTGAAAAGGGTGCACCCTTGCATTGATATTCCCATGGAGACTAGTGCTAAATGTGCATACTTCAAAAATCTGTTTTAAAATACTCGGAACTCTCACAGGTATTTAAGCTGCACAGAAAAATGATGATCATCGTGTCAGCTTTCATTTACTTTTTATTTTTTGGTGGGTTGACCATTGACTTTTCGAGGAATTCTCACCCAAAGATGACGACCCCTAAAGAAGCCATCTGGAACGATCCCTCCACAACTGACATCATGGCAAAATGGTGCCACTTTGAGCTCAATTGCATCCAAAATGCTCAGAATTGAAAGCCCAATATGCCACAAATAATACACATCCCTAGATTGTGCAGCTAGTTATGTGAATAGAATTCTTAACCTACAAAAACGGGCATTGAGAGTTATTAATTCTGTCGACAGACTTGAACATTCAAATCCTCTTTTCTGTAAACATAAAACGCTCAAGGTCAATGACATTTATTCACTTCAGCGTGGAGCCTTCATGCATCGTTTGAATAATAATTTACTTCCAAATCCCATTGCACAAATGTTCTGCAGAAACGAAACTATACATCACCATTTTACCCGACAACGTAGAGAATTTCACTTTTCATTTGCAAAAAGACAATTAGGCATGAAGGCCCTATATATTAGTACTGGAAGTCCTTACATAAATCACTCCAGGGCACTCGTAGCCTTCCATTATTTAAATCCAAACTTAAATCGAATTTACTATCAAATTATAATAGCTCAGATTAATCTTCTTATTGGGTTACTACTCTGTATTTCTTTTTTTTCTGATCAGCAATATTATGTTTTTCCGTGTGTTATGTACAATTTAAAATTAATACGTTCGATTGTTTTTCATTTGTTTTTCATTAAATGTTTGTATTAATTACAAATATATTTTGTAAAACAAGCTCAAACTTTATAATACCCAAAACTACAAGTATGTATTTATGCCTTGTCACATAATGAAATGAGATGTGGTAAAAATAATAAAGAATGAATGAATGAATGATTTGAATCTTATATCCGTATTTTATTGAAACATGCGCCAAATTTATTATTTTTTTTAAAATAATTTTTACAGTTAATGTTAAAAAGGTCGGTTGTTACTCAGTAACTGAAGAATCAATTAATAAAAAAACACAAAATGAGCACATACGACACCAGGATGTTTCTTTTCTTACTATACGGGGTGAGTAAAAAACACGAAACCCTTATGCTGGGACCATTGTTTTAGTGAAGTTCTGCATATGTAGCACTTTCAAAATCTAGGATATGAAAGCCCCTTTCATAAGCTTTCTTTTGGTACAAGAATCACTCAAATCACTCATGTACTTTTCAAGTTACGTAATTTTATACACAACCGCCGTTTTAAGGCTCTGTCCGCGGATCACAAAAAGGTCAGTGTTGTTTCAGCAAAACGAAAAGAAATCACATAGAGATGTGTGTGAATTGTTTTCGTTTTGCTGAAGGAACATAATCCTTTTTGTGATCCACGGATTAATTTTATTCAATTAATTTCCATTAATGAAATTGGCTTTCCAGCCATTATTATTTTTTGGTGCAACATATTTGTTTAAATATGAAATACATATTTTAATATTTTTTTGGTTTGGGTTTCGTGTTTGTTTCACTCACCCTGTACATGTATATAGTACATTAACAATAATGTTGTGCATATCATTGATTATTGTTATGTTTCCCTGAAGATTGTAAGGCCCCCCCCCCCCAAAAAAAAAAAAACACCCAAAAAACAAGGAAACTAATAAAGGTACAGACTGAATTCAATACTGGACAAACTCAAGCTAAATTTACGATTACAATCGGTGTTATTTTATTCAATAGACCGCTTGCAGACGCGTTCGATAATCGACGCGCGAAGGCGCACGACGCCATGTTGTGGGACAAGCGCATATCTATCCATGCACATTTTGTCCCACAACATAGCGTCGCGCACCTTCGCGCGTCAATTATCGAACGCGTCTGCAAGCGGTCTATATGGCAAATTCAGATTAATACCTATATACACATTTATTTAAAGAATAACAATTTGCAATTATATATCATTGAACATTGGGTAAAATACAATATTTTGTAAAGAATATTATTATTTCAAGTATGAAACTTATCGCATAAGGGTTCTGACAAAATTAACAATGGTCTTAAAGTAGAAAATACCCTTTTGAAAAATTATATATATATATATAAAACAATTACCTATTTAATACAAATGTATCGAAAAATATGCATACAGATTCTCACGGACGAATAAATATTTGGTAAACAAATCTGCGTTGGCCTTTACAGTATTCTATACGGAGATTTTTATTTTCTTTCCTTATACCTGCAACTCCTCATTTCGATCAGAACGCTTCACATTTATCCCACAAGTAAGTTACCGAATTATTGTCAAAAGCTCTGAGTTGGGTTAAAGATCTTGTTGGTACTATTAAAACGTCCTCTGGGTTGCTGTCATTTTAAGAAGAATTCAAAAAAGGTGAGGGCTTTCAAACGATCCGTCAAGTTGACTCTGGTTGGAATTAAGTTTCTACACTGTATAAAATACAGGGTGAGTAAAAAAAAAACCCACGAGACCTAAATGTCGGGACCATTGTTTTAGTGAAGTTCTTCATGAAGCACTTTCCAAAATCTAGGATATGAAAGCCCAATTTATAGGCTTTCTTTTAGTACAAGAATCATTCAAATCATTCATGTACTTTTCGAGTTTTAAACACAACTACCACTTTAAAGTTCTGTCTATGGATCACAAAAAAAAGGATTGCGTTCTTTCAGCAAAACAAAAACAATTCACACACATCCCTATGTGATTTGTTTTCGTTTTGCTGAAAGAACACTGAACTTTTTTTGTGATCCGTGGACAGAACCTTAAAACGGTGATTGTGTTTAAAACTCCGTATCTTAAAAAGTACATAAGTGATTCGAATAGTTTTTGTACTAAAAGAAAGCTTATGAATTGGGCCTTTTATATCCTAGATTTTGAAAGTGCTACATGCAGAACTTTACTAAAACAATGGTCCCGACAGTTGGGCTTCGTTTTTTTTTACTCACCCTGTATAGGGCAAATAAATCGTTGGGCTAGATACAAACAACGCATGTAAAGCAAGTTTGCCCAATAGTTGAACTTGTTTACTATTCGTACATAGTAGGTGGAATAATCAGCACATTTCGCCATCTTTTTTTGTTTACAGTGTATACACGAAATCGCCTTTCGTGATATCAAAAGCTTATGCATATGCATATGCATGGTATGTACTATTTTCTCGGGGACAAAACATGAAGTGTCTTAACTGAGTTGAAAACGACTACATGTTATAGGTTTTGAACATTTAACAGTTTAGATTTTGAACAGTCTTCTTTAAACTTCCAGTTGTGTTGTTGGAATTAAAACCAGCAACATGAATGAAAAGCTTTATAATATATGCCTTTATATTCGCATACCACCAGCCACTGTACTGGCCTTTTAGAGTGTTAATTAGCGGTGAGAATGATCTGCACAATAACACTTAACATGTATCCCAAAAGTAACATAACGAATAAGTATAATAAAAAAAACCTTGCTTGCTGTCATTTGAGAAGAAATGTGTAATGAATTTCTAACGACTGGTCAATAGGGAATTCTATAGACGAAATCACATTTCGTGATATAAAGAATGTGCGTGGCTTATTTATTTTATTTTTTTTTCGAGAAAAACAAAGCTTCACCGAGTTGGAAATGTCTACAGTTACTTATTACCCATCATATAGATTACTACAATGACCACAGAGATAACGACCGTTACTAAGACACACACAACAATCGGAATAGTTTTCGAGGTACGCCGTGCACCGTCGTTGCCTCCACCATGCTCACGTGTGCTCGTCTATAGAAGAAAACAAAAATAGCCAAAATTAAGACGGAAATTTTACCCAAGTATTTTAACTTGCATGCCCAATATTAATGATTATATAACTGACATGCAGATCCTTGTCATTTGATTAGTGGAACTCACATCACGTGTCATTCGTTATTGCTCCCATTAAACGCCATGAGACATACTTTTGAACAGTGTTATTAGGATCATCATTCTTTTGCGGTATATTTGTGTGCAGTTAATGTATGCTGATGTGCGCGTTCCAAAGAGTTTGCGCTACAACGTTAGGTTCAAACATTTTTCCTGAAGGGGTGGTTTGGAAGAGGGAAATACATTTTCTACCAATTTTGTATTGAAATAAAAGAAACAAAATCAAATGGCAAGGATCTAGTCAGTTATATAAAACAAATATTGAGTGGCTTTAAATTTTGAAATGGAGGAATATTATCGCTTGGTAAAATTTGGACTTTTCCCGTTCACTATACTGCCTCGTGAAATGGAAAAGTCCAGAATTTACCTTGGCATAATGTTCCTCCCAATCCACGCTTAGCCACACAATGTTTGTATAATGGCCTATTATGAGCTAATAGATTTTGTTTATATAGAGCGATCCGAATTGGGAGCGCACCGCTCGAGGTCATGAAAACGAGGTTGTCTACCCTCAAATTGTACGATAAAACCTACCTGAGACGACATGGTCAGGCTTAAAAGCGTTCCAAACGGGGCTGGAAGGCAACAACCCAGTGCAGTTCCAGCTACCTCTGCGTAAGGATTTGTGGTGTCGACAGGGCTGCGAACATTTACTACACAGGGCGCCACCTGTAAATGGCAAACGAGAATGCACGTTTTAGATCAGCCTATTTCGTACGTTACGACGACTTCACAATAATGTTCATGGCAGGAATTTCTCTGAGGAACATATACTTCGTGCAACTTTCTACTCCTCTTAAAGGCATGAAAAAAATATTTCACATGATCCCCTATGAAATTGTATTGAAAATTGCACTTCGTTAAACATTAAACATGTAATCTTTTTTTTTGGACAACTGAGGGCGCTGTTGCTTGATGTCACTACCAGCTTTGATGTTACGTCAGAAAGACGCTGTTCAGTTTTTCTGGGATTTCTGTTCAGATTGTGACCCCTAACAGTTTTTTCTTATTATAAATGTGTGTAAAGTTCGCTCACTGGTTTACGGCAATGCACCGGCACAACAACGAATCACCAAATAAGAGGATATTTACGATAGCAACACATCCAAAATTCTGGTAACTTTTGGTGCTGAAATAGCTGTAACATTGAGGTTTTCTGCCTGAAATGACATCACACTTTTACTCGTGAATACAGTTTAGTCAAGATGTGAACATGAACACTTTCGAAGGTGCCGATTAGAAAATCGTGTGCAAAGTCAACGGGATTTAGGATAGAACAAGAAGAAGAAAAAAAAGAAGAAAAAAAGAAAAATAGAAGTAAAAAGTATGGCTTTTCCGCCATTGATGGCGAACAAACAAATTACATTGCATAAACACTCTTAACTTCCTAACAGACTGAAGTTGAGCTATAATTAAGTAGGGCCTACTTACATTCGCGTAAAATTGCTGAGGCTGAGAGTAACTGGTCGGTGTGCCACCTAGAGGTCCGCCGAAGTTAGGTGGTGGGGGCGGAGCATAAACTTGCCCCGCTGGGAGCCCAGCAATGGGATGGGGCGTGGCATCATTCTCAAACCGTGTGTAACCTGAAAGACACAATTAAAAGAAGGAATCCGTAAGTGACGGTTCCTGCGTGGAGTAAAATATCAGGAAATTGTCGTATGACCGACAAGAATGCAAATTCTTTTGCTTTTGTCGTAGTTGCTTTGCTGCATGGTCGATGGTTGTAGTAAGTGTGTGTTTTTTTTGCGGTTTTTTGCGGCTTTTTTAACATGCATTACACAACACACGGGACCTACGGCTTCACGTCCCATCCGAAGGACGAAGCAATAATGGTAAAGCGCCTTGCTCAGGAGCGCAAGCACCGTGTTCCCACGGTCAGGATTTGAACCCGTGTACCACGGCACACGAGTCGAACACCGTAACCATTGGACCACAACAACCCACATTCCGGAAAGAATGTTGCAACCTGACGATGCTTGTTTTCTTCATAATCTCAATGAAGTTCAGTCATTGCAAAAATGATGATAAAACATGAATCTGGGACTGCAAAAAGAATTCAATTTTGTTAGGAAGTGCTTAGAGAATTTTCTTGACTCTCCATATACTTTGTACACAACCGCTAAAGTAGTGTCAGGTTGTAACATTCTTTCCCCAATTCCTCCATGATCAGACGAAGTTAGTCCTTACCTGTTGCCATTATGTCAGCCTCAAGTTCAGTGATCTCAAGACAAAAATCCAACCATAAAGAGCATAGACGTAGCACTCCTTGTCCGGTGCGCTGCAGTCTGGTTTATGGTAGGCCAATACACCCAGCAAGTTGCTTTTAATCCTACGATTCGTCACTGCTATTTTCGTCACGTAGGTCATAGCTATACATAGGTTAACAGTAGGTATTGTGAGATGTAGGTATTCAGATCCAGTGCAGGTGTTGTGACCCGCCAGACATAAAAAACCAGACCTTTTCTTGTTCGGTTGATTTTTTGGCATTAGGCCATAAAAAATAATAATATTCGGTCTCTGGTCAGACCGAAGTTCCGGAATTGACGCGGGGACGCGGCTTTTTTTTTTTTCTTCAAGCTTGGATTGTACAGACAAGGTGGGGTACTATTTTGCTTTTTTGGTGTCATGTTCATTGGTGTCCTCCATAATTTGCCTTGGTGCTCTCGATCATTTGCCTTGGTGCAATTTCCCATTCCTTGGTGCTCTTTGGTAAGAAAAATTGAGGAGGTGCGGCAATAGAGGGCGCTGTTGGAGCTACCGCGGAACATTTTGGGAAAAAAAAAAGATCGACGCACATGATTAAAATCGACGCGCGCGCTGACCAGAGACCGACTTATTTTTTTATTTTTTTGGCCTTATACATAGGCACGTACGAATTTTATCCAAGTGCACTTCCGCCTGAAAAGTACACAGTCAATGAGACTTTGTACATAACCCTCAAACCAGACACAAGTCCATAGCATTACAGAAGGAGAAATCAACAGCCTCATCAATGCAAAAGCAGGACAATTACAAACTTCGAGTTGTCACAATTTTGGAAATAGGCCAAATGCCACAAATGAAACATGATTTCTGTTTTTCTTAAATGTCTGCGTTTTATTGATACATTAAGAAGCTTTTATTTTGCGATTTTTTTTTAACAATGTTCAACATTTGGGCAGTTATCTAAACTAAAATTAAATAATTAATGAGTACACAAAAACATCTTAATTTGACTGAGTCATCCGATTTCCACTACGACATAAAGTTTGATGAACCAGTTTTTTTGGTAATCAATTATATTGTAGCAACCAACTTTTATATTTCTTTTGGTGGAAATTATTAACTTTAAACCATTTAAAGCCTTATTAAAAAAATGACGGCTGAAGTATGCCTGCTTAAATAGTCTGGCACCACTGAACAGTTAACAATTAATTAAATACATTCAGGGAACTCAACAAAAATGGCTAAATTATTGTGCAATAAGGTTCATATACTATAGTCCCTACTTCATGTACGTTGCTATGTCTGGGGAATTTTCAAGGCAGTTGTCAGAACTGCGCTGTCGTGCTCTGTACTCGTAAGCACGGGACACTGACGTCATCAAGGCGGCAGGAGTTTCATATGCTGAACAGAATTCTTAGCATTGTCGACAAAGAATGCAATAGTTGGATTTTGGACGGTTATATACATATGTCGGTCATGTACAAAAGATTCAAGAATGGACAAAACTAGAGCCCTGTGGCACACCGGAAACAGGAGTCCATATATAGGAATCGTACCCTCCACAACCAGGCACCCTTTGTTGGCGATTATGCATTATGGACTAAACCACGCCACCGAAAGGTCAGAATGGAGCTGAAAAGGTTGCACCCCTGCATTGACATTCCCATAGAGAGACTAGTGCTAAATGTGCATAATTCAAAATTCTTTTTAAAATACTCGGAACTCTCACAGGTATTGAAGCTGCACAGAAAAATGATGATCATCGTGTCAGCTTTCAATTACTTTTTATTTTTGGGTGGGTTGACCATTGACTTATTCGAGGAATTCTCACCCCAAAATGACGACCCCTAAGGCCAAAAAAAAAGTCTCCGGTTGCTGGTATGGAGCTTGCCCCAAAAATGGTGCGGCGACGCGGCTTTTTTTTTTTTTTACCTGGTTTTTTTTTTTTTTTTGGCTTCAAATGTCGGCTGATGACTGCAAATGGTGCCCGACTAAACTTAGTGCAAATATATGGGAGTCCAGCGAGGCCACATAAAGCTTATTCTCGATCATAACGCCATCTAAAAACACGTTAAAATTGTGCAGCAGCAGGATTCCAGTCAAACCAGTGAGTTTGGCGGTTTGGAGACATCATCTTGTATTGAAAAAAAAACTTTTTTCATTTTGTCGACGCGCATGGCTGTGGTGACGCGCGCGCATACCAGAAACCGGAGACTTTTTTTTATGGCCTGAGTAGCCATCTGGAACGATCCCTCCACAACTGACATCATGTGAAAATGGTGCCACTTTGAGCTCAATTGCATCCAAAATGCTCAGAATCGAAAGCCCAATATGCCACAAATGAGACACATCCCTAGATTGATTTGAATTTTATATCCGTATTTTATTGAAACATGCGCCCAATTTATTATTATTTTTTTAAATAATTTTTACAGTTAATGTTAAAAAGGTCGGTTGTTACTCAGTAACTGAAGAATCAATTAATAAAAAACCGCAAAATGAGCACATACGACACCAGGATGTTTCTTTTCTTACTATACAGGGTGAGTAAAAAACACGAAATCCTTATGCTGGGACCATTGTTTTAGTGAAGTTCTGCATATAGCACTTTGAAAATCTAGGATATTAAAGCCCCTTTCATAAGCTTTCTTTTGGTACAAGAATCATTCAAATCACTTATGTACTTTTCAAGTTACGTAATTTTATACACAACCGCCGTTTTAAGGTTCTGTCCGCGGATCACAAAAAGTTCAGTGTTGTTTCAGCAAAACGAAAATAAATCACATAGGGATGTGTGTGTGAATTGTTTTCGTTTTGCTGAAAGAACACAATCCTTTTTGTGATCCACGGATTATTTTTATTCAATTAATTTCCATTAATGAAATTGGCTTTCTGGCCATTATAATTTTTTGGTGCAACATATTTGTTTAAATATGAAATACATATTTTTTGTTATTTTTTTTGGTTTTTGGTTTCGTGTTTGTTTTTCTCACCCTGTATATGTATATAGTACATTAACAATAATGTTGTGCATATCATTGATTATTGTAATGTTTTCTTAAGGATTGTAAGGCCCCCCCCCCCCGCCCCCCCCCCAAAAAAAAAAAACAACGACAAAGAAACTAATAAAGGTACAGACTGAATTCAATACTGGACAAACTCAAGCTAAATTTACGATTACAATCGGTGTTATTTTATTCAATATTGGCAAATTCAGATTAATACCTATATACACATTTATTTAAAGAATAACAATTTGCAATTATATATCATTGAACATTGGGCAAAATACAATATTTTGTAAAGAATATTATTATTTGAAGTATGAAACTTATCGCATAAGGGTTTCGACAAATTTCACAATGGTCTTAAGGTAGAAAATACACTTGTAAAAATGTATATATATATATAAAACAATTACCTATTTAATACACTTCTTAAAGACCTGTCACATGTTTATACAAATATTTACCTGATGTAAAATAAATCCGTTCTGTATCCTTATTGCTTTTTCGGCTAATAGGGCCTAGGCAGTAAAAAAAAACCCAGAGGACGTTTTATTCGGTGAGAATGATCAGCACAATAACACTTAACATGTATCCCAAAAGTAACATAGCGAATAAGTATTAAAAAAAAACTGGCTTGCTGTCGTTTGAGAAGCAATATGTAATTGATTTCCAACCATTGGTCCTCAATATGGAGTTCTATAGAAGACATCGCATTCCGTGATACCAAGAATGTTCATGGCTTATTTTTTTTTTTTTCAAGAAAAACAAAGGTTACTTCACCGAGTTGAAAATGTCTACAGTTTTTTTTTCTTTATTTTTCTGTGAACTTCGAGTGGAGTCGTTCGAAACGAGCAAAAAAAAAGCTAAATAATCCTCTCTGATGACGGTATCTCATAAACCGAATCATCATTTAGCCCAGCGGCAGAATTGATCACGACCATCGAAATGATCACCACGATAATGGTCGTTACTATGAGAAACAAAACACTGAGGAGACTGAGAACCAGCGCACTTTTCGAGGCACACCTTGCGCCTTCGATGTCTCCAGCTTGCAAACGTGGGCGCACCTATCGAAGAAAACCAAAAAAGCCAAAATTAAGACATTTTTACAGTATAACTTGTCTGCCAAATACAGAGTGAGTAAAAAAAAAAGAAACCCAAATGGCAGGACCAGTTTTTCAATGAAATTTTACTTGTAGCACTTTCAAAACATACGATACGAAAGCCTAGTCGTTAAGCTTTTTTTTTTAGTACAAGAACCATTCAAATCACTCATGTGCTTTTCAAGTTACCGAATTGGGAACACAAACACCGTTTTCAAGTTCTGTCCACGGATCACAAAAGACGTAGGTGTTATTTCAGCAAAACGAAAACAATTGTTATAGGGATGTGTGTGAATTGTATTTCGTTTTGCAGAAAGAACACTTACCTTTTTTTGTGATTCGTGGACAGAACCTTTAAGATGGTGTTTGTGTTCAAAATTCAGTAACTTGAAAGTACATGAGCGATTTGAATGATTTTTTGTACTAAAAGAAAGCTGATCAATTGGGCTTCTATCCTGCATTTTGAAAGTGCTACAGGCAAAACCTCATTTAAAAATCGGTCCTGTCATTTGGGTTTCGATCTTTTTTTATTCTAGTAAGAGAAAAGTTGTTTAATACCGGTAAACTGTAATTTTGTTTTGATAATAAAATGTATGATGATAGTATTTACACTGGTTCCCGCAGCATATTCAAATTAAACTATTCGGAACCAGCGCGTAGCTTCAAATATGTGTACAGCGCGCAGTGGACTGTATGAGCTCTCTAGATCATATTCTTTTTAAACAGAGCGATCAGACCGAAGCCTGCTATGGGAGCATACTGCTCCAGGTCATGAGGACGAGGTCGTCTATTCCTCGAATTCGAGCGATTCAATATGCAGTGCGCTACGAAGAATTTGCCATTGAGAGTCCATTTTTTCAAGTTTACGGTCGACAAAACACGGCCCATTTGAATGAGTGTCAGCAGGCAACTTAGGTTAATTTGTTATAGATTGGGGCATAGCGTTCTGCCGCCTTACAATAAAAACCCCAACATGCTGGTAAAAAGGAAAGAAAAAGGGCAAACATAATTTATACTCGAATCATTCGCGTACGAAACTACTGACCGGATAAACTAACAATTTCAAATGTCCCGCGCTGCGAAATATTTTGTCGACCATCTCCCACAATGCACTGGGAAAAAGTCCTCTGCGTGGCAAACTCTTAGTGGTGGCGCACGGCATTGTGAATCGCCCGAATTGTACGATAAAACCTACCATGCAAGAAAAGATCAAGGCTGCAATTCCAAACAGGGGGCAGCAGTGCAGAGCCATGACGGCACACCCAATGTAATTCCTGACGACGACCGGGACGCGAACATCTACTACGGTTTGCATGGGCGCCACCTGTGTTAGGCAAACGACAATTCATGTTATAGATCAGCCTATTTCGTACACATTTGTGCCGGTTACGCAGGGGCCTGCCTATAGTTATCTATATACTTCATTGACTCTTGGCTGAAATTCTCATGACTGATTGACTGACTGACTGACTGACTGACTGGGCATGGCTAAATTTCAAGGATTACAAAATGTGAATCCAATTAACCCAGTAGCTATTTAGATATAGGCCCTTGGAATTGCACACTTCAAATGACTTGTGATGACATCATCATTATACGCCCATCCGAGGGAACCATCTTCACCATATGTTTTTCATTGTGTAAAGTTTAGTCAAGATCTGAACATGAACACTTTCGAAAGTGCCGATTAGAAAATCGTGTGCAAAGTCTACGGGATCTAGGATAGAACAAGAATAGAAAAAAAGAAGAAAAAAAAATCAGAAGAAAAAGTATGGCTTTCCCGCCATTAATGGCGAACAAGCAAATTACATTGCATAAGCCTTCTAAATTTCCTGGCAGACTGAAGTTGAACTAGAATTAAGTAGGGCCTACTTACATTCGCGTAAATAGTCTGAGGCTGAGAGCAAATGGCCGGTGTGCTACCTAGAGGTCCGCCGAAGTAAGGTGGGGGCGGGCCATAAACTTGCCCCGCTGGGGGCCCAGCACTGGGATGGGGCGTGGCATCATTCTCAAACCGTGTGTAACCTAAAAGACAACAAAAAAAGGAATCCGTATAAGTGACTGTTCCTGCCTGGAATAAATTAAAGAGGAAATTGTCAAATGACCGACGCGAATGCAAATTCTCTTGTTTTTGTCGTAGTTGCTTTGCTGTATGGTCGATGGTTGTAGTAAGCGTGTTTCTTTGCGGTTGTTGTCGATGTTAACTGTCACAATTGTTTCGTAGTTGTAGCTACCAATTGTCGCTATTGTCGCGTATGTTACAGTTGTCGCTGCCTCAAATGTCGTCTTTGTCGTAGTTGTCACCATTGTCGGTTGTCACTTTTGTTGCTTTGAATTGTGGCTTTTGTCGCTGTCCTCGTTGTCCTTACATAAAAAGTGTGCGCTGTCAGACCCTTGGTGTACTTTCATGCTTTGCAGTTCGTGTACAGACTATACTATAAATTATGGCAGCATTAATTCAAATGCACGTCTAAATTTGACACTCCCAAATGAACAGGCGAAATCTGCCTAAGATTTGAGTTCTGTCTCATGGCGGAGCCCGTGCTTAATTGCGTCAATTTTGTTAGGAAGTACTTCGAAAATTTTCTTGACTCTCCATATACTTTGTACACAACCGCTGAAGTAGCGTCAGGTTGTAACATTCTTTCCCCAATTCCTCCATGATCCAAGACGAAGTTAGTCCTTACCTGTTGCCATTTTTTTTCTTCAGTTTTTGAGTTTGGGCGATCTCAAGACAAAAATCCAACCGTTCAGAGCATAGACGAAACACTCCTTGTCCGTTGCGCTGCAGTCTGGTATATGGTAGGCCAATACACCCAGCCAGTTCCTTTTAAACCTACGATTTGTCACTGCTATTTTCGTCACGTAGGTCATAGCTATACTTAGGTCAGCAGTAGGTATTGTGAGATGTACATGTAGGTATTCAGATCCAGTGCAGGTGTTGTCGCCCGCCAGACAAAAAGAAACTCAAACCTTTTCTTGTTCGGTCGATATGTTTTGCATCACACAGAGGAACGTGCGAATTTTATTCAAGTGCACTTCCGCCTGAAAAGTGCAAAAGTCAGTGAGACTTCACCCTCAATCCAGACACAAGTCTATAGCATTACAAAAGGAGAAATCAACAGCCTCATCAATGTAAAAGCAGGTCAATTCCACAGAATTACAAACTTCGAGTTGTCATAATTTTGGAAATAGGCCAAATACCACAAATGAAACATGATTTTTGTTTCAACCCAATGTCTGCCTTGTATTGATACAGACAGGAAGCTGTTATTTGACGATTTTTTTTAGAACAATGCTCAACAGTTTGGCAGTAATCTGTAACTGAATATTAATTAATTAATGAGTATACAAAAACAACTTAATTTGTCTGAGTACGTCTGATTTCTACTACGGCAAAAAAGTTTGATGAATCGGTTTTTTTTTTTTTGGTAATCAATTGTAGTAACCAACTTCAATATTTCTTTTAGTGCAAATTATGAACCTTAACGTGTTTAAAGCCTGATTAAAAAAAACTGACGTTAAATAAGGCTGAAGTTTGCCTGCTTAAATAGTCTGGCGCCATCCCATTGAACAGTTAACAATTAATTAAATACATTCAGGGAACTCAACAAAAATGGCCAAATTGTGCAATAAGGTCCATATACTCGGAACATTTGAGATGCAACAGAAAATTCACTGGAATGCTTTAAATGTCAGTTTGTTTGAGTCCCTGCTTCACGTAAGTTGCCATTTCTGGGAAAATATCAACTTCCGTTGTGCCAGAGCACGAGAAAGTGATGTCATCTTTCTGGCAAGAGTTTCATTGTGATATTGTGAAAAAGTTCCTACTTCACGTACGTAGCTATTTCTGGGGGAATTTCAAGGCAGTTGTCACAACTGCGCTATTGTGCTCTGTAGTCATTAGCACGGGACACTGACGTCATCTAGGCGGCAGGGGTTTCATATGCTGAACAAAATTCAAACGCTTAGAATTGTCGACAAAGAATGCAATAATTGAATTTTGGACGGTTATATATGTCGGTCATGTACAAACGATTCAAGAATGGGCAAACTAGAGCCCTGCGGCACACCGGAAAGAGGAGTCAATACCCTCCACAAGCAGGCACCCTTTGTTATCGGTTATGCATTATGGACTAAACCACGCCACCCGCCACTGAGAAGTCGGATCAGAATGGAGCTGAAAACTCTGAAGGGTGAACCCTGCATTAACATTCCCATAGAGACTAGTGCTAAATGCCCATACTTCAAAAATCTGCTTTAAAATACTCAGAACTCTCACAGCTATTTAAGCTGCACAGAAAAATGATGATCACCGCGTCATACTTTTCATTTTTTGGCGGGTTGACCATGGACTTTTCGAGGAATTCTCACCCAAAGATGACGACCGCTATTTTTTACTCAAAGCGGAAAAGTAGCCATCTTGAACGATCCCTCCACAACTGACATGGCAAAATAGTGCCACTTTGGGCCGCATTGCATCCAAAATGCTCAGAATTGGAAGCCCAATATGTCACAAATGAGACACGTCCCTATATCGTTTTGAATCTTATATCCGTATTTTATTGAAACATGCGCCTCATTTATGTTTTGATTTTTACAATTAATGTTAAACAGATCGGCTGTTACTCAGTAACTAAAAAAATCTATTATTAGGGAAAACACAAGATGAGCATATGCGTCACCATGGTGTTTTTGTTTCTACTATACAGGTGAGTAAACAAAAACCGAAATCCAAATGTTGGGACCATTGTTTTAGGGAAATTCTGCATGTAGCATTTTTTAAATCTAGGATATATGAAAGCCCAATTCATAAGTGATCTGAATGATTCTTGTACTAAAAGAAAGCTTATGAATTAGGCTTTCATATTCTAGATTTTGAAAGTGCTACATGCGGAACTTCAATAAAACAATACTCCCGACATTTGGGTTTCGTTTTTTTTTTTTACTCACCCTGTACAGCACAGCTAAAAGAAAAATTGGGAGAATAACTTCTTTTTTAAATCAACTTAATACAACGATTATCATCGGTATTATTGTCTTTAAATATTTGGCAAAAGCTGCATGATATTACACGATTATTTACAGAATATCATTATTTCAGAAATGGCAATTGTCACAAACAAGTACTGAATAAATTGTTACTGAAAAATTAATTGGATAAATAATAACTGAAATAATCATCTGCAAAAAAACCCCAGAAATGTGCACACTGATCCCAAAGGAACATTACATCTCACAAATTTTGTAAGCTAAACACAAATCTTAAAACAAATATCTCAGAAAATTCGTGATAACAATATAGTTCTTATTGTGAACGTTTTAACTTAATTTTTTTGTTGTCATCTTCCTCCATGTCGAGTCTTCATGAAATTGTATTCATATGTTAAATTTCCACATTGAGGAGTGAGATACTGAGATAGTGATGTCATCTCATAGACCATTATCATGTAGCGGCCATCTTGATTTTTTCCCCTTTCATATCAAAGTTACACCAAAGCGAGGCTGGAAGGAAAATTAGCCTGGTTCCTTTTTGCACAAAAACATTACCATTCAGTACTGTTATTGGATACAGGGAACGTGACTGAAATGGTGGCAGCATGATCAAGGTCTATTGGAAGGAGCTTCATTATTCATAAAGTTCCGCTCCCCATGACGTTTTGACCAACCGTATACGAACATTAATGTCCGACGTGCGTGCACATGCGCGTGACGCACGCGTCTGGAATATGCAAAGTGGCATTGGAGATGACTGTTGCGCGTGTCATGCGTCACGCACACACATGCGCAGTGAGTCGGACATAATGATCGTCTATATGCACAAAAGATAGTTCTTGAATAATATAGCTCTCCTACTTTAGTTAGCCATATTTTGCCTCGTTTCCTTGTTGATTTAGTACCTGAAAGTCATTAATTCAGTGACTAAACTTAAACTATTAGTGTACTGAGTTTCAGATTCCAAATTTGTACAAGAAAATACGTCAACTGTTAATGCTGTTTCAGCAAGCAAATAAAATTAGTAAATAAAGTAAACTAAAATAGCTAGAAGAGTACTGTTTTTTCTTTCACTTAACAATTTTTTTTAATTGTTCATTTGGTTATATCAAGATTCAGAGAGTCTTTGCTGTATTCAAATTGTTACAGTAAGTTACATTTTACTTTCATAATTTGTATACAATCGTCTTCAAACTGTCTCAGGGAACAGTATAAGGATAAAAATGAAATCAAAATAAAAAAAGGGTAAGTCGTAGCACACTTGATATCTCGCGGTGAAGGATTAAACATGAATTGCGCAAAAGACAGTGAAAAGTTATACGTTTGTCGAAGCACACCATTTTCCTATTAAAGTTACTTTCAATAAATATTGTAAACTCACTGATCGAAACGAAATATAAATATACCCAATTTATATATAATTATTGTCCATTTCTCTTAAAAATAATTTAAAAGCATTTCTCTCAGAGCTGCACATTCTGTAGCTGATACCATCCTTGCGCACATCTATAACAAGCACAATTTTAAGCAAATAAATTGTAGGGCCTATGCCACCTCAGGCCCTCTTCTTCGTTATTCCACAACCAAAAAACCTTAAGATCTTGCACGCAAAAAGCAAAATAGTACAGCAGATTTATGATAAGATTGTTCTGTTTGAAAAAAAAGTCATGAAATTGGCACACAGTCAGAGTATGTCATGGGAACGATATTTTGCTATAGGGCCATCGCAGATTGGTCCTTTGAAAAAAAATCATAGGATAACAAGAAATTTTCAAGATTTTCAAAATGGCGGCCACTGCATGTTATTCTATGATTTTTTTTTTACAAAGGACAACTCTACGATGCCATGGCCAAATATCTTTTCCATGACATGTTCTGACTGTGTGCCAAATTTCATGCTTTATTCATCAAATTAACAATTCCATCATATTTTGCACCCATCCGCCTGACTAAAATAATTGTTGGCAAGCTTAGCAGATGGCAACAATCGTTAAAAAAATCCTCTCTTCAACCCTACCTCCTACCTGATTTTTGCTATTTCAGTTAAATGGAAAAAAAGTCGTAAACATTTAGGAAAATTGTCATTTTCCGTAGAAACTGCCTTAGTTTCCCGTTTCCTCACCTGACCAAAATCAAAATACAGTTTTTTTGTTTAGAAATTGAAATATTTTGCAGAAGACATAATTAACGAAACATCTTTTCCCACTCTTAGCTTTCACAAGTAGTTCTCCAACCTCAGAAGAAATAGACGTTATTCACGAGTCGGCCATATTGAATTGAAAGCGAGGTAAACCCTCCATGTTTTGAAATTTGCGAGTGGAAATTACATCAATGAAATGAAGATCATAATACAAATTTGCACCAGTCTGCTATGACAAATAATTTAAAATTTGTGAGTGAACACACCGTGGTGTTGTAAGCCACTTTAAACTTGAAAAATGGTCCGGCACCATACTAGACAGCAATGTACAACCCATAAAGTAGAACGCGATCGAAAATTGAAAGTGAGGCTAGGAATGCCCTCTAATCATAAAATAGTCTGGCACCATCCCGTTCAACAATTCACAACCCATACCATTGATTCGGGGAGCACAATCGAAAATTGAAAGTGAGGCTTGGAGTGCACTCTAATCATAAAATAGTCCGGCACCATCCCGTTCAACAATTCACAACTCATAAAATAGATTCAGGGAACACGATCAAAAATTGAAAGTGAGGCTTGGAAGGCACTCTAAACATGAAATAGTCTGGCACCATCCCGCTCAACAATTCACAACCCATACCATAGATTCAGGGAACAAGACCGAAAAGTGAAAGTGAGTCTTGGAGAGCAATTCAATCATAAATCAGTCGGGCACCATCCCGTTCAACAATTCACAACCCATAACATAGATTCAGGGAACACGATCGAAAATTGAAAGTGAGGCTATAGGAATGCACTCCAATCATAAAACAGTCTGGCACAATCCCGTTCATCAATTCACAACCCATACAATATATTCAGGGAACGCGATCGAAAATTGAAAGTGAGGCTTGGAATGCACTCTAATCATAAAATAGTCTGGCACCATCCCGTTCAACAATTCACAACCCATACCATAGATTCAGGGAGCACGATCAAAAATTGAAAGTGAGGCTACGAATGCACTCTAATCATAAAATAGTCTGGCACCATCCCGCTTTTAACAATTTACAAATGATAAAGTAGATTCAGGGAACACGATCAAAAATTGAAAGTGAGGCTTGGAAGGCACTCTAAACATGAAATAGTCTGGCACCATCCCGCTCAACAATTCACAACCCATACCATAGATTCAGGGAACACGGTCGAAAATTGAAAGTGAGGCTTGGAATGCACTCTAATCATAAAATAGTCTGGCACCATCCAGTTCAACAATTCACAACCCATGAAATAGATTCAGGGAACACGATCGAAAAGTGAAAGTGAGGCTATAGGAATGCACTCCAATCATAAAATAGTCTGGCACCATCCCGTTCAACAATTCACAACTCATACAATATATTCAGGGAACACGGTCGAAAATTGAAAGTGAGGCTTGGAATGCACTCTAATCATAAAATAGTCTGGCACCATCCAGTTCAACAATTCACAACCCATAAAATAGATTCAGGGAACACGATCCAAAAATGGCTTACTCGTGAATAAGGTCTATATTGATCCCACTGCAAACTCACACACTGTTAAACACGACGACCAGCAGGACAATGGTAACAATAATGGCTGCCACCAGTATGCCGATGCCGATGCCAAGCCCCCAGAAGGAGTACATCTTGGCTTCCTTGGAGGCTTGCTCCGCGCCGGCGACGTCCCCAACCTGGAAACGGTTGCGCACCTGTTGAAGTTATAAACGGATAATTACTTGAGACAAATCAGCGACACAATTATTGTGTACTCCCCCTAGATGTAATGCCTGTCCATTGCAAGTTACTCCCCCAGCTAATGTTGATTGCCATTTATATACTCCTTTAAGCAACTGGGGTAAAGTGGCTTGCCCAAGGACATAGCACATGACCAGCAGCCAACAGGATCTGAACTCCTGACCCGAGGGCCCGATCACGAGTCACAGTGGAGTGTCATAGCGGTCAAGAGCACCGGACTCATGCTCTGGTGTTTTAAGAGGCAACAGTGGCAACACTTAAGCAAGGCACGTAACCATTATTACTTCGTCCTTCGGAGGTCCCGTATGTCGTGTAATGCAATGCACGTACAAGAAACACTTGACAAGGGGTTTGTTCCGGGTGTTTCTGGCCTCCTGATTTTTAAACTTCCCCGCGGAGTATTGAGGAGAAGAACCAAGTACCAAGAACAAACCCTAGCTGCTAGGCCCACTTCCCATAACTGGGGTTACAATTTGCAGGGTGAGCCCTGGAGAGAACGTACAACTGCTTAAAAATGGGCAGGATTTGGTGGAATAACGGCACTACTTACGTCATTGGCCTTGATCAATCCCACAATGCCGAGCGGCAGGCAGCAACAGATGGTCACAAAGAGTGCCAATCCGAAGTAATCGTTAGGCTGGCACACGTGGGAAGTGGATATGATGGTTTGAGGTTGAGGCACGACTGTCTGCATCATCTGCAAGGTTGGAAATTAAGGTATAAGTTAAGGATAGGTTTGTGCAGGTACACCACAGAATCTTTTACACTCAGTGTGCTTATATGATACCGTGTGCTAGATTTTAAAGATCTATCATAGTGTATTAAACGGACAGTCTATTCAGCACTTTTGTTGTCATTGCTTTCTAGCACTAGTGCTCCGGCGGAGGGGCTCCGGCGGCGCGCACCTGACCTGGTTTTTGGTCTGGCTAGCGCGCGCTCCGGAAATAGGCTCTACAAATAGGCTGGCTAAGTAAGTGGGGTTCTTTTGTTCACTTTCGCGGGTAGGGCTTGGCTTGATTCCAGGGTTGGGTAAAGTTGCTACAATTGTATACATTTGTTCAGACTGTGTGCATGTCTATGCTGGGAATTGATCAGTTGCAGTTCTGGCAGCGGTGCGGCACGTTGCCAGCAGAGTCCGCTTGGCGAAATAAATGAGATCTTCCTACAGAGTTAGAAATCCCGTGTTTGTGTTCACTTTTCTTGCGTTTTGCCGGACTTGGCGGGCAAGAGCCCATGGTAGGATCCCGCTACAATAGTAATTATTATTATTTGAAGTTGAGTTTCAAGGGCTGACTGACTGATTAAATGACACACTAACAGACATACTCACCCACTCACTCCTCCACTGACTCACACTCACTGGCTCACACTCATTGACTTTTGTGAGTTTGTTTCAGGTGTAAATCGAGGATCTCATTTTTACACGTTTTCTAATCGAGGTCGTCCTCCATTTGGTCGTGTCCTCGATTCACCGATGATGTTGCACCGGTGTGTCCTCGGTATACACCATCAACAAATGCACAAACTGCTGTCAATAATTGTGATGTTGACCAAAAATATAAGCAACTGACGACTGCATGGAGACTATACACATTAAGGTTCATGACGTGAATTTAACTCGGGAATATTTTGTGCAACTCTCCACTCCTCTTAAATGTATAGAAACTATTTTAACATCCCTGTCTAGTTAATTTTATTGGCAAGTGCATTTTCTGTTACATAAAAATGTCCCATGTTCTTCCTGGCAATTGAGGGGGCTGTTGATGTTAAGTCGTTTCAGAAAGACAGTGTTCAGTTTCGGAGTTTTCTGTTAAAATAATTAACCTAAAGTTGGATCATTGAAAACGTTTCTGAAAAAAAAAATTGCTTACTGCCATATACTGAAACAACAATGAATTACGTAGCAAAGAAAAATTTCGACAACAAACACTTGTGCTGGAATAGCTGTGAGGTATTGAGGTTTTACGTTTCTGCCTGAAATGACGTCACTCTTTTGCTGATAAATTTACAAACTCTCATGAGCATAAAAACCACAATGGCACCAAAATGCTCTAAAAAAAAATGGCAAAATGATGATTGAAAATAAGGTTAAATGGGACACAATGGTACACTTACACGGACTGCATATTAAAACAATTACATTGCATCAAACCTTTATTGTTCCCTTACTTTTCCTCTCGTTTTTTTCTCTTTGCGTTCACGCACTGAATACGCCTGAGACTTAATGACGTCACCACTTTTTTTACATGTGTGCTTTTATAATGTGGTAGGCGGTCACTTCGTATGGCGTCGCGACTTCGCTCCCATAGAAAAGCGCATACGTAAATAAAGTCATACGTCATTAGGTCTAAGGTCTACTCAACACGAAAATCACGTAGAACTATCGATTTCACGAGCTGCGTGCGCGCGTTCCTTCACTGTACAAGGCCTGATAGGAACCAACATATGGCGCATATAGACCTTTCTACGCATGGTTGGCAAACTGTATTTTTGCCAACCACGGGTTGCAAAATTATGGAAGGTCCAACACTGCAAAAGTGAAGAAGAGTTATTACAGATAACCAAAATTTTATTTGATCGTTGGAAATATATAACATTTGTCAATAAAGTTACAACATAATTCCTAAACATGTTCTTTTTTTACTTTGTATTGAGGGCGTTATGAGGACTTTTTTGGGAAAAACATGTTGCCGACCACGGCTTCAAATAATGCGCTTGCGGCAGCCCATATAAAATGGTGTACATGTTTACAAACAAAATAAAGGCCTGTAATGCATCAACCTCGTCCCCAGTGCTTACTTTATTTCCAACCGCGTTTCCAATAGTAAGAGAGCAGCAGGTAAGGGTGGGCGTGTACTGCTCGACACCTTGGGGACGAGGTTGATAATGCATGGGAACGAGGATGGCCTGTTTTGCGTCGATATAATTTGATTGATGCAGCCCAACTGTACAGTTTTAGTTTACTTGGGTTAAATTTTAACCCCTGGTGAACTTTGATTCATTGTTCATTGCACAAACGCACTGAAACATTGCCTGGGTTAAAGTTTAACCCATTTTGGTTAAACATTAACCCATGCAATGTTTCAGTTCGTTTGTGCAATGAACAATGAATCAAAGTACATTGTAGGGGCGGATCCAAGAATTTTTGCGAGGGGGGGGGGTTTCGGGCTCGTCATTATTTTTTGATGTCCGATTGTTGCAGAGAGGCGGACATAATATGTAGATATTATTACCATAGTTGTTTTAATTTATCAAATCGTCACCGTTTCCACGAACAGCCACATACTATATATATTATGTTGATTTTGAAGTAAAGTGTTTTCGAGATAATCACAAAAGAAGTTTCTCATATTTTAAAACTGCAAGAAATACTACTTTGCAACAACTTTGTGCAGCAAGAAAACCATCACACGATTCTACGTGAGCTGAAGTTTTACATTAACCCGGTAATAAGACTTAATAAAGCAGTTAATTAGTGGAAATTAATTAGTAAAGATATGTGGCTCTTTGTGAAAACGCAAATTCACGTTTCCGACATATTGGCCCTTTCTGTTCAACGTGTATTTCCATAGGCGCGCGTGAGTACGCGCGCGCGCCTTAAAATGTAACAAAGATATGTGGCTCTTCGTGAAAACGCAAATCTCATTTGACCTACTTTTACGTATTTCCGTGCAATGGGTTTTGTACGCGTTCAAAGGGCCAAAATGTATGTGGCTCTTCGTGAAAACGCAAAATGCAGTTATCGAGATTTCTGCCCCTTGCAATATTAATGTAACTTAGAAATTAATGATGTTTTGCTTACAGAAACATGTCAAAATGGTTAAGTACATTGTTTTAATGCAAAATATCGAAAAAAATCAAAATCGAAAAAAATTGTAATTTTGGAGATATGTGGCTCTTCGTGAAAACGGTGACGAAATGTTAAAGTTTTTTCGAGGCTACATCGACGTAAGAAAGTTAACGCAAATTGAAACGCAAGCAGGGCCCAAACTGCAATGGAAATGTTTAATAAGGGCGGATCCAGAACAATTTTTTGAGGGGGTTGCCAAAAACGAAATTTTGTCCCCCCAAAAAGTGGGTCCCAAAAATTATGGCGTAGGGTTCGGGGCCCACTTAAGGGGCCTACGCCTACCTACATTTATTGCGAGGTCACTGAAAAAAAAGAAGTTTTTTTGTTGGGGGCGGGGGGGCATTGGTCTTTTATGACCAAAGTTTTGACTGAATTAAACAGAAATTCTAACCAAAACAATTGGTTATAGAACAGGCCACCCTTTGTTAAGTGAAATTAACCAAGACAATTTTTCACTGAGTGAGGACATACGCAAGCAACATCGTAGACGACCCAGCAAATTGAGTTGAACCCGATATAAGGCTTTCCTTCGTTTTCATTGTTATCTTTGTGCATTTTTGTTCTTTAATCTTGCATCAGCCTGATTTATAAAATCGGACTTACGTTGGTTTTGTTTGTCTTTTGTGTCCAATCCTGTCTGTCTATTTTGTGTGATTACGTTGTATAGTCTGCCCAGGCTGTTCCACCTATACAAGCCTTGGCTTATGTGAACAGCCTTGCATTCTCCTATTCTACTCTTTCTCAACTTCGCCTGCTATTAATCTTAATTTAAATAATTAGATTCAAAGCATCACCTTTTCTGGTCGAAATTACCTTCACATTTGTCATCGCCGTTTATTTAAATATAACTGTATTGAACTAACATTATCCAACTTTGTATTGGTTTATTGGAGAGTGCTAAATACATGTCAACTGAATTGAATTGAACTTTGCCAACAGTTAGTTCGGCATGTTTACTGTCTGCGCAGTCTGCGTTAGCTTAATGTCGATATGGATACCGCTTATGAGGTCTATAACTTATAAGGATGATATTAACTTGTAGGCCTACGTACCGTGCCTCCAGGAGGATAGTTGGGGTACTGGGGCGGGGGCGGGGCGTAGCCCTGGGCAGGCTGGGGCTGGCTGAGCGGATAGCTGGCCGCGTGATCATCCTCACCCTCATTCTGGAACTGTTTATATTCTGCAATCAAAACGATTATTAGACCAACAATAATAAATGACGGTACTTAAGTGGTTGTGTACAAATTCCATGGGCCGGGGCCATTAACATTTTCAGAGTTTTGTCTGTACAATATCACTCGTTCTCTTTGCCCTGCCTTACGTAATTATGACCACATCATACATATTAAATCAACAGTTGTATACATGTACATACCTGTGGACATGACGATTCTGAAAGATTCAACCTTGCTCAGTGCTCAAATTCGGAGAAGCAATATTCGTTTTGCTTATACCAAAGTAAAATTTTGGCGCGTGATTAAACACCGTAAGCCCAATGCTCCAGCTGCAGCATATTAATAGCCTACATATCATACATGCCAGTGCACGATTAGTTGACGTCAGTGTATGTAGAAGGTCATGTGACGTTCAAGGTGCATCAGTTTAACAAACCGTGGCTTCGATAGCGCTCCGGCTGCATGCCTTTCTTTCTGAATCTTGACCCAAATGAAAATACCACTATACCTGAAATTACAAAGTAAATAATACATTGATTTTGTTGCATGAAATTGATATTTTGAGCCAAAGACTCCCTTCAATCTCCTAAAGCCTAATTTGTTGATGAGGCCGAAGTTTCGTAAACTAGTTTACCAAACCACGACTTCGTTGGCGTTTCGTCTTCAACGCCGGCTGCGCTGCAGAGACACCCAGAAACCAGATCTGAAGATGCAATTTTTATTGCGCAGAACATTCTGAAACAATTTTGAGCCGCAAAGAAGAAAAGAAAACAAACGGAAGTACAAGACGGGAAATACAACTGCCAGTGATGTTGTTTTACAACACCACTGCCAGTTGTATTTCCCCAATTGTTTAAAGTAGTATTCATCATGGTCGCCTGCATTGCCAATAAAATAGTACAGCGCCCTCTCGATTTTCCGCTGTCGAAATAAGAATGTTTCCTGTAGTTTCACTCCACAAAATACGTGCTCATAGAAAACAACACAAAATGTGACCCCCCCCCCAAAAAAAAAGAAGTCTGGAGTAAGTCGAAATGTAGCCCCCTCCTCTATGCAAAATAGGCCATGAATTAATTTTGGGCTTTTTGCGAATGAAATCCCCCCATCTGAATCGGAAGCTGAAGCCACAATTAGCCACAAATAATTGATCTTCAGAAATATATATATAAATCTTTTTTAAACATCGCGTACTATCATGCCCGTGTCTTGATTTAATTTTTGGAGAGTTAGGAGGATTTGACATTTAGAAATTCATTTATATACTATCATTTGACGGATGTGGCATATATATAGGCAGCCGAGGTGGGGTGGGGTAGGGTGGGGGAGGGGGCACATCGCCTTTCCCCTCCTAGATCTGCCACTGCAGACAACTGCATGAATTTCAACATTCAGCTTGTGACAATCGATTCAATATTACTTCAACTCTGACATCCGCTCTCAAAGTAATGTTGAGGCAAAATCGATACGGTGCATTGTCGGATGTATGACATATCACGGGTGTGTAGCACTGACCTCTATATAAAGACTGGATAGCGGATATGCATACAACATTCACCATTGATCTATATGGAGATCAATGACATTCACACAGTAGACTTTGCATATTGACCAATTCGCCCCCGGTCTCACGAAGATGGCCGCGTATAATACGAACGTTCTACGCGTAAATACGTGCGCGTTGTATCAACAGTTGACGCGCATTTTGGTCACGTACACATATTATGATGCTCTAAAAGGGACACATTTCCGTAGTGATTATTATTTCAAAACACCAAAAAAGTATTTGCGGCATTTTAGTAACCACGACGTTAGAAAAATTGTAGTTAACCTTGGTCAGTGGTGGTGGTCAAAATATAAGTCAAGTGAACCGCGACGTTACAAAAGAAATCATGCCGTCTATAAAAACGACAAGTTGTCCTTTGGAGATCACCAGCCGGTCTCACCAATATGGCGTCAAATTCGTACATTGTGCGGCTCTTTATTAGCTATCCAGTCTTTATATAGAGATCAGTGGCGTGTAGACCCAAAATGCTATGGAGAATTTATCTTGTTCCTGGTCAGTGTTTCCTTCCTATCAACTTGTATACGTGTGTACGCTAGGATTCTAGCAACAACACAATGATGACGGAAACGTCACAACACAAATATCCCAACGCAGAAAACACATCGTCGGTTTCAGATCTATTTTGGTACATTTCGTCGAATTCAGGTGTAATGGGTAAACCCAAATTCCACCACGGTTACGCGTATTCGCTCAACAGACGTCCCATCAACAAAACAGGTGGATTTTCTTTTATTTACGTGCTGCTCTGTATACATTCATGTTGTGAATGGGCACGGTCAATGGTCATGGGCACTTGTTGATGTTATATGCAAGAAAAATATAGCGAGCTGCACTTTCCGTCTGGCTCAGTTATTTAGGGAATAATCAACGCCATGGGCCTAGTCAAGTTTTACTTTCAAATCGAGTTTCACTTTTAACCCATTTCTGTAGCCCTCAATTTTAAACGGTCAATTTTTTGGTAACTTGTTTACAGGGAACGAATTAAAAAAATAGTTTTATTTTCGATTCTCCATTTAGTAAACATTAATTATGTGGTGCATAAACGTGAAATTAAATTCCTAAACTAAACTTCTTTTATAGATTCATAACTGTTTCTTTCCACAATTAATTCCATCAGTCTGCAGTATTTCATTCCAACGTTTTTGTGCGACAGGTATTTTTTATAAAACCTTTTTTGCTTTTATAAAACCTTATCCTTGTAATTATGTTTATCTAACCTACCTACACAATCGCTGACGCAAGCATGTCTTTCAACTGAAATTATATCGTTATTAAAGAGTTTTGTTGACCATTCTTTGGGCAGGGCCAAGTTAATACATATATTATAACTAAGGCAAAAAAAAAAAGTCTCCGGTTTCTGGTATGCGCGCGCGTCGCCGTAGCCATGCGCGTCGGCAAAATGAATTTTTTTTTTTCAATACAAGATGATGTCTCAAAACCGCCAAACTCACTGGTTTGACTGGAATCCTGCTGCTGCACAATTTTAACGTGTTTTTAGATGGGGTTATGATCGAGAATAAATTTTATGTGGCCTCTCTCTGGACTCCCATATATTTGCACTAAGTTTAGTCGGGCACCATTTGCAGTCATCAGCCGACATTTGAAGCCCAAAAAAAAAAAAAAAAAAAAACACGTAAAAAAAAAAAAAAAAGCCGCGTCGCCGCACCACTTTTGGGGCAAGCTCCATACCAGAAACCGGAGACTTATTTTTTTTGGCCTAACCAATTCTGTTTGGTTTTTTTAATTAGTTTTTTGGACAGTTCGCCATTTACGTTCAATATGTCGTTAACATAAACAACATTTGATTTGATCCAAATTTTGGAAAACGAAGGTTTGTCATTTTTACTTGATGTACTCGTTACCCCAAAGTATTTGTGTCTTTATTTCAATTCGGGATACATGTGTTTGCATATTCTGCCGTTTGTAAAGTTTCTACCAACTATGTATTAACTCTTTGTAATATTGTGGTAGTTTTCCTGGAAGGTTTTAAAGACATTTTGCGTTTTTAAGATTCATATTTAGGACAGCTAAATCAGGGCAAAATAAATTTAGGTAGGAATCACAAAAATGTTCCATTTACCAGCTTTTTGTTTATCAATTTAATGATCCAATTGTATTTTAGCGCTGCATTGTGTGATTCAAAGTCAATTAAATTAAGACCCTCTTAATCCAAACCACACATCAAAGTTTTTCTTGAAATTGTGTCTATTTTCCCTTGCAAACTGAAGGAAAATACAAGACTTTCCATTTTCGAAATCAGTTTTTGTGGAGTTGGAATATGATGCCTTGAAAGGTACATATTGGTATTGCCAAGCTGTTTACAATGCCGGATACTTTACCTGGTATTGTCAAGTTTCGTCTTTTCCATTTGTTGACTAAGTTCGTGCAGTTTGTTAGTTTGTCTTCCCAAATTAATTCATAGCATTCATTCATGTTCTTTCCTAAATAAACACCTAATGTTTTGATTGGTTCTTGCTACCAATATATAGTTTCGTGAAGATTCTGGTCTAATATTGCCAAAATAAAATCATGGGTTTTTTTTTTAGGGATAAGACATAATTATACAATCAATCCCAATTAGTATAGGCCGGAAGGACCTCTTATCCAAAATTATCTGTGTATGGGAAATGTGCAGCTTTAATTTTGGTGGTTTGCATACTTTAATAGCACTTTTGAGGGACCTTGGTGAAAAAATGGACCCAAAACAGAGAAACTGTACAAGAAATACAGAAACCTCCCGATTCCTGAGATTTCTTTTTTTTTTGGGGGGGGGGGTTGTGTTTGAAAGACATTTCGTTGTCTTTGTTTTTCATTTTCATGTTTGTCGATTTTTTTCGGTTCATTGTAAACTATACTTTTTGTTAAGGTTTAATGTTACAAGTTGTGTAAGATTTTGATGTGTCTTTGTTTTTAATCCAATCACTTCTTTTGATGTTTTGTTGCAAATAAATAAATAAATTATTAATAATAATGGCATGCACTTGCTGGCTTTTTCCCCTGAAATGCAGAGTAGCAGTTTGTCTGCCGCTACTGATTTCTGCAGTTATTGAAATATATGCGTGCAATTGACAATGGCAAAGAGGTCAAAAGGGGCTCGATATAATGCTAGGTACGAAAGCTCTTGTGTAAATAGCTTCAAATGGCGCAGACTATGGGGTCTGCGTTAACATCGGCCCTTGCTTTCGTGCAGTACGGCTACACACGAGCGCTACACAACTGGCAACCTGCCAGCGCGCATTTAAACAACTGTATTACGTTTACCAGTGTAGAGTACCCATCTAACAACTGTGCGGTAGTATGTTGAAAAGAGCAGTTCAAAAGAAAGTTTGTTGACAAGGACATTTTTGCATCACAATACATATAGTCGAAAGCGAATTTTTCGGAGGGCATAAAATGTACTTCTGCATAAAATGTACACAGTCAATGGGACTGCGTACAGAACTATTACAGACAAGGCAAGAAAATTAACCCCAAACCAGACCCAAGTTCGAAGTTAGGAGAAATCAACAGTCTTATCATCAAAATAATACTTCAACAGAAGTATAAACCTCAATGCTGAAATTTCAAAATGTTCCCAACGCCACAAATGAAACATGTATATATCAGTTTGAAGCTTATATCTGCACATGCATTTTATTGAAAGTTCATTTTAGCAATTATGTTCAACAGATCGGCTGTAACTCAGTACATGTCAGTGAAACATTAATTACTGTGTACACGAAATCAAATCAATTTGTCCGACGGTACGTCCAACGTCATGGTCTTTCGAGCCGGTGTCTACCAAAGAAAAAAGGCCTTAGGCCTACGCATGGTATAAAATAAACTGAGTTGGTTTCTGAAAACAGTGCAACTTGATTCTACGATTATCATCGGTGTTATATTTCAATATTTAGCAAAAATCTGATTACATGATTATTTAAAGAATGGTTGACAATAGTTGTAAGTAGTAAATAGAGTTGTTGAATAGTTATGCATGAATTCCATGTCCTTTTATTTTATGAAATTGTACTTGTAAGTGTAGTTATGTGAACATTTCTTATGTATGGAATGTCCCAAATGGAAACCAGTTGTAAACTGTTTGTGCATGCATACCCTGTGTAAACAAATAAAAGAATACAAATTCGGAATAAATTCACAATAGTCTTAAAGAAGAAAACACTTTGTTGTTCCTTTCTTAGAAAAGTGCTTTATAAATATGATAGGCCTACAAATATACTAAATGCTTGCACAAAATCAGAACGTCTACACACTCATCCTACATATAACTCTTCGCTAAAATTATAGAAGTTCTATTCAACGGTAAATATAAGTTCCTCTGACCAATCAGATGACGAGGTGTTGTATAAAACAAATGATAGATGTTTTACATTCGTGCAATGGAAAGAATGAGTTCATTCGGTGACAGACGGAATGTTCCATTTCACTCCATCTGTCACCGCATGAAATTATTCTTACCATGGCACTCATAAACATTGGTTATTTCTATAGCAATAAGGAAAAAACAAATTATCAAAAAGAAAATACACTCTGAATATCTGTCCGTGGCGGATAACACAAAAGGCTATATATTTGAGCGGAGGGTGTGACAATGTTATTTTCTGGGCAAAAACAGGGCACTGTTCTCGGTTACAAATAAAAGAAGCAATTTTTATCTTAAGAGTAAAACGTTTATCTACGCCAATATTAAAACTAGAGCCAATAAACAGATATTCATTTCCCTAAATGCCAAATGCTCAATCACTCATACACTCTGTTATATACATAACTGTCACTTCTCACACTTCCAGATCCTTCCAGATCCCGCAAACAGCCATTTTGTGGCGAAACTAGAAGATGACATGCATTATATGCATATTAAGTGGCCAAAAAAAGTTTTAATTTTAAAATGTTCGCAGAAAAAAAGGAAGGAAACATCTTTTTCCACATTCAACTCTCACAAATTCTCCAACATCATCAGAACTATGCTCACTCTCAGCAGTCACACATGCACGTGGTTTTAAATCGTCGCGGCGTACACTACACCAACAACAACGTTCAGGGACAAGAAACCGATGCCGATGCCAAGCCCATACTGGGAGTACGTCTGGGCTTCCCTGGAGGCTTGCTCCGCGCCGGCGATGTCCCCAACCATGAAACGGTTGCGCACCTGTTGGAGTTATCGGATTAATTGAGACAAATCAGCGACACAATACTGTTTACTCCCCCTGGAAGTGATGCCTGTCCAATGCAAGTTACTTCCCAGCCAATGCAGATTTTTTTTTTTTGTGGAACAACGAGCAAGGAACAAACGCAAGTGGCGGTGAATTGGCTTGCCCAAGGACACAGCCTATGACGAGCAGCTGGCAGAATCTGAGCCCCTTATTCGTGGCCCTTTGATGACGAGTCTACAAACCCTAGCCTGTTTCCTCCCTGGTAGAACTGAGGCGAACAACAAGTCCGCAAGCCACTGTCGACCACCGGTGGCTGGGTAGCGGCTTGTCGGCATCGGCACGCCGACCCAAACCACAAGCTTAGGCCCACTCCTCCCTGACATAACCGGGGCACAATGAGTCTGGCCGGCTTCGCCGCGCGTAGGGCATGGATAACAAATTATCTTGCAAACAAGACTAGCCAGCAAGTTCAAAATGACGGCTGTTTGCAGTCGCCTAAAAACACTATCACAGCCAAAATATTGACAGACAACAAAAAAATGAGGTAGCCTGGATTTGAACCATATTCCCTTCATTCAAACGAGTGTAGTTTATGGAATCGTGCAAGTGAAAGTGAGGCCAAGGGCTGAGAATGGATAAGGTAAAATCATAGAGCAAGGTACTCCCCCGATAATGCTGCTTTCCCTTTATATATTCTTAGGTGGAGGGAGAGGCAAGTGGGTGAAGTGGCTTGCCCAAGGACACAGCATATGACCAGCAGCTGGATCGAAGGCCTTACCCTTGACCCTTTGATCACGAGTCACAAACCCTAACCACAAGGCGCCACTCACCCTGGTATATCTTGGGTAAAATGTGCAGGATCGGCAATGGGGCGAGTATAGGTGTTAAAGTGGGGGAGGATGGGGTGTCGACCCCGCCCCTAACTACGCCACTATACTTACAGCACTGGACTTGATCAATCCCACAATGCCGAGGGGCAGGCAGCAACAGAAGGTCACAAAGAGTGCCAATCCGAAGTAATCGTTAGGCTGGCAGACAGCGGTAGTGGATATGATGGTTTGAGGCCGAGGCGCGACTACCTGAACCATCGTCTGATGTAAGACAAGGAAAATGTGATTTGGAACGTTACATGGTGGGAAGGCATAGGGTTCCTGCAGGTACACCATAGAATGTGTGTTCTGTGAAGAAGTGTGGTTCTGAAAAGAACTAATTAAAAGGTGACATTGTTTGCGTGACCTTCTGAGGATGGGTCCGACATGATATTTAGAAATGAACGATTCTAGCCCTAAATTTGTTTTCAGAAACATCGCAGGAAATGACATCTGTAAATGCCTTCAAATATTTTTTGCAGGTACGAGAGTGGCCAGCCTATAGACCTTTATCATGCTGCCTCCATTTCAGTCATGTTCCCTGTATCCAATAACAGTACTGAATGATAAAGTTTTTGTGAAAAAAGGAACCAGACTATTTTCCCTTCCAGCCTCGCCTTGGATACGCTTATTTTAATGGGGGAAATCAAGAAGGCCGCAACATGAACTTGGTCTAGTGTCCTCTTTACCTCGCAATAATGGACCGAATGACTTAACTACCACATCACTTGTGAGGCTTTTTATGGACATTTGCATATGTTAATAGCTTTTCTGTGGCTTTCTCACCGACCGACAGCCAACATGGATTGTGAGTTTCACAGGTTTCTGAGACTCGCTGAAAAAAAGGCAGGCAAGGCCTGTAAAGCTTGTCCAAGAACATACGGCTTGTCTGATAATGTATGTCGAGTATTTGTCCTTTATAGGTCTATGTGGCACCAATAGCCTGGCTCCATTTTTTCCCATGTAATTTCATGAAACAGCTCGGTGAATGACGAGTCTCCATATTATGAAGTTGTCCATTTCCATTAGGCTACCACTACAAGCTCAAACATAATAGGCTGGAACCTGCGGGCTCCTTCCCAAAGCTCAAGCAATTAGCATGATATGAACCAACATGGCGCAGCAACCTCGTACTCATTGTGAAAGAGCTAGGTCGGCCTATTTTCGTTGATGTATTGCATTGGCCAAGCCCAATTTTAGCTGCAGGTTAGGCCTAAGTGTGTAACCCATTTTGTTTAAAAAAAATATAACCATGGCATTTTTTTTAGAGCGCTTTGGGATATCATGGTGAAATTATCAACGGACCAAGTAGGTACATTTATGTGAGATTAGTGATGAGGATGAATTTGACATGCAGGCCTACCGGCGCCGCGTGCTCAGGCGGATAGTTCAGGCCTGGAGCTCCATGGTTTGGGTCATTGTACGGGGGCGGCGCATCATAGCCCTGTTCTGGTTGGGGCGGGGCATCGCCCTGTGCAGGTTGGGGCTGGGTGGGCGGACAGTTGGCCCCATCATCAGCATCAGCCTCATTCTGGAACTCTTTATATTCTGCAATCAAAAAGATTATTAGACCAAAAATAAACGACACTTCTTAGATGGTCGTGTACAAATTATGTGGGGTCGTGATGAATAGGTTTTGGGGGTTTTTTTCTGAACAAATTGCACTTGTTCCCATTGCCACGACTAAGGTACTAAATCATACATTTTGAATTCCGTACATGTAAATATACCATACCTGTCGACTTGGTGGTTTCTAAAGATTCAACCTGGCTTATTGCCCAAAAAAGTAAGAAAAAACACGCTATCATACATTTTGAATTAATATACCACACCTGTCGACGTGGTGGTTAAAGCATACGTGGCGGAAGGAACCTTGCTCATAATTGTTCAAATTCGGAAAATAAAGTAAATAACAAATATAAAATCATACATTTTGAATACATAAAAATGTCATACCTGTTGACATGCTGGTTAAATAAGCGTGGAAGCAAAACATATTACACATTGCTCAAAATCGGAGAAAAACGTAATAATATACAACATCATACATTTGAATAAAATATGTGACCGATTCCACAAAGAAGGTATTAAGTCGCGCTGAGCATTATTGTGTAATGGCCCGCTCGACATTGAGAGGGTGAAAAATGTGATTTTCATTTTTGTCGTGAAGACATCTTTAATATCCACAGTTCCAGGTTTCATTCACAGAAATGTTGATTTTGATGAACAAAGTGGGGAAAAAACAAGCATTTTGTGTGCATCGTTCTAATGTTCGACAACAACGCCAGCTATTTCCAGGAAGGCAGGCACGGCAGAATGTGCAGTCACTACTCCATTTATGATCGAGACATTGAAGGGGCACTAGGTCCTGAAATCCCCGAAAATTTTATGTTTTGGATTGTTTACTTAGCCTATTTCAAACATCTGGTTGAAAGGAAACCAACCTAATGTCTTCGTTCTCGAGAAAAGACGAAAACAGACCCCGCTTGTTTACATCGGACATGACGGAGTACGAATACGTTTTTCGTGTCGTTCTCAGTGTACGCTATACACGTTGTGTGTCTCGGGAATTTAACAGCGCGCGGTGACCAATCACCAGTGCGAAAAAATATTGTGGTTTCTTCAACGTCCGCAAAAGGCGAACACTTTACGCGCACGAATGAAATCACAACTAGCATGCAAACAGCTTGAATTTATGGGGTTGCAAAAGTGGACCCCGAAATTCGTTCTCGCATGCATTATACAGGAATAACACAAAAACGCCCAGTTTTGAAAGGATAGTTGTGTGGATGTTTATATCCTACTTTTAAATGTTATTTCCGATTATCATCATCTCGTTTAAAGCGCGTTGTGTAGCCCAATTGGGCTGTTCCAGGACCTAGTGTCTCTTTAAGGCTAGACTGACACTGGGGGCGTTTTTCTGTTTTCCTAGCAACTTTGAATAAACAATGAGAACAGATTGGTGTCCAGCTTCATCCATCTTGGACGGACCCCATCCCTAGAATCAAAGCCGGGCAGACCACCACAAGTAACATTAAGGGCTTTCCAACCATGCATAAACACAATATCACTTTTTGCGACATACACCCTCTTTTTGTGGAGCCGTAGACGTGGAGAAAGGAAAACAGATTAAATTGCTCAATTCGGGGAATAAAGTAATAAACTACATCATACTTGAATGAAATATAACTTACCTGTCGACATGATGGTTAAACTGCGTTGAGGAAGACAAACAGATTCAACCTAACTTTTGCTCAGTGCTCGGCAAATTCGGAGAATAGATTTTTTGCATGAGCTTGTATACCGACGAGAAACTGAAATCGACACGTCCCGTACATAACAAATCCCAATCGTTCCGCATGCATGACCATGTCTAGCTAGCTGTACGCGCACGCGCAAACGACGAGGTCAACATTAATGCGAAAGTAAGAATGTCACGGTCAAGGTGCCAAAGTTTACTAAACCACGGTTTCACTACCAAATCGGCTGCATGCATTCGTCAGAATCTCTAATTATCTTCGAAATCTTGAAGCAAACGAAAATACTTGTATCCAAAATCACGACGCATTCGATTCCATTTGTTTTGAAGTAGGAAACTGACATTATGAGCCAAGGTGCCCCATCAATATCTTCCAGCCTAGCTAATATGTTGATGCGGCCGAAGTCAAGTAAACTAGTTTACCAAACCACGAATTCGTCGGCGTTTCGACTTCAACCCTGGCTGCACACCCAGAAACCATGATCCATATAGATACAATTTTTATCGCGCAGAACCTTCTTGAACACTTAACATTCTTGAACACTTAACAGTAAACAAGATGGCGGCTCCATGATGTCGTCTCCCAGCAAACATTGGGTAATTTTCCCAGTACCGACCAGTATCGGGCTCGCACCGGCAGTCATAGGACCACTATGGGCCAGTTTACCTAATGTTTGTTGGGCTATTGGTCTAAATACTGGAGTTCAGGGTACAGCTTGTCAGTGAATCGGCCCGAAATTGTCGGCCAAATCACAATTTGCATGCCCTCAAATTATCCAGTATGAGAGCATTTTAAGGGCCATGAAATTTAAAAGAGGGTTTGTAAAAAGGTTGGAAGCTGTGGAGAGATGAATAAGGCCCTAAATGGCTCTACTTTGCAATGGATCGTATGCGTCCCTTTTCAAAATGGCGATGGGCTTCAGGAATACTTTTCGGGGTGATCATCTTTGGATGGAATTTTTCCAAAAGTCATTGGTTTTTAACCCCAAACAAATTGAACGGAGAATTTAAGATGATGAAATAAGATTTAATATTATGTGTACGTATCTCAAACACCTTGGAGAGTTGTATTAATAAGGAAGAAAGGTGTGTTTGGGAGGTTCACTGTTTAAGACCAGTTGGGGTCCGGATGGGTAATTATTACCCATCAGGCGACTAGACAGAGTTCAGGCTAACTTTAGTCGAACTATGGTTAACCGGTCAGCAATAGGTCTAATAACACGAACTTGACCCATGTCTTTATCATCCGCTTTAGGCCAGTCGCGAGACGGGCTCTCGACCAATAGTAATCGGTAAACTGTATTAGGTATTTATGAAAAAGGTCAAAAAAAGTCTCCGGTTTCTGGTATGTACCGTAGCCATGCGCGTCGGCAAAATGAAAACGTTTTTTTTTTCAATGAAAGATGATGTCTCAAAACCGGGTTACGATCGAGTATAAGCTTTATGTGGCCTCTTTGGACTCCCACGTATTTGCACTTAGTTTAGTCCTGCACCATTTGCAGTCATCAGCCGACATTTTGAAGAAAAACAAACGGTAAAAAGAAAGCCGCGTCGCCGCACCACTTTGTGGGCAAGCTAGCTCCATACCAGAAACCGGAGACTTGTTTTGGCCTAAGGGAATAAATGTGTGCTTTTGAGGTTTTAATCACACTGTTTAAGGCCGCTTGGAGTCTGGGTGCTGATAACTACCCGAGCCGAACATATTTATTCCCATTCATAAATACCTTTTCGGTAAAAAAAAAAAATCTAAACTTTTCCGTCAAAAACCCCGATTTTGTTCAACAAGTTCACTTCATGTCTTTTTAAACACCCCTCTGGCTAAATAATGGATCGTTCAGCTCGCGAATAAGATGTAAACACTCCTTTTATGGAGATTGGCGCGCGCGTCGAGCGTATAATGCACGATGTCGCGCAGAATGCACCTGGGGCGTTGCGTTGTGAATTTAGGACAGTCAAATACCGCCTATGAAATAAATCCATGTGTTACTGTAGTATGTGGAAAAGAGCAGTACATGTACAAAGAAAGTTTGTTGACAAGGTATTTTTGCATTACAACGCTAGTAAAGGGCGAATTTATTGAAGCGCATGTACTTCCACCTTAATGTACACAGTCAATAGGACTTCGTATGGAACTATATACAGTATAGAAATGGCAGTATAACTACCCCAAAACCAGACCAGGTAGTTAAAAGTCAACAGCCTCATCATAAAAAAATAGTACTTCCACAAAAATATAAACCTCAATGCTCCAATTTCAAAATGGTGCAAATGCCACAAAGAAAGCATGTATGCGTTATCAATTTGAAGCTTAAATCTACACATGCATTTTATTAAGTACTGGGAAGCCGTGTTAGTATTGAAGACAGTAATAAATGAAAACGTTGTATAGCGCTTTTGTGACTAACTTAGGTAAAACTCTGCATGAGCTTTCGTACCAATAACTACTTTATCAGATGCAATGAAGAAAAACCTCACCAGGCAATGTTTATATACTGTACAATGTATTGTATGTAACCTTGCCTGATGTTTTTCTTCATTGCACCTGATGAAGTAGTAGTTGCTACAAAAGCTCATACAAAGTTTCACCTTAGTTATTAAAGTCCTCGTGTATTGTATTGAAAGGTATAATATTTCATTTTTTATGTTCAACTGATCGGTTAAAACTCTGCCGAACAATTCCTGTGTACAGATACACAAAATCAAATCAATATTTATGAGTAATCCATCACCAAAGCCCGATTCTTAAGCTTTGTTTTAGTACAAGAATCATTCAAATCACTCTTGTAACGGAATTTTCAAGTTCTCTCCACGGATCACAAAAAAAAGGTAAGTGTTCTTTCAGCAAAACGAAAACAATGGACCGATCCAGTAAGCTCCGCCCAGTGCGCACGTGGGCAAATTAACACGTGCTCCTCTCAATGCCACACTGCATTTTCCTTCCGCGCGCATCGTACGCGCCTGCACGCATGTCGGACTTCAGTGCACGCACGTCAGACATAAATCACGGCTGTGATTGGTCAGAACACCATGAGGCGATGGCTTACTGGATCAGTCCATTCACATAGGAATGTACGTGAATTGTTTTCGTTTTGCTGAAAGAACACTTTTACCTTTGTTGTGATCCGTGGACAGAAGTTTGAAACGTTGTTTGTGTTGAAAATTCCGTAACGTAAAAAAGTACATGAGTGATTCGAATGATTCTTGTACTAAAAGAAAGCTTATGAAATGGGCTTTCATATCCTAGATTTTGAATGTGCTACATGTACAACTTCACTAAAACAATAGTCCCGACATTTGGTTTTTTTACTCACCCTGTCCATAAAAAAATGCCTTACGTACGGTATAGAAATAAATTCTGAGTAAAATACTGAAAAAATGTGCAACTTAACTCTACGATTATAATCGGTGTTATATTCAATATTTAGCAAAATTTAATTACAGGATTATGTAACGAATATATAGTTTTAATCAGACAAGGAAATTGTCAAGTGCTGGTTGACTATAGTTGTAATAGTTTTACAATACACAATAGTGTTTTTTTTAAACTGTAATGCATTAATTCCATGTCCTTTTATTTCTAAAGTATGGAGGGCCCCAGTGGGTAACTTTTAAACTATTTCAGGATATCCTGGTTAAATATAAAAGAATAGAATACTAGTACTGAATACCTTAAAAATAGTCTGAGTAGAAAAATACTTTCTCATTCTTAAAAACAATAAAACATAAAACATAAACTAATTACCTGCACAACAATCAGAAAATATGCGTACGATCAGTACCCATATTTTCTGATTTTTGAGCGCGGCTGGATAAATGTTTGCTAAAATTATAGAAATTCTATTCCACGGCAAACAGAAGTTCCGTTGCGTGGTCACGTGATCGGTGGCTCAGGCCAATCACATGACGAGGATTTATGCAGGTGTTCCATACAACAAATAGTGAACATTTCCCATTCGTGCAATGGAAAGAATAATTTCAATCGGTGACAGATGGAATGGGCAATTTTGCACTCCGTCTGTCACCTCATGAAATTATTCTTACCATTGCACTCAAAAACATTAACAGCATTTTTTTTTAAAGCCATTTTAAAAGCCAATTGATCAATATAATTAAAACACTCTGTATATCCGCCAGTGGCACATAACATCAATAATCGTTTGGACAGTTTTACCGTCACTTTGCCGACAACCACTTCGCCGACAACCTGGGCGAAGTGCCACTTCAGCAAAGTGGTAATTCGGCGAAGTGGTAATTCGGCGAAGCGGTTGTCGGCGAAGTGGAAATTCGGCGAAGTGACCGACACCCAACGGTCTATCTTTTTGTGCGGGGGTTAACACAATGTAATTGTCTGTATATATGTTCAAACAGTTTATATCGACAGAAGCATTTTTTTTTATTTTCTAAAGAGTACAAAAGTTTAAAAGGTATATATTTTTTTTTAATCTACAGGAACATTAAAAGTAGAAACGATTAGCACAGATTTACATACCCCAAAACTGAATGCTCCCCCACTCCCCACTTTGAACTATAACTGTCCCCTCCCCCTATTTTCAGCATGTTTTGAGCGACTGGAAGATGACATAACAAGCATAGGCCTACTTTTAAAAAAAAACACAGAAAAGAAAAAGAAAACTGGACTTTTCAAAATACCTCCAAGGCCTTGACATATTAAAAAAAAAATCAAAAAGTTCACAGAAAAAAAAAGGAAATAAACATATTTTTCCACCCTCAACTCTCACAAGATCTCCAATGTCATCAGAACATATCCTCACCCGTAGTATTCACTGGTAACATAACTTGCCTCACTCGCGTACACTACCACAATGATAATGACAGTAATGATGCTTACGACAATCGAACCAATGCCGATGCCAAGACCCACGAAAGAGTAGGTCTTGGCTTGCCTGGAGGCCTCCTCGGCGCCGGCGATGTCCCCGACGAGGAACCGGTTGCGCACCTGACGAAATTATACAAACGGAATAATTGAGACAGAATGAATCGCCACCAAGGATTTGGCACGGAGAGTTTTCACAGTGCATTGTGGGAGATGGTCGACAAATTCGCAGCGCGGGACGTCAATTGAAATTGGTAGTTTATTTTCCCGTCAGTAGTTTCATAATCGTATGACTCGAGACTACATTTGCCCTCTTCTTTTTCTTTTCATCAATATGGTGTTGTTTGGTAAGGCGGCAGAAAGCTATACCCGAATTTATAACAAATTAGCTCAAGTTGTCTACTGGCACCATTGATCTCCATTAGTAAGTCTTACTAATGGCGACCAATGACTGGCACTCATTCAAATGGGCCGTGTTTTGTCAATCGTAAAATTGACTCTCAATGGCAAACTCTTGGTGGCGCACTGCATTGCAAATCACCCGAATACTTATCGCCCGAATACTGGATGTGATGCCTGTTCATTGCAAATTACTATCTAGGTGATTTGCTGGCACCCATTTTTATACTCCAAGTCGGAGTGAAGCAAGCGGGGTGAAGTGGCTTGCCCAGGGACACAGTTATGACCGGTAGCTGGCAGGATCTGAACCCCTGACTCATGTCCACCTGATCACGAGTCAAAAACCTTATACTCCAAGGCCCCACTCTCCCTTGCCTTACTTAACTGGGGCAAAATTTGCAGGAGGCGAACATCAAAGGAGTCAAGTGGGGGAGGATGGGGTGTGAAGGGAGGGGGAGGGCCTTGATTACGTCAATACTTACGTCATTGGCCTTGATCAATCCCACAATGCCGAGGGGCAGGCAGCAACAGATGGTCACAAAGAGCGCCAATCCGAAGTAATCTTGAGGCTGGCAGGTAGTGGTGGTGGATACGATGGTTTGAGGCTCTGGTGCTACTACCTGAACCATCTGATATCAGACAAGGGAAATGTGGTTTGAAACTTTGCATGGTGGGAAGGTACAATGTTTTTGCATGAAGTATATTTTGAACAACATACTTTTGAATTTATATGATTTTTTTCTTTGTAAACAGTGAATTTTTAACCTTCATGGCATAACCATTACAGTTTGCTACCTGTGTGCTTTTTAGTTAAAGATATACAAAACGTGAAAAGAACATGAGTACAAAAATACAAATTGTTCCTGCCTTTTGGGTTTCGGTTTTTGTTTACTCACTCTGTACTGCTCTTTGCCCCTCTGTGCACAAACAAATGGAAGGCCTTTTCATCAAAGTAAATGGTTAATTTTTACTCATCACCTAGATCGTATAAGTACTAGTTACTCGGGCTAGCCTACCGGTACTGCATTTCCAGCAGGATAGGTTGGGTAGTTGTATTGGGGCGGCGGGCCATAGCCCTGTTCAGGTTGGGGCTGGCTGGGCGGATAGGTGGGCCCCGGAGCTTCAGCCTCATTCTGGAACTGTGTATATCCTGTAATCAATGAGATGGCAATCATGTAGTTTAGGACATACCCCATTCCAATGGACCGATCCAGTAAGCACCGCCCCATGGTGTACTGACCAATCACAGCCGTGATTTATGTCCGACGTGCGTGCACAAAAGGCCGACATGCGTGCACGCGCGTATGATGCGCGCGGCAGGAAAATGCAGTGTGGCATTGGAGAGGAGCACGTGGTAATTTGCTCAAGTGCGCAGTGGGCGGAGCTTACTGGATCGGTCCATTATGTCTTTCTTGGGGTCTGATTGGCTCAAAATGTTGTACGATCGTAGCCCGACACGTATTATAAAGGGAAATTGACATATCGCGGTAGAATCGCCCGCTAGAATCGCGTCAACGCAGCTTGCAAAATACAGGGTGACTGAACAAAAAAGAAAAGAAACCCAAGTGATTGTCGGGACCATTGTTTTACCGAATTTCTTCATGTAGCACTTTCATCTAACACATAGAAGCCCATTTCATAAGCTTTCTTTTAGTACAAGAATCATTCGAATCACTCTTGTACTTTTCAAGTTACGGAGTTTCAAACACAGCCACTGTTTTAAGGTTCTGTCCACGGATCACAAGAAGGTAAGTGTTCTTTCAGCAAAACGAAAACAAATCTCATAGGGCTGTGTGTGAATTGTATTCGTTTTGCTGAAAGAACGCACACCTTTTTTGTGATCCGTGGACAGAACTTTAAAACGGTGGTTTTGTTTAAAATTCCGTAACTTAAAAAGTACATGAGTGATTTGAATGATTCTAGACTTGTACTAAAAGAAAGCTTTTGAATTGGGCTTTCATATCCTAGATTTTAAAAGTGCTACACGCAGAACTTCCCTAAAACAATAGTCGCGACATTTGGGTATCGCTTTTTTTGACTCATCCTGTATTGTCTTATTACATGATTTACAATTGGACGCGGAACGCGCGTAACATCTGAGACAAACACAAATTAGTCAATAAAAACTCCAATGGGTTGTCTAAAGGGCGTGGCTAACTCGCAAACGGCGATAGGTCAATTAACCTAAAGTCACGATAAAAAACATTAATTCGATTTTTAATAAGATTTCATTTGATACCAAAAAACCAATCTTTTTAACGATTTTTAATCATGCAATACAAGAAATAGACTGGCACCTGAAACAACCAGTCCAACACAGCTTCAGTATACTGCCTCAATAAACTGTGCCAAAAAGAACATGTGGCATGAACCGGGAACTGGTCTCTATTTATTTCTGCACATTTCTCCACAGCCACCAATATTTTGTAAAGACTGCCTTTTTCCATTTAAATGCCCTTTTTTACAACAGGCTTACCCCCCCTCCCCAAAAAAATATTTTTTAAAGAGTGCCCTTTGTTTTAAGAATGTCCATTTTTTCTGAACAAGTGCCCTTTTTTAAAAAGAAGTTGTTGCCTTTTTTGTGGCATCTGCCGTTTTGGGTGCCTTTTTCTGAATTTCGCACATGTATCGCCCAGAAAAGCACCATATATATTTCGTTTTGAACAGCGCCCCCATCGACAGACGATACCAGGCCCCCCCCCCCCTTTTTATGTTAGGGAGGCCAAGTGTCCGGAGAAAAAAAATGGTCAACATTTCACCACGGATGTGAAAGTGCCCTTTTCAAAAAAATTACCCCCCCCCAATAAAAATGACCGTGCTACGCCACTGACATTTCTTTGCCCAATGGAATTTTTGGAGAAATTTGCTGGCTAAAGTAAAGAGTGAGTAAAGTTGACCTGATTTATAGTTTTGCACGTTTCAGGGCACGACAGGTCCCAGTCTGAACTACAGCATGACTTTGGGCCGGGTAAAGGAGCCCTTGTCATCATTGTATAATTCCTAACTATAAACTTTTACTATATTGATACATTTAAAAAAGTTACACATCTTTGCTTTAGCTTTTTTTTAATACATATTCATAAATACCTCAGACAGTTTAGCCATTCCTATTGGTCGAGAGCCCGTCACGTGGCCGGTATTAAACGGATGATAAAGACATGGCTAGCTGGTCTTAAACACTTTTCCAGTGTCACAATAAAATGTGGACTCCTAAAAATCCAGTGCCTCTTATCGTTTCATTGGTTGAACGTTCACAATCCTCACGTAGGCATGCGCAACACTACCAGGGAGTTAGAATTTTATAGTTCTAAATTCAAAACGCAACGCGCCAGGTGCGTTCTGCGCGACATCGCATAGAACATGATACGCGCGCGTCAATCTCCATAAAAGGGTTGTTTTCATCTTACTCGCCAGCTGAACACTCCATTATTTTGCAGGAGGGATGATTCAAAAAGCATAAAGTGAATTTGTTGAACAAAATCGGGATGTTTTGAACGAATTATATGATTTTTTTTTACCGAAAAGATATTTATGAATGGGAATAAATATGTACTCCGTCGGTATTTATCACTCTGTTTAATACCACTTAGAGTCTGGGTGCTGATAATTACCCTCGCCTCCGGCTCGGGTAATTATCAGCACCCAGACTCTAAGTGGTATTAAACAAAGTGATAAAAACCTCCGGAGCACACATTTATTCCCTTATTAGAATAAATGTAATACATAATTTAATCTGATCCATAAGATTATTGACCTTTATTGTTTGGTCAAGTGGCTTTTGTTTACTATCATCTCGATAATTTGAAAATATAAGATGACCATTTTGATTAGTTATAGACCTGGTGATGTTATGCTTTATTGACTACCAAAACGGTTTAAATCATATAATTGTTTCGTTTGTTTTATTCATGCATAACAAAACGGTTTAAGTCATATAATTATTTCGTTTGTTTTATTCATGGTATTATAATTAGTTCCTTTTTCCATCAGGTACTTTAATCTCATACTTATACTAAATGCAATTTGATTAATAACCTGTTCTCTTTCCGATCGTTCATCTCTCTACTTTGTTATTGTTATTCATAAATACCTTGGAGAGTTGATGGTTTCTGATTGGTCGAGACTCGATCACGTGGCCGGGCATTAACGGTGATAATGGACCGGCTTCAACGATCAAGCCAATAAATGGCCCCTGAACCAGCATTGATCAACCCCTGTTCAGCCCCATGCAAGCCAATGATTGGTCAAAATATAGTAACAGTCCTGCGGTAGCTTGTAACAATAGAGCATTGCACATGCGCTGAACCCCCATCGCGTGAGACTGACGCGCGCGTACGCAACACAGTTGCTAGGCATGCGTGCGTGCGCGCGCGTAAGGAAGTTTTGAAACGACATCGTACAGCAGTGCAGTATATACTGAGGATGTTTACGACGAAAGCGTAGATCTACGATTAATTTTTTTCTTTGAACACTTCACCCACCGACATATTTACCTTTCCTAAACCAAGCATTTTTGTAATTCCGGACACAAGGTATGTGTAAACAAGATTTCAGCTTCCTCCATCAGGTACAGATATGAAAACATTGTTGTAATTTGTTTCGCTACGGCAGCAGTTTCTGTTGACTTAACGTCGTTATAGCTGTTAAGCTAAAATATGGCCCATGATGCATGAACATGAACACAAAAAAGTCAGGAAATATCGCAGAAAGAAAGTCAAAAAATTGGAGCATTGTAATTGTTTATTTCGTTAAAAAGGTATTTATTAATGGGAATAACAGTGTGAGGATCCGGTCTTCACTGCGTGATAATGACCGGGTGTGGGGGTGACCGCTGTTAATGGACCGAGACGTCTCGGTCCATTAACAGCGGTCACCCCCACACCCGGTCATTATCACGCAGTGAAGACCGGCTCCTCACACTGTTATTCCCTTATTCATCTAAATCTTGACTCCTTAGGAACTAATACTACCCCCGGGTGATGCTGATTGTATATAACTTTTGTGAGTTGAATATGGGTAATATTTCATGGAAAACTGGACATGGCTGAAAAATAAAAATGTATATCTTCAGAACTACAAGCACCACCACAACCAGTGGGCATGTATCAAATTAAAGGGAACAATTACAACAAACTTTCATTTTACGTGGTACAAAAAAACGAAAGACACTGGACTCCCTATACCAAAAAGATAATATATATGCAAGTCTACCGTCTCAAATTAGTTAGATCAAAAATCTCTTGTTGGTTTTGTAGTGGCACTTTCACGGTATAATGTGCGCCATCTTGTTCATGGGGCAACAAGAACAAGAACGCGGGTGCATTTGATTTTTCAATGAACGCACGACGATGACTTGGAAGCGCAAAAGTGTCGGTTGGCGATGCGACACATGTACACAACAAAGCGCGTGTACATTTTGACACGTAGAGCAAGATGGCGCATTTTTAGTACAGTGAAAGACGGGCTGTCATTTTCTGTTTTATTTCTGAACAGATTTCACTCGTCCCCATTGCCCTGACCAAAGTAATAAACCACATCATACATTTTGAATAAGTATACCATAGGCCTACCTGACGACATGATGGTTTGCGTGGAACAGAAGGCAAAGAGATTCAACCTTTAAATTACACTCGGCGCTCAAAGTCTGAATATTGGTTCCGTGAGCTTGTTCGTATACCGTACTGAAGTGATGCGAGTCTGATGCAGCTAGCGCTAGCTAAGGTGGCCAGCAGGGTGACCGTAAGTTCATGGCCAAATTCTGCTAAATGAACTTCAAAATCTGTCAGATTTATCAAAACTCTTCCAAATTCCCGTGAATTACTCGAAATACACTATAAACACTTAAAATCACAAGCAGATGTTGTAATCATTGCCTTAATTAAGGTTCAAATAACATTATAAACAATCTATAGTCATATAGGTATTATAAAATGGCGTAAATCAATTCAGTCAAAACGAGGTTGCGTCGCGACGAAATCCGATTCCCACCTCAGCCCATAGACAAGGCAACCAGTCCTATTTTGCAAGGGTTTGTTTTGAAAAGATTGAAGCTTTTTTAAAAAAAATCTGGGCCTACTTTTTTTTCAAATTTGCTATTTTTTTGTCAAAAAAACATTTTTGCAGAATTCTGCCAGAAATCTGCCAACAAAATCCATTCCGTCAAATTTTCTGTCAAACTCGTTTATTTTTTACAAAAAAATCTGTCAAAGTTAGCCGAAAATCGGCTAAAATGGTCATTATGGTGGCCTGTGTAGCACCATATACACCTGCTGGTACATGTATAATCAATGTCAAAGAAACGCTCCACGCATAATTCGCTCGCCGCACACAATGAGATGAGGAGGAGGTCAAAGTATAACAATATCACGCATTGTCGGTCGAACGTAGACTAGTTTAGTAAACCACGGCTTCATTAGCGAATCGGCTGCATGCCTTCTTCGGAACATAATATATACGTTGTGCCAATTAAAATAAGGTGTAATTAAGTTGACCCCGAAAACGGACGAGATTTTACGAGAAACTGAACTTCCGGGCACATCGATTTGGAGCTCCAACGTGTAAACCGAAGTGTTCATGAAATAGTAATTGTTTTGGCGCTGTTTTTGTTTAACAAAAAAGTAAATACAAACTTTAATAAATATTATTTCCATTACAATTTGCAAAATGTGTAAGATATATCAATCAAATTAGGGAAAAGGAGAGCGATAAAGGCTAAATACGTCATACGTACGTAATGATCCATACTGAGCCTTAATTATCGCAAAATCGCTCGTACCCACCGCCCTACAAACAGCTAGGACGCCGGGGAAGGGCTGATGAACTTCACAGAATCTGGTAAAGGAAGTGGGGATTGCATTCTGGGTAATTTATCATGACCTATGTATAAAGCATCTGGCTGCAGCTCAGTGTTTAAAACCGCGGTTAGCCAATAGACCGCTTGCAGACGCGTTCGATAATTGACGCGCTAAGGTGAGCGACGCCATGTTATGGGACAAAATGTGCGTGAATTGATATACGCCTGTCCCACAACATGGCGTCGCGCGCCTTCGCGCGTCGATTATCGAACGCGTCTGCAAGCGGTCTATGCGCGCAAATGCTATAACCGAAAAGTTTCTCATAGAAATGCATACATTCCATACCGGATGTGATTTTTTTCATTGCGGACAATGTGGACAAATTTTGAACGTCGAATGATATAGGCATTTCTACCCTAGTGAGTCTGTGCAAGGAGTTGAACACTTACAAAACAGATAAGTTTTACAGGTTTTCCTACATTATTACGCTATTACGCTTTTCAACGGTTGCGCAGAATGTTCTGGGCAATAAAAATTGCATTTGTATAGTTTGCGAGGGCTTAAGGCGAAACGCCGAAGAAATGGTGGTTTGGTAAACTAGTTTACTAGACTGCGGCCTCATCAACAGTTCGGCTTGAGGAGATTAAATGGAGGGTCTTTTGCTTAAAAAATGCAAATGTCAATTTCCTGCAACAAATCAAATGGAATTGTTTACTTTGTGATTTCGGGGTTCTATCATTTACATTTGTTTCAAATTTGTAAGGACAATTAGGGATTCCGAAGAAGGCATGCAGTCGATTCGCTAATGGATCCTTAGTTTAGTAAACTAGTGCACCTTGATTCGTGACGTTCTTAAAATTCGTTGTTTACGTACGTACGTACGGCCCGGGCAACGTACGTATGTGTACATGCATCAATTTCACGTCGTATCGGTTCAAATCACGAAAACCAAACTCTCCGATTCAGTGTCGCAATTAATGTAATGAGCAAGGTTGATTCTGTTTTCCTTCCTCCATGCTTTTACCATCATGTCGACAGGTATGATTATTCAAATAATATGATGTGGTTCATTAGTCAGGGCAATGGGGACGTGCGAAGTTTGTTCAGAAACTACTGTAGAAAACAACCGTCATTTTAAGTTCTGTAGTGGGGTAAATAGGGGAAATTGCCTGTGCCATCTTGGTTTTTTAGTCTGTTTTCTGGTTGTCATCGTCGTCTTTTATCCCTCAATTTCCCTTTAAAATCAAAGCCCTGCTCCTGTCCACAAAATTAAACCTACTAATATTCAAGAAGGTGTCATTGCCAATTGTTCAGATGTGTCAAGAAATATCAGAATGTCAATTTTGAGTGTCATTTAGTCAACTGTTTTGGTGAGTCTTTCCCTTCCTATATATGAACGGGGTCCTAAAAGTAAGGATTACCCAAATATCTTTCTCACGACATACTCTTGACTGCATGTGTACCAAATGTCATGCTTGTATCATCAAAGGCCCAATCCCAACGCCTATAATCTATATAGCATCATTTATTTTTGTTCTAATTATCTTTTTGACAGCAGGATACCATTATAAGCAGTTACTTACGAATGAGAACGATGCCGATGAGGACTACGGACCGCCACCCGAATACACTGACTACCCGAAATGTCCTCCAGGAGACACGGTACATGTCTGCTTTTCCTCATAACTAATCTCACATAATTACCCCCCAGGGGCGGATCCAGGAATTGTCGCAGGAGGGGGGGGGGGTTTCATCAGCAAAAAAATCTGAAAATGTACACAGGGTTTTTTCTTCGGACACTTGGCCTCCGTAAAATCAAAAACGGGGGGGGGGGGGGGGGGGGGGGGGGGGGGGGGGGGGTTACTATATTTCAATAGGGGGCGCTGTTCAAATCCGACAATTATTAAAGGGAAAATACAACATTTGCAAACATCAAAAAATAAAACTACCAAATCATTTTGAAATACCTTGCTGGACTGTTAGTGAATGACAGTGTAAAGCATCCTGTAAAATCATGGCACGCACACCTGGTATACTGTCATTTTCAAGAAAAGTGGTATTTTTGTATCAATTTCCAACGCTGATCGGCCGATCAGCGTTGGAAAAAACTGGCTTTTTTTTCAAATACTGGCCCCAATTGACCATCGCACTTGTTTGCAATGGATTACAAACCTATGAACAGGTACGAGCCAGCTAGACTGGTTCCCTGACCTTACAATTCCCCAATGTATGTAAACGGCTCTGTTTCTTCTTATATGGAGTCAGGGAACCAGACTACAGGAAAATGATTGTTTTTCTTGGTTTTTATAGCATTTTCGAACCCAAAACCTTGAAAAAGTCAGTGTAACTATATTTGCTATATATTTCCAACCCCCCAATTCCATCCATTTCTGAAAATTACAGCAAAAGCAAATGATGTATATTCCCTTTAACACTAGATTACAGAATGGTGTACCGTAGTTTGAACAGGAAGACATTATACGAGTATATTCTTTGGGGGGTGACACAGCATGGGGGGGGGGGGGGGGTTTCAACTTATTTTTTAGGAATTTGTATGAAAAAATTTTTTGACAGAGCTGGGGGGGGGGGCTTGGCTTTTGACCCACAAAACCCCCCTCTGGATCCGCGCCTGCCCCCGCCAAGGAGGTTATGTTTCACCGTTGTTGGTTTGTGTGTTGGTTGGTTTGTGTGTTGGTTGGTTTGTGTGTTGGTTGGTTTGTGTGTTGGTTGGTTGGTTGGTTGGTTGGTTGGTTGGTTGGTTATAACATGGAGGAAGGAATTTCCTTCCTCCATGTTATTTTTTAGTGTGTTTTTCTGTGAAAAGGATAACTCAAAAAGTTCTGGATGGATTGTAATGAATTTTTTTAGGGGTGGTCCTCGATACAAATCGATTAGATTTTTGGAAGTAATCGGAATCTGCGTGTGGATGCTGGATATGGTGCACAGCCGGGTTCGTAAAAGGTTATTTTATAAGAACCGTGTACATGCAAGTATATATGCTTTAAAAAAAAATTAAATTTCTCTCGTCTCATACCAGGAGGTTCAGGTAGTGGCGCCCCGGCCTCAAACCATCATATCCACTCCCAACGTGTGCCAGCCTAACGATTACTTCGGATTGGCACTCTTTGTGACCGCTTGTTGCTGCCTGCCGCTCGGCATTGTGGGATTGATCAAGGCCAATGACGTAAGTAATGACGTGTAATTGCAGCCAATCCTCCCCACTTAATCATTTCAAGCAATTCACAATGCAGTGCGCCACCAAGAGTTTGCCACGGAGAGTCCATTTTTCAAGTTTACTGTCGACAAAACCATTTGAATGAGTATCAGTAGACAATTTGAGCTAATAATATGTTATAGATTGAGCATAATAGCGTTCTTCCGCCTTACAAAAAACACCATATTGAAAAAAAAAAAAAGCAAAGAAAAGGGCAAACAGATACTCGAATCACACGCTTACGAAACTACTGACCGAAAAAACGAACAATTTCCCACAATGGGACCATCTCCCACAATGCACTGGGAAAAATGAACTCTCCGTAGCAAACTCTTGGTGGCGCACTGCATTGTGAATCGACCGAATTGCTCTCCCCAGTGCCGACCCTGCACACTAATTACCCCAGTTTGGCTGAGTAACTCATGATAAGAGGGTCGGGAGTCCAGATCTTGCTAGTTGATGATCATATGCTGTGTCCTTGGGCAAGCCACTTCACCCCACTTAAATGTCTCTCTCCACCTGGGAGTATAAAGAAATGGGTATCAGCATATTAGCTATGTACAGTCGAGTCTCGGTAATACAAACTCATTCGGACCTAGCAAAATTGTTTGTTATATCAGAATTTTGTATTAAGAGGACATCAGTCCCATTCATTGTGCACATAAATGCACAGCCGGGACTAAGGCTTTATGTTTGTTATAACCAGAAATTTGTATTAACAGAGTTTGTACTAACGAGATTCGACTGTAGTAACTTGCAACGGACAGGCATCACATGAAGGTGAAATAAACAATATTGTGTCGATAATTAATTGGTCTCAATTATCACCCGTTTCTATAACTGCAACAGGTGCGCAACCGTTTTCGATTGGGGGACATCGCCGGCGCGGAGCAAGCCTCCAGGGAGGCCAGGAAATACTCCTTCTGGGGGTTAGGCATCGGGATCGTTGTACTGGTTGGGACCATGATTGCTACTATTTTGTTGGTCATCATGGAGATAAACGCCATTGAAAATCTTCAGCCTATTTACGAAGGGACGAATTAGGCCCAAAAAACGTTGTGTTTTTTTTTCAAATTTTTTTTTTTTCAAGCAACGAACGTTTTGGCGAAGTGTTTTTGTCAAAATCAGTTTACTTCAACTAAATCATGGCAATCACTGTTCGGAAAATTTCACCTGAATCGTATTTTGAGTTTTCACGAAGAAACAAATTCAAACTCTATTGCGTTGTTCTATGGGGCAAAAAAAACGCGCGGACAAATTCAAACCTTATCACGTTGTTCTATGGGGCAAAACACAATGCTCGTGTGGAATTTAAGTTTTCACGAAGAGTCAAATCTCTACGGAGATTAATTACTCCGCAATTAATTTTTCTATTATACTGTTATTGGCACATCTTTGAAGTTTAAGATCTCAGCTTAGGCTAGGCTACTGTTTGTATTAAAAATTAGTCGGCATGTGCTAAAAAAAAATAGGAAAAATCTTTTTTCTTTTTTTTTTTACTTAAATTCCGTTTTTCGCAAAACCACTGTTGGTCCCGTGGCCCAAAATCGTCCCTTCGTGAAAGCGTTGACAAATTATATGACTTAAAGAAATGAGCATAATGATGCATGATGTTGGAGAATCGTGAAAGTTAAGTGTAGAAAAAGATTCTTATGTTTTTCTGCGGAATTTTAAAACTTTTTTTCAGTGTCTTGGAAAAAATTATTTTCAAAAGTCCATTTTTATTGTGGGCCACAAATGAGCATGTGATGAAACTGTTCATCGCAGACACTTAAATTGCATCAGTGTACTTGTTGTATTTCCCATTTTTAAAAAATTGTGAATATTATGGGGATCTGAAGTTGTGGAGAGGACAGCTGTATAACGAGCATGGTGTGGCATTCTGGCGATATGAATCTTTAGTTATTGACCCCTATTAATAATAATATTGCTGTAGATTCAGAAATACATTTTACTATTTTTCACTCCTTACATAATGAAAACAATTGCTTTTTGTGATAAAACGGGGAAAATCCACAAGTTCAGTGAAATGAAAAACACCCTTATTGTAATAAACACTTAACACGTTCATAAAATGAATAACCTGACATTAATGCGTTTTACAATTAAACACTTTTGTGTGAGATAATGTGTCTATGCATTTAAAGAGAATATACATCATTGGCTTTTGCTGTAATTTTCAGAAACGAACTATTTCAGGGGTTAGTATAATAGATCAAATATTGTTACACTGACATGTTTCAAGTTTGGTGTTCGAAAATGCTGGAAAATCCAAGAAAAACAAAACTGTTCAAGTAGTCTGGTTCCCTGACTCCACTAAATATAAAATGGATCAATTTACAGATGCCGGGAAATTGTACAAGGTAAGGGTACCAGTCTAGCTGGCCTGCACCCGTTCATGAACATGTAACCAATAGCGAACAAAATTTGGACTGAATTAATGGTGAATTTGGAGCAGTAGTTGAAAAATAGTTAGGTTTTTCCAACGGTGGTCGGCCGACCACCGCTGGAAATTTTTACAAAAATACCATTTTCTTGAAAATGACTTCACATCAGGTGCCGTAATTTTACAGGATGCTTTACACTGTTATTTACCAACATCCTATTAAGGTATTTCATAAAAACTTGGCAGTTTCATTTTTCGATGTTTGCAAATGTTGTATATTCCCTTTGAAGGGCTGGTTGTGTTTAATCATCTATCACTGAATAAACGCACTAACGTGTATTTCAAACCCTTTTTAGTTTAAAATCTTCTAATGTGGGACTAACATCATGGATTGAAAGGTCAGGCCCAGAGTGAGCCTGTCTCATCTTATATGCAGCGTTACCACTCACAAAATCTGAAAAAAACCCCAGATTTTGCTCGGAAAAAACACTAGAAAAACACTAGATAGTAAAACATGATTAATTGGTACACATGTGTATGCTACACCGAAGCACAAGCTCGATCAGTGCATGCTCAGTGCAATGAACCATGAACTAAGACATGTAAGACAATGCCCATATCTGACTTTCTAATGGAGATCAATGTCTGTCATCACGCGACGCGTCAAGCACGGCCGGCCAGCCACTGTGACGAGACTGGTAACCCTGTCTGAAAGTGGTTTGTTGTTCAAATATTGGGCTAATTCAAATGGGTGTAACCTTTTTCTCTCAGTTATCTTCTTGTGAATGGTATAAAAAATTATGTTTCTCATACATTTGTATAATTTGAAATTCTGATTTTTCAAAAAAAACACCAGATTTGGCGATTTGAAGAAAAACGGACGCTAGAACCCCAAATCGGACCAAAAAACCCCAGATCTAGTGTAAAAACGCATTTTTTTGGTATTCTTTTAAATGTAATGTTTGATCCTATACAGTACTATTATAAAAGTTATATGAAAAGTTTGCATTGTTTGTATTTTTCATAAGCCATATATAATGATAATAAAAATAATAATAATAATAATTTTGAACATAAACACAGTTTTAAAATTGTGTCCACAGCATCACATTTGAAGTTGCTATATTCATATCTTGTAACGTAGCCCTGAATTCATGTATTGAAATCACGTGTTCTTTCCATTCCAATTTGCTTATGTTAATATGAAATGTGATACTGCATATTGGCGGGATATTAGATTGTAACATTTTAACTTCGAAAACAATCGTGTTTTCGTAACTCACGATGCGACGAATTGATGCTATTTTACCTTAAACACCGCATACCAAAACAAACTCTAATGTAACGCACATGCAGGCACCAGACTATTCCTCATTTGCATTCAAAAATTGTGCACATGCCAATGATCCAATACCTGGGTGAGAGAGCAGGTAGTGGTGGGCGCGTACTGCTCGAAACCCTGGGGACGAGGTTGGATCATCAGCATCACCCTCATTTAGGGCTATTCCACAATCACGCAGATAATTGAACCAAAAATCAATGATAATTGTGAACACATTTTGTGAAGGGTCATGATTTTTTTTTTTATACATTTTTAAGCTTGTGATAAAAAACCCACAATTTTTTTGAGATACCGACTTAAACTTAAAGCCAGAGTCCATCATTTGTAATTTATGCATTTTGTTCGTTTGAAGCAACAAAAGTGTTTAAAATCTAATGACGGATACTGAACAACTAACCTGATGAAGTTTTAGCTCAGCTTCAGCTGTATATTCCGTGAAAAGCAGCATTCTAGGATCTCAATTTCAAATCAAAAGTTGCTGAATCATGTTTTGAATTGGGCCTGAATTCAGCGTCCGAGACACGTTCTCACTGAGCCGGTTGCAGCTATACGCGATGTTGCGCACTGATCCGACGAATTATAGCACACCGCACGCGCGTGTGCGTCGTGCCAATGCTTGCGCGCGCTTCGTCGAATAACAAAACGAACTACTAATTTAAATTTTCCTACGGTGCGTCTTATGAAGCCGCACCGTTGGAAAGGCCTTCTTTTCGTTGATTACTTCAAAATGACAGAGTTGTAACGAGTCACTGATTTTTGTGACTCGAGTCGAGTCGAGTCATTTTAAAGAAGTGACTCGAGTCGAGTCGAGTCATTAGGTCAACAAGGTCGAGTCGAGTCGAGTCGAGTCGAGTCGAGTCAAGTACTTAACTCGAGTCAATTCGAGTCACAAATATTTGAACACTAAATTACAATAAAAAGCAACAAACACAAGAGAGAAAGAATACAAGGTACCAGTCTATTACGGAAATCCAAAGACATAAAGTATGCTGTATGGTACCCAACCAACAGTTTCCATTGCTAGCTCACGTCACAGATAAGAAGATGTGAAACTTCAGTCTTATAACTGGTTTGGCTTCGGGTCTAGATTTTGTTGTTCGCTGATCGCTGACAACGTTAAAACCTAATTGCATTATACAAAACTGTTTCTGATTATTTAAAGGTGGGCCCGTCCGTATCCATTTTTTTGTGTGAAATCGGGACATGAATTTAGCCAGCGTTCCACCAAGAACTTCAAAATCGCCCGAAACCAATGATGAAACCACGGATTGAGAAATGCGTTTTAAGTCTGGTTCCGGGTTTAGCATTACATGCTATAGAACCACAAGGTGGGAGTCCGCGACACGGTGTATGTTTGTTGTTTCATTATGGAGGAAGGAAACAGACTGCCGCTGTATATAAACGTACATTATTCGCGAACATTAACGTGACGTGAACAAAAACTGGCAACGCGAACGGCGCAGCGTAAGTCATTGCAAATATTTTTCGCAAGTAACTTTTGCTTTTATTTTGGGACTCGAGTCTTAATAGCCTTCCTCGAGTCGAGTTGAGTCATTCTGATGAGGGACTCGAGTCGAGTCGAGTCATTTGCTCGCAGTGACTCGAGTCGAGTCGAGTCATTTACCCGTCGGGACTCGAGTCGAGTCGAGTCGCCAAAAAATGTGACTCGAGTCGGACTCGAGTCGAGTCATTGACTCGAGTCATTACAACTCTGCAAAATGACAGCTTGCCTGAAAGAATAATTTCACAGGGAGTTTAGTCCCCTTACTATCTTTCAACCAAGTATGTTTTTCAACAATAATTACGCCAGTTACTTTTCGGATGGCTGCAAATGATGGACTCCGGCTTTAAGGCAATTCCGACTTGATTCAAGTCTAGCGTGAACTGCCCTTGTTTTCATGCAGTAACACTACACTGGAGTTAAAAACCTACAAAACTGGTAACCTGCCATCACGCTTTTCAATAAAGCCGTATTACGTTTACCAGTGTATAGCATGGCATACGGCCGTGATAACAACTGAACCAAACCATAATGCAAAGAGCAGTGCAAAAAATGTTCACAATGCATAGTCGAGTGCGAATTTTAAGTGCATGTACTTCCGCCTAAATTGTACACAGTCAATGGGCATTCGTATAGAACTACTGTGGACCTCACAGGAAAACCAGACCCAAGTTCGAAGTTACGAAAGGCGAAAACAACAACCTCATCATAGAAATAGTCCCACACAAATATAAAGCTCAATCATAAAGTTTCAAACTGGATCAAATGCTACAAATGAAACATATATACCATTTTGAAGCTTACATCTAGTATCTGTACATGTATTTTATTGCAAGATAGTTCATTTAACAACAACAATTAATGTTCAATAGGTCGGCTGTAACTCAGTACGTGTAACTGAAAAACTTATTACTGTGTACGCATAAACAAAATCTATTTGTCTGAGTACGTCCGATGTCTACTGCAGAAAAAAAGGCCTTACGTACGTGTACGGTATATAATAAACAGAGTTAAATACTGAAAACAATGCAACTTAATTCAGCGATTATCATCGGTGTCACATTTCAATATTTGACAAAAAAATGATGACATGATTGTGAAAAGGATAAAGTTGTTTCAGACAGAGAAATTGTCTCGTAATAGTTGACAATATAGTTTTACAATTGTTATACCAGTTGTTTAATATTGCCGCATTTATTCTACGTCTTTATGTTTTATTGTATTGTATTCGTAATAAATGTATTTTTTAATGTAAGCATGGCCCCAGTGGAAACCAATCTTAAGGTGTATATACACTGGATTAAAAATGAATATAAGTAGCATAAATTCACAATTGTCTCAAAGCATACATTCTTTCTTAGAAAAATACTCTACAGAAAATACAAAATATGTATAAGGCCAAAAAAAAAAAATATTCGGTCTCTGGTCAGACCAAAGTTCCGGAATTGACGCGGCCACGCGGCTTTTTTTTTTTTTCTTCAAGCTTGGATTGTACAGACAAGGTGGGTACTATTTTGCTTTTTTTGGTGTCCTCATGTACATTGGTGTCCTCCATAATTTGCCTTGGTGCTTTCGATCATTTGCCTTGGTGCAATTTCTCATTCCTTGGTGCTCTTTGGTAAAAAAAAAATTGAGGAGGTGCGGAAATAGAGGGCGCTGTTGGAGCTACCGCGGAACATTTTGGAAAAAAAAAGATCGACGCGCATGATTAAAATCGTCGCGTGCGCTGACCAGAGACCGACTTATTTTTTTTTTTTGGCCTAAAATAAAAACTAATCACTTGCACAAGTTGAAAAATCTGTATACTGATCACACAGAAGAAGCATTTACGAAAATCATCTGGGTAGTTCTAAAAACATATACTCAAAACGCATCAGGATGCAATAGAATTTTGCAAAAATGGATTTGTGAAAATTCATTTTTCGTTTCAACTTATTTCGTTCCTAGTCTTCGTGTGTCCCTTTCTAATTAGATTTCAAGGCATTTTTTTTTGTTTTTATGCGAATGCTCAATTTTCATATTGATGAGCGAAATAGTGATGTCATCTTTGAGAGAAGCCTCATTGGTTCAGCAGACAAGAAATTTCTCGAATCGTTGTTTTCCCTATACTTTCACTTATTTTCTGTTGTCGTGATACCTCATTGGTTGAGTGCATGAAATTGAAAGGCATTTATGCAGTATGCAAACTATATCAACTATTACAGTAAAAAGGACTTTCCAATATTTTGTATAGTTAGTAACTTGTTCAAAGGTGAGGCCATTTACCATCTAAAATTGTATATTATGTTGGATCGAAATCTGAAATTCATTTCATCGTCCCTCAAGCATCGGAGAAACACATGCAGCTGCAAACTCTAGACTTTACCCCCCCCCCCCGCACCCCGCTTTTTGATTTTACGGAGGCCAAGTGTCCCTAGAAAAACACGTGTCTACATTTCACCACGGATATGCAAGTGCCCTTCCCCCCCCCCCTCCCCCCAAAATCAAAATGACCTTGCTACGCCGCTGCAATTATAGTGCCAATAATGGCTAGGACCAGTGCAACGATCCCGATGATAAGCCCAGCGAGGGAGAACGTTTTGGCTTCCCTGGATGCCTGCTCCGCGCCGGCGATGTCCCCGAATCGGAAACGGTTTCGCACCTGTGAAAGTTATATATAGACGGATTAATTGAGACAAAAACACATGATATTGTTTACTCCCGATCCCCCAGGATGTAATGTCTGTCTGTTGCAAGTTCTCTCCTAGCTAGTGGGGATCTCCATTTAAAGACTAAGTGGAGAGAGGCAAGTGGAGTGAAGTGGCTTCACCAAGGGCACAGCATATGACCAGCAGCTGGCAGGATCTGAACCCCAGGCCCCTATCTGATCAAACCCCAACCGCAAGGCCCCACCGTCCCACATAACTGGGGCAAATTTGCAGGGTCAGTGGGCGAACAACAAGAGGGTCAACTCTGTGGTGTGCGGCAGTATACTTACACTGTAATTACATTTAAAATAATTTTGTTATTACTTCGTCATTGTTTAGACAAAAAAAATAACACGCCACGAGCTCCCTATTGAACATAGCTAAAGAGCATCGTGAGTGCCCCTTTCATCCTGATTACACTATTGACCCAGAATGTCTGAGGCAAAGATCGGACCCAGGCCAACTCCTATAGGATGTGTATTGTCACGTACGTACAGACGTGTGTCAACCTCCCCCACGTGATAACGCGCACGCTTACATAGGCATAGAAGTGGGGTACTTCCTTTGTTCTCGTGTACTAAAATTTTGCAACGTCGCACACAAAAACACTTAGGTCAAAATTTTTATGCTCTTATTTTAACCGTAGTTAATTTCCTGGGCTGAAATTCGGACTTAATATCCCTTTTCTAAAACTCTTCCATTTGCGACTGATCAACCCACCTTGGAAATTCCTAGTTTTTGAGTAAAATTCATAATTTTTTTTCGTGAAAAACTTGTGGGGTACCAAAACGGTACCCCGCAAGTCGGTGATTCCTTGTCCGGTACCCCACAAGGCAGTGTTTGTACAGGGACATACACTTACATCATTGGACTTGATCAATCCCACAACGCCGAGGGGCAGGCAGCAAAGGATGGTCACAAAGAGCGCCAATCCGAAGTAATCGTTAGGCTGGCAGACAGCAGTGTAAGTGGATATGATGGTTTGAGGCTGAGGCGCTACTGCCTGGACCATTTGACGTAAGACAAAGGAAATGTTATTTGAAACTTTGCATGACAGAAATTAAGAAACAATAAAATTATTAAGTTTATTTTTTTTTTCTACAGGTAACTTAAGTAAAGGGCATCTCTGGGATAACTACGAGACTAGTCTCTGGGATAACTACGAGACTAGTAGTGATGAGAATTGACATGCATGTACCGTGTGTCCAGGAGGATAGGTTGGGTTGTACCTGGGCGGATCATGGCCCACTGCAGATTGGTACCGGGTGGGCTGGGTGGGTGGATGATTTACTTGATCACCACCCTCATCCTGGAACGTTTTATATCCTGCAATCGCAAAGATAATAAATTACACTAACAAGACGCAACTACAAGGTGGTTGTGTGTGTACAATCTGCAGGGAACACTTCTTTTAGTACTCGCTTCATACCACAACAAACCACATCATTAACCAAAGACGATGTTATTTTTCATATAGGAATAAATAATCAAGATGTATTACCTGTCGACATGATGGTTCTCTGAAAAAAAATCAGCCTTAATATTTACTCAGTTCTCAAGTTGGGAGAATTGGTTTGTCTTTGAGAGCGTACACCGACGTGAACAGGACAGACACGACCAGCCAACCACTACCAGTACACTGGCACTCTTCATGCCCGTACATAGCATTAATACGACAAACATTAATGTCAACGCACGGGACTATGATGCAAATAGTTGTCACAATGCGGAAGCTCGAACGTCACAGTCACGGGGCACGGTTCACCAGACTGTAACTGACTCTGACTGAGATCGCAAAGTAGATTTAGGGTTATGCTATTGTGCTTCACTGAATAATGTCTAACTTTGCAAAGTCGTGGGATCTTTATGGCGTTTTTGAATTTCAGTCTACGAGTACTCTCTCCATGAATAATTAGCCACTCCATGTATAAAAAGAGACTCCGTGAAAATGTCATGCCTCATAGTTCGGACATTTGGCTTAGAATTTGCGGACTCATGTTCTCAGACTCAACGTGTGAAATGTGATATGTTTAGGCGGGCTGAAAACGTCCAGTCGTTGCATGGACGGCGCTACAACCTGGCTGGACAAACATCAATAACACACACGTGGCTTCGTCAGCGATTCGGCTGCATGTCAACTTGAAGTCTTATTCTCAATCTCTATATTAGAGCTCGACTGCCAATGGTCCGATCCAGTAAGCACCGCCCCATGGTATTCTGACCAATCACAGCCGTGATTTATGTCCGACATGCGTGCACAAAAGTCCGACATGCGTGCACAAAAGTCCGACATGCGTGCACGCGCGTATGATGCGCTGTGGCATTGGAGCAACCTTGTGCCCCGTGGGTACGATCTTGCAGCACCATGTTGTTTCCCATCATGCCTTGCGTGATCGTAACCCCTGGAAGCGTAATTTTTTTTCCTAGGAGGGTTAGGGGCAATGTCATGAATAATTCAGTTTTTCCTTTGAATCATTGCAAGACTTAGGTTCTCGTTCTATTTTCCCCTTAATTTAAAATTATCCCAGTGATAAATTTGGAGAAGAAAAATAGCTGATGAAAATGAGCAGCGACGACGTGGATTCGAACCAGGGATCTTTGTATCCATAGTTCATCTCGCTATCCACTAGGCTACTGTGTGGTAGCTCGACGACAACCGTTCTTTAAAATGCTTTAATGTATTGTTACTAGTTGAGTAACTAACAACAATGCTGTTGATGTCATTGTCCGTTCTCATGGATAAACATGAATTATTCATGACATTGCCCCTAACCCTCCTAGGAATAAAAATTACGCCCCCTGGAATTGTGTAATTTAAATATACCAAAATACGGTACATTATAATTAGGGCTGCAGTTTATCCGTTTTACGTGCCTACGCCATCTTTAAAATGTTAAAAGTTGTGATTTTGAAGAATCAATCCTTTCAAACACAACGTTTGGACGTTGTGTTAATTATCAAAGATTTGTATCAAATGTACGTACCCCTTTCGTGCCTTTACAACCACAGATACAGGGTTTTTTTTAGCGAAAAACACGGCTGACATAATCCATATCGTACAGGCTTCGCGACTTTTGAATCATAATTTTTTTTCGTACGTGACGTTACGTGCAAAGCTTAGCACGCGAGCGCGAACGCATTATGGGCGCGCGCGGCGTGCAATCTTCGAAATGCCCGCGCAGTACGCTGTGAATAGCCATTCAGTGTCATTTACGTCATCATCACAGCCAGGGGTTAGTGTATAGGAACGAGCACGCGCCCCTGGAGTCGAGGCTGGACGGTTACTATATTTTGACCAATCATTGGCTTGCATGGGGCTGAACGGGGCTGGATCATAATGCTGGTTCAGGGGCCATTTATTCGCTTGATCTTTAAAGTCGTTTCATTATCACCGTTAATGCCCGGCCACGTGATCGAGTCTCGACCAATCAGAAACCATCAACTCTCCAAGGTATTTATTAATGATATGTACGTGTAATTCCAGTCACTTCCTGCATGGGTTTTATAGGTGCTTGGCTGGTTGATCATTCGGTTTCACGTTGATGTACTCTATAAAACATATACAAATTCTCCAAACTTGAGAACTGAGTAAATGTCAAGGCTGAATCTTTCAGAACACCATCATGTCAACAGGTAAATACATTTGATTATTTATTCAAAATTTGAAAAAGAACATCGTGTTTAATCATAATGATGTGGTTTATTAATTATTTTTGTCAGGTTATATGCAGTAGGGACGACATTTTTTTGTTGATCGCCACCGAATTTGTATACACAACCACCTTAAGTAGAATATTTTGGTCTAAGGCAGACTGGTCGGGACCAGACTAAACAAACACAAGACCATGGCAAACACGGGGACCGTCGTAGACAAATCATCCATCGTCAAGCACTCCCATACAGAAGACATCAAGATCAACTGGCAACAAGCAGAGCTCATCACCGGCATGAAACGTTTGTATTGGCGTCGCTACGGCGAGGCCATCCAGATCATCAAACACAATACAGTGCCCCAAGACATCGGTTTCTCCATCAGCGACATCTACCTCCCCCTCTAAACCCACGGATCCAATGGGTCTCTTTAACCCAAGGACCAACCTCGGCAAATGGGTCTCCTATACCCATGGCAACCCACCCCTCTGCTTCCCCGGTCCTTAATAACACGCTCCAGTGAAATTACATCCCGATTGACTCAGACTCACACCAGTGAGCATGCATCCTGAATTTCCTCAGTTTCCTGACGACGGACACAGTATGCTGCCTGAAACGTTGGGTTTAACCGGTTCTTCTTATAACCACCACCTAGCTACTCACAAAAGAGATTGATTTCACATGGTGCCACCGCAAACTGTAACCATTGCTGTTATCCTCACAATGCAAACTTTCCATTCTTATTTTTGGTCAAATTTATTATATTTGTGATTGCAGGACATCCACAGTTCCAGAAAGAGGGTGATGTTGATGATATGGCCAACTATCCGCCCACCCAGCCGCAACCTGCACAGGGCTATGCCCCGCCCCAGTACTACGCATCACCCCCTTCAGTCACGGTATTTGTCAATTCCATCCCTATAGTATTGGCCCCAGAGATATTGATATTTTAAAATTACTTCACATGATAATACATGTATAACTATAGGAGAAATAAGGTACATCCTGATGCCACTTTTTTTTCTGTAATCATGCATTTATTATATATCAATGAATGTCAGTCATTACTCTATGTAATAGACCGTGGTGAAAGCCCCGCCAGACACAGCAGCAAAGGCTTTGGTCACGCGCTATTATGTTATACGCGACACGGGGCCGTACCATAAGTCTGACGCCTCATAGAGGTCCGACGCCTCAAAGGTCCGAAATTTCGGACTAATGAGGCGTCGGACTTATGAGGCATAAATTCCGCCTCATAAGTCCGACGCCTCATAAGTCCCACAATGGACAAACGCTGTTTCGAGTATGAGGCGTCGGACTTAAGCGGCGATGGACCTATGAGGCGTCGGACTTATGAGCGGACCCCCGCGACACGTACGCGCGCGGCTGTTGTTGCATTATCATTGATCTCCATTAGTAAGACAATGGGGATCAATGATTACAATACACTGGACTCGAATTTACCAATGGTTTTAGTCCTGATTTGGGAATGAAATGACGTCACGATTTAGTAAAGTCGACTCCGATTGGCTGGCGCTCGGCATCCATATATCTGCATTTTATTATTATTATTATTATTCATGGTTTATTAAAAAATTCAAATTGGTTGCCAGAGGCAAAATTGCATTGAATTCACAATGAGTAAAAAAAAGTTAACGATAAAAAGTTCAGCTTCATTAAAAAAAAAAAAAAAAAAAAAAAAAAAAAAATTAATATAGATTAAACATGGACAGAGTCATTGTACAATGCATGTTTAGACATATCAAACGTTATACAGGAGACTTGGCTCCGTGGATAATGGGTGATACTCAGACTATACTACTAAGTCTTGCAAACGTTAAGAAAACCTGAATCTGTGACGGAAAATTTTGTTAGAGGCTTCTAGAAGTCTACAAAAAAAGTGTATTTACTAGTCACAGTGTTCAAGATAAAAATCCACTTTTATAATAATAACTCTCACTTTTGTCCCCAAAATTTGAGCAAATGTTTTGATATTATTTCCAATAAACTTATTCTCAACAACCAAAAACTCCAAAAACGATTCCCATGATATTTAATGTAATAATCAATGAATTATGGGTCTTTGAAGTTTTTTTTTTTGCATAATCAAATATATACAAATATTGGGCAGTGAGCAACCTTATTAGGCAAATTGGGTCCGCTCATAAGTCCGACGCCTCATGGGCCTGACGCCTCATAAGTCCAAAACATCGTTTGTCCGTTATCGGAATTATGAGGCGTCAGACTTATGAGGCGTCTCGGAGCTATGAAGCCGAATCCCTAAGTCCATTGCTTCTTAAATCCGACGCCTCATAATTCCGAAATTCCGGACTTATGAGGCGTCGGACTTACGATACGGCCCCAAATTCCGAGGACAAATTAATAAAATATTTGAAGAAAAAAAAACTGAAAGGCATTTTGAAAAAATAAATGGTTCTCAAACGTCTCAACATGTTAAAATGTAGTCATATCCGTCTTCAGCACGGCATGCAATAATTTTCATCTCTTTTTCTTTGTATTTTTCCGTCATGCAAATTTTCAAGTCACATTTGCCTTGTCTTACTTTAGGCGGTCCAGGCAGTCCCGCCTCAGCCTCAGACCATCATATCCACTTCCCATGTCATGCCTCAAGATTACTTCGGATTGGCGCTCTTTGTGACCCTCTGTTGCTGCCTGCCCCTCGGCATTTTGGGATTGATCAGGTCCAATGACGTAAGTATTGGTGGAATTGCACCCAATCGTCCCCCACTGAAGCCCTTTGTTCTATGCAATTTTTGTACCCCAGATATGGGGAATGGGGCCTTTGGTTTAGGTGTGTGACTCCTGATCAACACGTTCCTCGCGTCAGAGGTTCAGATCCTGCCAGCTCCTGGTCATACTATGTCGTGTCCTTGGGCAAGACACTTCACCCCACTTGCCTTTAATTCTCTTCACCTAGGAGTACATGAGAATGGAAATCATTAGCTGGGTAGTAAACTTGCAATTGACAGGCATCATACGAAGGGGGGAATAAACAATATTGTGTCGCTGATTTGTCTCAATATTATTCCGTTTGTATAACTTCAACAGGTGCGCAACCGTTTCCTTGTCGGGGACATCGCCGGCGCGGAGCAAGCCTCCAGGCAAGCCAAGACCTACTCTTATGTGGGGCTTGGCATCGGCATCAGTTTGACTGTCGTATCCATCGTTGCTTTAATTATCGACTTCTCGGTCCCTAGGGACGATGAACAGAAATATTAGGAGTTGAGAAATTAATTTTCTGATGATGATGGAGAATTTGTGAGAGTTGAGGGTGGAAAAAGATGTTTCCTGGCTTTGTGTTTGTGAACATTTTGATTTTTAAAAATATTTCCAAGGTCCAGTCGGTGTGGGGGGCGGCACAATGAGCATTTGATGACAACAGAGACACTTGATATGTATAAGTCTGCTTATTGTATGTCATCTTCCAGTTTCTTTAAATAAAAATGCGGATTAGGGTGATCTGAAAGTGTGGAGGGGGAAGATTATGTAACTAAGTATGGGAGTTAGGAAGTATTGAGGGCATTTTGGGATACAAGCAGATATGAATAACTAGCTACTGACTGTAGTTTTACTATTGCTGTAGTTAAACAATACATTTGACACTTTTCAATCTTTAGATTAAGAAAAAATTGCTTATTTAGTTAATGGAAATGTGTACTTTTTGTACCCAGAAAGTTACATCGTTTCACCCTCCGCTCAAAATGTAGTCTGTTGATGTTATCTGTCGCTGGCAGCTTACAGTGCTTTGTTTTTATCAAATGTTTTTTTTTCGATGCTTTCGAAATAATGAACGTTTATGAGTGCAATGATAAGAATAATTTCATTCGGTGACAGGTGTAATGTTAATGGGCCATTCCATCTGTCACCGAATGAAATTATTCTTTCCATTGCATGAATATGAAACATTCATTATTTGTGTTATGAAACACCTGAATAAATCCTCGTCATCTGATTGGTCAGAGCCACTGTCTGACTCTGCATTGGAACTTATATTTACCGTGGCATAGAACTATTTCCGGGGAATAGAATTTATATTTACCGTGGAATAACCTTCTATTTACCGTGGAATAGAATTTCTATTTTCCGTGGAATAGAACTTCTTCTTTTTGCGGTGCGGCCGGGCCACGTGGGTTCAGACGAACAATTCAATTACATGTGATCAACGAGTTGCCAATTGGATGACAGGGATTTATTGAGGCGTTGTATACAAGCATAGCATTCTCATTCCAAACTTGGGCCCAATCATCAGTCTGTAAATATGGACACACTGTATGCATTCATTATTATGACCTTTGCGAGTCTAAGGTTTGCAGCTGCATTGTTTCTTCGGTGCTTGAAGGGATGATGAAATGAATAATCAGATTTCGATCCAACATAATATACAATTTCAGATGACAAACATCCATACATTTAAACTGTGTGAAAATAATGGGATGTCCTTTCAATAGTTGATAAAGTTGACTCGCTGAATGAATGGTTTTCACTTTCATGCACTTAATCAACAAGGAAACAAGACAACAAATGATTCACGACAGCAGGAAAAAACAAAAATCCTAGAAGTTTCTTTTCTGCTGAGCCAATGAGGCTTCTCTGAAAGATGACGCCAGTATTTCGCTCATGAATATGCAAATATAGCACTCGCATAAAACCACAAAACGTTCCTTGAAAATCTATTTAGAAAGGGAAACTTGAGGAATGAAATAAGATGACTAAGAATGAAGTATTAAGCAATCCATTTTTAATCCATTTTTAAAATTCCTATTGCATCGCTATTGTTTTGAGTATCGCTATTGCTTTGAGTCTATGAACTATATACCTAGATACTTTTAGCACATATTTATCCGTGGGAATCTGTTTGCATGTTATCTGATTGTGTGCAGGTAGTTAGTTTATTATTTAGTACAATTACAAATACAATACACTAAAATCAATCAAGCGTATGTAATCAATGCGTATAACAAATAGTATTACTATTGTAAAACTATTTCAACTTTTACAACTATCGTCAACCATTTTTAATAATCATGTAATCAGATATTGCCAAATATTGAAATACAACATCGATGATAATCGTTGAATTAAGTTGCGTTGCTTTTAGTATTTAAAGGGAAGATACAACATTTGCAAACATCAAAAAAACGAAATGATCAAATTATCACGAAATACCCTACTGAATTGTTAGGGACTGACAGTCTAAAGCATCCTTTAAAATCGTGGCTCCTGGTGTGCTGACATTTTCCAGAAAACCTGTATTTTTCCAACGCTGGTCGGCCGACCAGCGTATAGCCATAGCCTTGGTCAATGCTCTCGTCATTATTCGTCCCGTACGCGGTCAATCGTCGGCATATATCCTCACGCCTTATGAACACGTACACATGCATGTAAAAATACAGCGCGAACAGCGACCTCACGCGGCCACTATTTTTATATGCAAATCAGTTGGGGACGATCGATAGCCTTGGTTCAATCGTCGGCAAAAGCTTATGTTTTTCTTTATTTTGCGCTGGATTTCTAGCGCACGACCTCGTATGCGAATACAGATAAGTGTAGGCGGGGCTAATATGTGGAGTGTCCAATCACACCTTGGTAAATCCGGACGTCATCAAATTATTTGCAGCTATTCGCCTTTTGCGGACGTGACAGGAACCACAGTTTTTGTGCATTGGTGCCGTGTGCAGAGACACACACCGTGTACGTGTATGGATTATGTACGGTGCCACGTTTCACTATGCAAGTTTCCACGCAACGATCGACCAATAAGAAAACGACATTTAAGGTCAGCTAAGACTATTAACATAATGAGCACCACCCCAAAACCTCACATGGACGATTGAACCAAGACTCTCGATCGTCCCCAACTGATTTGCATATAAAAATAGTGGCCGCGTGAGGTCGCTGTTCGCGCTGTATTTTTACATGCATGTGTGCATAGCGCGTGAGGATATATGCCGACGATTGACCGCGTACGGGACGAATAACGACGAGAGCTTTGACCAAGGCTAGTATAGCCACTGACAAATAAATCTAAGCCTATACAGTTTGAGATCTACTGCTTTTCAGACAATTGCAAAAACTCCAAAAAACTGGGCTGGAATTTTAGCCTCAAAAATCACAATGAACTCAATAAATATTACCTTTATTATAGTCTTCAAATAAGCTTGAGATTTCAGCTGTATCTGTTAGGGACCTGGGAAATAGTACCCAGGCCGGGTCCCACTTAATGATGTGCAAACCCGACCCGAAACTGAAACATCAAATCACTCAAGTACTTTCTAAGTTACGGAATTGTAAACACAACCACTGCTGTATGTACATTGTACAACACGCGTATTCAATACGTATATGCGTGTGCATGTATGCAGAGCATGGGCGTACATGTGGTGCAAATGACCCAATACCAGGGTGAGAGAGCAGGTAGTGGCATGGTGGGCGTGTACAGCTCGACACCCTGGGGACGAGGTTGGATAGTTGGGATTTAACAACTACTCCGTCGCAGTTGAATTCGGTCCCAACTACACTTGGAGCCGGGACCATGTACAGTTAGGCCAATGCCGTATAGTTGGGGCGTAACATTAATGATATGTACGTGTAATTCCAGTCACTTCCTGCATGGGTTTTATAGGTGCTTGGCTGGTTGATCATTCGGTTTCACGTTGATGTACTCTATAAAAAATATACAAATTCTCCAAACTTGAGAACTGAGTAAATGTCAAGGCTGAATCTTTCAGAGCACCATCATGTCAACAGGTAAATACATTTGATTATTTATTCAAAATTTGAAAAAGAACATCGTGTTTAATCATAATGATGTGGTTTATTAATTATTTTTGTCAGGTTATATGCAGTAGGGACGACATTTTTTTGTTGATCGCCACCGAATTTGTATACACAACCACCTTAAGTAGAATATTTTGGTCTAAGGCAGACTGGTCGGGACCAGACTAAACAAACACAAGCCCATGGCAAACACGGGGACCGTCGTAGACAAATCATCCATCGTCAAGCACTCCCATACAGAAGACATCAAGATCAACTGGCAACAAGCAGAGCTCATCACCGGCATGAAACGTTTGTATTGGCGTCGCTACGGCGAGGCCATCCAGATCATCAAACACAATACAGTGCCCCAAGACATCGGTTTCTCCATCAGCGACATCTACCTCCCCCTCTAAACCCACGGATCCAATGGGTCTCTTTTACCCAAGGACCCACCTCGGCAAATGGGTCTCCTATACCCATGGCAACCCACCTCTCTGCTTCCCCGGTCCTTAACCCCATGGGCCCGGGAAGCGGTCATGGCCGCGGCCGCTAATCCTCATTGGAATGCAGTTGCCAGCTGTGGTATGCCGTGGCACACGACTAGTGGGTAGTTCCACAGCTGCTGCTTTTGTGCAGTCCCGCTACCACACAAAGGCTGTGCAGTCATGCGGGCCACTTGCTCTATGTGTGGAGGAATGTCCCCATTATAAACCGTGCTTAAGGGGTTAATAACACGCTCCAGTGAAATTACATCCCGATTGACTCAGACTCACACCAGTGAGCATGCATCCCAACTTGGTCAGCAGGATCCCATCTTTCACACCTCCCCGCTTCAACTCTTCCTCCCTGCCTAGTTTACAAATACTTCAACTTCCAGTTGGAATTGCCTCAGTCTCCTGACGACGGACACAGTATGCTGCCTGAAACGTTGGGTTTAACCGGTTCTTCTTATAACCACCACCTAGCTACTCACAAAAGAGATTGATTTCACATGGTGCCGCCGCAAACTGTAACCATTGCTGTTATCCTCACAATGCAAACTTTCCATTCTTAATTTTGGTCTAATTTATTATATTTGTGATTGCAGGACATCCACAGTTCCAGAAAGAGGGTGCTGTTGATGATATGGCCTACTATCCGCCCACCCAGCCGCAACCTGCACAGGGCTATGCCCCGCCCCAGTACAACGCATCACCCCCTTCAGTCACGGTATTTGTCAATTCCATCCCTATAGTATTGGCCCCAGAGATATTGATATTTTAAAATTACTTCACAATGATAATACATGTAACCATAGGAGAAAAAAATTTACATCCTGATGCCACGTTTTTCTGTAATCATGCATTTATTATATATCAATAAATGTCAGTCATTAGTCTATGTAATAGACCGTGGTGAAAGCCACGCATATGAACAGATTCGCTGATTAATTAGGCAAGACAGCCGCATCTTGACCTCTAGATTTTGACCAATCAGCGGGCGCTTTCTAAGTCGGGTCTTCGGTCATTTACCTTTGTCGCGTGTAGACATGGATAACAAAATAACCCCGCCAGACACAGCAACAAAGGCTTTGGTCACGCGCTATTATGTTATACGCGACACGGGGCCGTACCATAAGTCTGACGCCTCATAGAGGTCCGACGCCTCAAAAGTCCGAAATTTCGGACTCATGAGGCGTCGGACTTATGAGGCATAAATTCCGCCTCATAAGTCCGACGCCTCATAAGTCCCACAATGGACAAACGCTGTTTCGAGTATGAGGCGTCGGACTTAAGCGGCGTCGGACCTCTGAGGCGTCGGACTTATGAGCGGACCCCCGCGACACGTACGCGCGCGGCTGTTGTTGCATTATTATTGACCTCCATTAGTAAGACAATGGAGATCAATGATTACAATACACTGGACTCGAATTTACCAATGGTTTTAGTCCTGATTTGGGAATGAAATGACGTCACGATTTAGTAAAGTCGACTCCGATTGGTGGCGCGCGGCCTCCATATATCTGCATGCTTAGACACATCAGACGTTATACAGGAGACTTGGCTCCGTGGATAACGGGTGATACTCAGACTATACTACTAAGTCATTGCAAACGTTAAGAAAACCTGAATCTGGGACGGAAAATTTTGTTAGAGGCTTCTAGAAGTCTACAAAAAAAGTGTATTTACTAGTCACAGTGTTCAAGATAAAAATCCACTTTTATAATAATAACTCTCACTTTTGTCCCCAAAATTTGAGCAAATGTTTTGATATTATTTCCAATAAACTTATTCTCAACAACCAAAAACTCCAAAAACGATTCCCATGATATTAATGTAATAATCAATGAAATATAGGTCTTTGAAGTTTTTTCTTTTTGCATAATCAAATATATACAAATATTGGGCAGTGAGCAACCTTATCTGGCAAATTGGGTCCGCTCATAAGTCCGACGCCTCATAGGCCCGACGCCTCATAAGTCCAAAACATCGTTTGTCCGTTATCGGAATTACGAGGCGTCGGACTTATGAGGCGTCGGAGCTATGAAGCCGAATCCCTGAGTCCATTGCTTCTTAAATCCGACGCCTCATAATTCCGAAATTCCGGACTTATGAGGCGTCGGACTTATGAGGCGTCGGACTTACGATACGGCCCCAAACTCCGAGGACAAATTAATGAAATATTTGAAGAAAAAAAATGGAAGGCATTTTGAAAAGAAAATGGTTCTCAAACGTCTCAACATGTTTAAATGTAGTCATATCCGTCTTCAGCACGGCATGCAATAATTGTCATCTCTTTTTCTTTGTATTTTTCCGTCATGCAAAGTTTCAAGTCACATTTGCCTTGTCTTACTTAAGGCCGTCCAGGCAGTCCCGCCTCAGCCTCAGACCATCATATCCACTTCCCATGTCATGCCTCAAGATTACTTCGGATTGGCGCTCTTTGTGACCCTCTGTTGCTGCCTGCCCCTCGGCATTGTGGGATTGATCAGGTCCAATGACGTAAGTATTGGTGGAATTGCACCCAATCGTCCCCCACTTAAGCCCTTTGTTCTATGCAATTTGTGTACCCCAGATATGGGGAATGGGGCCTTTGGTTTAGGTGTGTGACTCCTGATCAACACGTACCTCGCGTCAGAGTTTCAGATCCTGCCAGCTCCTGGTCATACTGTGTCGTGTCCTTGGGCAAGACACTTCACCCCACTTGCCTCTCTCTTCACCTAGGAGTACATGAGAATGGCAATCAGCATTAGCTGGGTAGTAAACTTGCAATTGACAGGCATCATACGAAGGGGGGAATAAACAATATTGTGTCGCTGATTTGTCTCAATATTATTCCGTTTGTATAACTTCAACAGGTGCGCAACCGTTTCCTTGCCGGGGACATCGCCGGCGCGGAGCAAGCCTCCAGGGAAGCCAAGATCTACTCTTATGTGGGGCTTCGCATCGGCATCATTTTGATTGTCTCAACCGTTGTTACTGTCATTATGAACTTAGGGACGGTGAACAGAAATATTAGGAGTTGAGAAATTTTCTGATGATGATGGAGAATTTGTGAGAGTTGAGGGTGGAAAAAGATGTTTCCTGGCTTTGTTTTTGTGAACATTTTGATTTTTAAAAATATTTCCAAGGTCCAGTCGGGGTGGGGGGCACAATGAGCATTTGATGACAACAGAGACACTTAATATGTATAAGTCTGCTTATTGTTTATCATCTTCCAGTTTCTTTTAAAAAAAATGCGGAGTTAAAAAATACATTTAACACTTTTTAATCTTTAGATTAAGATAAAAATTGCTTCTTTAGTTAATGGGAAATGTGTACTTTTTGTACCCAGAAAGTTACATCGTTTCACCCTCCGCTCAAAATGTAGTAGTCGTTTGATGTTATCTGTCGCTGGCAGCTTACAGTGCTTTGTTTTTATCAAATGGTTTTTTTTTTCGATGCTTTCAAAATAATGAACGTTTATGAGTGCAATGGTAAGAATAATTTCATTCGGTGACAGGTGTAATGTTAATGGACCATTCCATCTGTCACCGAATGAAATTATTCTGTCCATTGCATGAATATGAAACATTCATTATTTGTGTTATGAAACACGTGAATAAATCCTCGTCATCTGATTGGTCAGAGCCACTGTCTGACTCTGCATTGGAACTTGTATTTACCGTGGCATAGAACTATTTACCGTGGAATAGAATTTATATTTACCGTGGACTAACCTTCGATTTACCGTGGAATCGAATTTCTATTTACCGTGGAATAGAACTTCTTCTTTTTGCGGTGCGGCCGGGCCACGTGGGTTCAGACGAACAATTCAATGACATGTGATCAACGAACTGCCAATTGGATGACAGGGATTTATTGAGGCGCTGTATAAAAGCAAAGTATTCTCATTCCACACTTGGGCCCAATTATCAGTCTGTAAATATGGACATACTGTATGCATTCATTATTATGACCTTTGCGAGTCTAAGGTTTGCAGCTGCATTGTTTCTTCGGTGCTTGAAGGGATGATAAAATGAATAATCAGATTTCGATCCAACATAATATACAATTTCAGATGACAAACAGCCGTACATTTAAACTGTGTGAAAATAATAGGATGTCCTTTCAATAGTTGATAAAGTTGACTCGCTGAATGAATGGTTTTCACTTTCATGCACTTAATCAACAAGGAAACAAGACAACAGATGATTCACGACAGCAGGATAAAACAAACATCCTAGAAGTTTCTTTTCTGCTGAACCAATGAGGCTTCTCTGAAAGATGACGCCAGTATTTCGCTCATGAATATGCAAGTTTAGCACTCGCATAAAACCACAAAACTTTCCTTGAAAATCTATTTAGAAAGGGAAACTTGAGGAATGAAATAAGATGACTAAGAATGAAGTATTTAGCAATCCATTTTTAATCCATTTTTTAAATTCCTATTGCATCGCTATTGTTTTGAGTATCGCTATTGTTTTGAGTCTATGAACTATATACCTAGATACTTTTAGCACATATTTATCCGTGGGAATCTGTTTGCAAGTTATCTGATTGTGTGCAGGTAGTTAGTTTATTATTTAGTACAATTACAAATACAATACACTAAAATCAATCAAGCGTATGTAATCAATGCGTATAACAAATAGTATTACTATTGTAAAACTTTTTCAACTTTTACAACTATCGTCAACCATTCTTAATAATCATGTAATCAGATATTGCCAAATATTGAAATACAACATCGATGATAATCGTTGAATTAAGTTGCATTGCTTTCAGTATTTAAAGGGAAGTTACAACATTTGCAAACATCAAAAAACGAAATGATCAAATTATCACGAAATACCCTACTGAATTGTTAGGGAATAACAGTCTAAAGCAGCCTTTAAAATCGTGGCTCCTGGTGTGCTGACATTTTCCAGAAAACCTGTATTTTTCCAACGCTGGTCGGCCGACAAGCGTTGGAGAAAACGGGCTTTTTTCAAAAATTGTTCTTAATTTTTCATATTTAGTTATTCTGACTTTTCTTTGCAATTGATTACACACCTCTTAACCCTAAAGGGGCCGGGTTATTTTGACCATCTCTCAGCCGGGGGGGGGGGGGCGGATTCCGCCCCCCCCCCTAAGATCTCGGCCATCGAGTGACGAAAAATGTTGAAACTCAGCACATGCATAGAGCAACTCTTCCTAAACATGCCCAAGAAATTTCATGACTATAGGTCAAAGGGTTTTGGAATTATGGCTAATTAATTATTCATATGTATGAATGGCAATTCTGCTCGGTGTACACGACGTATATGCGAAAATTCAGTTTTCACGGCGCGTAGCGCCGGAAAATTTTTCGCTACGGGCCAACCCGTGGTCCGATTTTTATGTTTTTGGTATCAAAAGATGCGCAAAGCTCGAGGCTAAAAAGTCATAACAGCTTGGGTCGCGAAAAATTTTTTTTTAGAAGCTATCGCGGAAAATGTTGAGGGGGGGGGCGGATTCCGCCCCCCCGGCCCCTTTAGGGTTAAGGGGTACAAGCCTGCTAGACTGATTCTCTGACCTTACAATTCCCCAAAGTGTATTAATTGCTCCCTTTCATCTTAAGTGGGGTCAGGGAACCAGACTACAAGAATTTGATATGTTTTCTTGGTTTTTCCAGCATCTACAAGCCAAAAACGTGAAACAAGTCAGTTTTCCAATATTTTCTATAACATATTAACCCTACAAATCCATTTACTTCTGAAAATTGAAGCAAAAGCAAATGTTGTACATTCCCTTTAACTCAGTTTATTTATATGCCGTACGTAAGGCCGCCTTCTTGTTTTTGATGAAGACATCGGCTCGAAATACCATGGTGTTATACGTAGGATACTCAGACAAATTTTTTTATTTTTATGTACACAGTAATTAATTTTCCAGTTATACATGACTTCTATAGTACAGTCGATCTGAAAGAGCATTGTTAAAAAAAGAACTATCTTTCAAATTAATACATGCAAACATAAAACAAAATACATGCTTCAAAATGATATACATGTTTCATTTTGTTGCATTTTGTCCAGTCTGAAATTTTAGCATTTGGGTTTATTCTGTGGAACCACTTCTATGATGAGGTTGTTGATATCTCCTTCCGTAACTACGAACTTGGGTCGGGTTTTCTTGTATTGTCCACAATAGTTTTAGACGATTAAGTCCCATTGACTATGTACATTTTAGGCGGAAGTATAAATTCGCACTCGTATATGCAAACCTTCCTTGTCAACAAACTGTCATTGTACGAGGTGAGTCCAAAAAAAGCGAAACCCAAATGTCGGGACCATTGTTTTAGTAAAGTTCTGCATGTAGCACTTTTAAAATCTAGGATATGAAGGCCCAATTCATCAGCTTTCTTTTAGTACAAAAATCATTCAAATCGCTTATGTAATTTTTAAGTTAAGGAATTTTAAACATTAACAACCGTTTTAAAGTTATGTCCACGGATCACAAAAAAGGTAAGTGTTCTTTCAGCAAAACGAAAACAAATCCCATAGGGATGTGTTTAAGTTGTTTTATTGTTGTTGGTTTTTTTTTAAAGAACGCACACCTTTTTTTGTGATCCGTGGACAGAACTTGAAAGCAGTGGCCGTGTTTAAAATTCCGTAACTTAGAAAGTACTTGAGTGATTTGATGTTTCAGTTTCGGGTCGGGTTTGCACACTAACCCTCCGAGCAGCGAAGTGGCGATTTGATTCTCCACATTTTCCAAATAGGGCATTTTTTCTTCAATGGGCCAATAAGGCCAAGCTTCCATGTAATCCTCACCCCTACTATACACCACAAGCCTGTAGACTCCCATTGGCCAGATCCTACCCAATCCGGAGTAAGGAGTGTTGAAAGACAGAAGCCAAGATGGCGCCCAATGCCTTTGTGCAGTAATTGGAGATCTTAGTGGCCAACCCAGTGCCGCCGATGTGTCAACCCCTCGTGCCGCCAGGAGCCCAGACAGGTTGTAAACAATCCCTGGCCATGTGAATGACCTATATCTTGTACATGTACAGGCATGCCAGGGTTATTGACCTATAAACACATGTGGTGATAAAATTCTCCATGTGGTTCCATTTTGTGATTTTTTGTATAAGCTGCTCGGAGGGTTAAAGGGGAAATACAACATTTGCAAACATCAAAAAATAAAACTACCAAATCATTTTGAAATACCTTGCTGAACTGTTGGTGAATGACAGTGTAAAGCATCCTGTAAAATCATGGCACCTGGTATACTGTCATTTTCAAGAAAAGTGGTATTTTTGTATCAATTTCCAACGCTGATCGGCCGATCAGCGTTGGAAAAAACTGGCTTTTTTCAAATACTGGCCCCAATTGACCATCGCACTTGTTTGCAATCGATTACAAACCTATGAACGGGTACGAGCCAGCTAGACTGGTTCCCTGACCTTACAATTCCCCAATGTATGTAAACTGCTCTGTTTCTTCTTATATGGAGTCAGGGAACCAGACTACAGGAAAATGATTGTTTTTCTTGGTTTTTATCGTATTTTCGAACCCAAAACCTCTAAAAAGTCAGTGTAACTATATTAGCTATATATTTCCAACCCCCCAATTCCATCCATTTCTGAAAATTACAGCAAAAGCAAATGATGTATATTCCCTTTAAGTGGACCCAGCCTGGGCATATTTCCCAGGTCCCTAACAGATGTATACAGCTGGAATCTCCAGCTTATTTGAAGACTAATAAAGGTAATATTTGTTGAGTTCATTGCGAATTCCAGCCCAATTTTTTTTTTTTTTTTGCAATTGTCTGAAAAGCAGTAGATCTCAAACTGTATAGGCTTAGATTTATTTGTCAGTGGCTATGCGGGCGTCACGTGAGGATCGGACGCGTGATGGCCCGCGGTTTCAGCGTTCGATTAGCCCGGCTGTTGTGGCTAACCCGTCTGCCTTTACCCGAGTCGATCCGGGTGAGCCACTCGTACGCACCCAAAGTTTTTCACACGTTTGCCGGAGCAAATTCCCCCCCCCCCTTCTTCTGTTTGCAGGGAAGGAGCAAAATCTTCGGTTTTTACCTATCCAACGCTTGTGGCGCCCTTTCCCATGGGCAAGTACTTCCTGTTTCATTTTTTTCAGCGGACTGTCCGATCTTCATTACAAATTATACGATCTTTGATCATGTATTCATGATCGTTGAGGGGGCACTTCATTTGTAAATAAAAATTGATTGGAGCAAAATCAGGTGAGGGACTGTAAAGGGGAATTCCGCTCGTTTGTAATACTTTTGTATCTTAGTATTACAATGATCGGCTATTTTATAGATTTCTTTTTTTATAACTAGAACTTGAAGTGGAGAGGGGGAAATCCATAATGTGCAATGCAATTCCAAAAATAATAGGCGGGTTAGTGTACGTGTGTGTGTTACTCGGTGTTGCACTTGCAGTTGCACAAGTCATTCAAGTTAGCCCTAGTAAAACTTATTTTTGAAACCGAGTTTCGCAGCCGTGTTTCTGTTTTTACTTCTCAATGATGACATTGTCATAAAACGATTTCAGTATTGTCCTCCTTGCCTAGGCTAGTAGCTGTACTGAAAATGCCACTTTCATTTCGACTACTTTTAAAATTCTGCCTGTATATCTGGAAGTGTATCTGTTCGTTGTTTGGACACGTTAGGATGAGTGTTAAACTTGTTTGTAATCTGTTACTTTGTCCGTTTCAACTCTTGCACTCCAAGTGTGTCGGTTTTGTAGAGTACTGCACGGGTGACGAGGATCCGCAAGTCAATAAACGAAGTCGAAGTCGGAAAAGGAGACGCGGACGCAAAAGAGCAATGCCGGCCAAGCGAAAACGATCGGAAAAGCAAGCCAGCAAGCAGGATAAGAAAGGAAACAAGAAGGTGAAGGGGCCTCTGGAGTTTGTCGGAGGCAACCAGTCAAGTGATTCGGGCCAAACAAAACTGGACGATATTTTCGGCCCGGCCAAAGACAAGGCCAAAGGCATGAAAGGGAAAGGCACAGGTAGGGAAAAAGCTGACAGAGGTGACACGAAGGGGCAGGATGCAGCAGGGCCAGCTCCGAGTCCAACTTCAACACTGACAAGAAATCACGGAAGGGCGAACATTCCAGAGGCGGGACCGGCTGAAAACGGGGACCAGCACGACTCTGTAGATGGATCCAGCGCTAATAATAAACTGTCGTCGGGAAAGGGAACCACGCCCAAATCGCAGAAAGGACAGAAACAAGGCGCTGCAACTTCAACGTCTTCGAAGATGAAAGCTACAGATCCGGCCTCCCTCCCAGGAACAAGTGGTGGCCTCGTGGTCCGTGATGGGTCAAAAAAGGAGGGAAGAAATCGCAGCGACGATCGGGGAAAGAGTGATCATGCAATCAGCGATTCGGAGAGCGACACATCAACGGATACGCAGCCGGTAACGCCGAGAAAAACCTGGTTGGTGAGTATTCCCAAATGATCAGCCGGCAACTGGTTTATTGGAGAATTGTTTGACCTCTGGATAGTCCTTAGTCCCAGAAACTAGTCTTTTGACAAGGCCAACATTTGACTTGGAAGTGAAGTCATGAATAGGATTTGAGAGGAGCCTACACAAGCCAGATGACTTGCCACAGCTCCTTTTGAACTTAAGTGTCAGAAGTTTTTATACATTATTATATTTTCTTGACCATTTTTAACGAATAATGCCAAAAAGCAGCAGTCAAAATGGCCTATCAGAGCTGACTGTTTTATGTGGAAAGATATCCAAGCAAGTGGTAAAACAGTAAAAAAATTAAAAGTTGATGCAGCAGTTCCCGTTGTGATTAAATAAAATCAGCTGTTTAAAGCTATAGTCCATCATTTGTAATTAGTGCATTTTGTTCGTTTGAAGCAACAAAAGTGTTCAAAATCTAATGAAGGATACTGAACAACTAACCTGATGAAGTTTCAGCTAAGCTTCAGCTGTACATTCCGAGAAAAGCAGCATTCTAAGATCTCAATTTCAAATCAAAAGTTACTGAATCATGTTTTGAATTGTTTTGAATTGCAGCTATACGCGGCGTCGCGCACTGATCCGACGAATTATAGCAACCGCACGCGCGTGTGCGTCGTTCAAATACTTGTGCGCGCTGCGCTGAATAACAAAACGAACTACTAATTTAAATTTTCCTACGGTGCTTCTTAAGAATCACCGTTGGAAATGCCTTCTTTCGTTGATTACTTCAAAATGACAGCTTGCCATAAAGAATAATTTCACAGGGAGTTTAGTTCCCTTACTATTTTTCAACCAAGTTTGTTTTTCAACAGTAATTACGCCAGTTACTTTTCGGATAGCTGCAAATGATGGACTATAGCTTTAAGTTACACTTTTGTATGATATGCTACAATTTTCTACTTTTAAAAGGGATCAGTATTTAGTTCGCCGAAAAGGCAGCAACCCCGCACAACGTCGCCATCTGCATGGAGTGCACGGGACACAGAGGCCTACCGCAACCGCTATCCGGCAAGTCTTACAGAATTTTGAACATTTTGGAAATTTTTGAGGATTGTGTTGGACTGAGGAATGTATGGGCTCCTTGCACCAACAAAAGAGGGTGCTTTTTTTACCACTTCGGAGAGCTCCGTGGTTGCATGTCCGTACCGGTCCGCGCACATATAGCACGAAGTACGCACCACTTAACTTACAGGCATGCAATTTTTCCTCGGATCCGCTGATTTCCTCATTTTGTTTTTACTTCTCATGGATGCCATTACACGTTGAAAAACACTGTTATCTCCGGTTTGGAGTTTCTGCGTTTTTTTTCTAAATTCCCAGTTGCATGCCAGTTATTAATCCGGCAAGATTTCCATATGCGAAGCTCACTAATTTTCCTCTGTATTGACTAACATTACAAGCCCCCAGATAGCAATTTCATGTCATCAAAGTCAATTTGAGCAGTGAGAAAATACAAGCATTTTCTTAGAAAACACTTAGAATTTTTCAGTCCACTCTCATAGGGTTTGTACACAGGGTGTCGAGTGAACTTCGTATATGGAAATCTTTCCATTAATCCTTTATGTGCACAAAGCCATTGCGATTTCGCGTCAGCGTAAGGCGTCGTCGGCAATGCATTCGCATGCCTATTCCGATTGGTCTCCCCCAAGTCAACTCTCCCTTCCTTGCCGTTGAGGGGGTGCTTGTGCACGGAGGCCACGCCTCGGACGTGATATTCCTGGAAAGTTTGAAGTACAAAGAATATCCCGTCACTTTGATGGATTTTGTAGGATACAGGACGGATTCAAGCAGTAAGGAATTAACGTTTACAACACGTAGGGCTCATGATGTATGCATTTGTTTACATCAAATGAAACAAATAGAAGCTTTATGCTTCATTAACTCAACAATTGGGAGTGCACAATGACGCTATGGCCAAGTTTGGGAATGTTTCACCTCATTTGCAAAATAGATGCGAATGCTCATCCATCGAAATAAAGTTAGCCTTCCGAAAAGTTTTGGCAACAGTGCATTTATATGACCAAGACATGGCATTTGCACCCGATTTCATCAAACTCTTCGTAACTTACGATGCATCGCAGCGCTGCGACGCGTCGTATCTCTACGATGCGTCGCAGCTGCGATCCATTTCACGAAACACGTCGTAAGTGCGACGCGTCGTTGGTGTATTTATAGCACAACTCAGTGACTGTTTTATGTATTTAGTCAGCGTACAGTAAATAGTCGTCTGATTTTCAACAAAGAGTCGTCGGATTTCAGCTTGAAATTGGTTAAAGCGTAAAACAAAACGGCGGGCGTGCGATGCAATATCGAAGGAAAACAAGCTCTCATTGGACTGTATAGCTACTTTGAAATTTCAATTCTCATATCCCGGTCTAATTCATAATTATTCAATGAATTTTCTATTTACAACTTTACACACATTGCCTCGGTATTATAATCTCGTTAACCACGTTATGTTTATGGCATAAAACTGGCTTAGAAATGACTCTTCTTATTTTGCGACGACCACTAGACACGTCTTAACTTACACGTCTTAACGCGAGTTGCGACGTGTTACACGTCGTAACTCGAGTTGCGACGCAGCGCTTCGTGAAATCGGGTGCTGGTCTAATATTTTTGGTCAATTGTCAGGAACCGACTGCCCGACCGACCACCAAGTGACATGTAGAAGATCCTGCCAGAACTTTAAAAAAAAGGGTTTAATAATCAAATTGTAACTTAGAATGTCATTCTTTTCCTTTTCTGCTCAGAACAAGAGGGACAACAAGAGCCTGAATGACAACTGGAAGTTCTACAACAACGAGATTGAGTCTAAGCCCAGAGGTATTTTTTTTTAAACATTTATTTATTAACCCTCTTGCTGTTTGAACAGTCAGAGACAGTCAAAAAATCCATCCCCTTCCCCTGCCATGCCTTTCACACAGGCTAGTCACCAACAGTCAGATCATATTTCAAGCAAGCACTCTGACTAGTCAAATTCAGTCAACCGACAAAAGCAGGCGACTGGTAGGCACAGCTGGCTTATCAATCACTGACAGTCATAGCATGGCTGTATCAAGTTGCATAAACAGTCCCAGCCAGTCAATCCTGCTTTATGTAGGCTGGGAGCTCTCAACTGTTGGAAACAGTCACTTGATTGATTTTGACTGCAAGGACAACTTGGCACAGAATGTACGTTTTGACGTAGGAGGGTTAATAAAAAAAAAAAAAATTATCAAATTGGGATTCCTCTTAATACACTCATTGTACACGTAGCTGATATTTTACTATGAATAACACTCGACTACAGAATCATATTTGTTGGTCCTGGTAGTCAGACACCGCTTGTTTCATGTGATTTCATGAGACATGAGTTTTAAAAGAATTTCTGGCCTTTATTAAGTTTTGTTTGGAGCAACATATCAAAATAACTTATTTTTTTTTCAATATCTTTTGCAGGTGCCTATATTGATACAATGCACAAGCATTGGTACATGGATTATAGCCTACTAGAGGAACACCATGGATACATTCAGTGGTAAGTTAATAATTCCCTCACAAAAAGGACTTATTTTTTTTCACAAGTTTTCACAAGTCTGTGAAAAAAAGCTAACAATGAACAATGGAGAAGTTGACATTTTGTTAAAGGGACGATACAACATTTGCAAACATCACAAAACGAAATGATCAAATTATCGTGAAATACCTTACTGAATTGTTAGGGAATGACTGTCTAAAGCATCCTGTAAAATCGTAGCCCCTGGTGTACTGACATTTTCAAGAAAAATGGTATTTTTCCAAAGCTGGTAGGCCGACCAGTGTTGGAGAAAACTCGCTAATTTTCAAAGATTGCTCCGAATTTTTCATAATTAGTTATTCCGCATTTTCTTTGCAATTGATTACACACCTGTGAAGAGGTACAAGTCTGCTAGACTGATTCTCTGACCTTACAATTCCCCAAAGTCTATTAATTGCTCCGTTTCATCTTAAGTGGGGTCAGGGAACCAGACTGCAAGAACATGATTGGTTTTCTTGGTTTTTCCAGCATCTACAAGCCCAAACGTGAAAAAAAAAGTCATTTTAACAATATTTGCTATTACATACTAATCCTCCAAATCCATTTATTTCTGAAAATTGCAGCAAAAGCAAATGTTGTACATTCCCTTTAACAATTGGTTCAAAAATCTATAAATTCGAAAAGCCAAGAATGATCAGAGCAGAAATCGTGCATTTCTCAACCGTGAACAGGCAACAATAAAGAGGTGATCACAAGTTTTTCAGTTTGCAAAGTTGAAAGGAAAGTCTGGAAAGTTAGTTCAGGGATGACCCCTGAAATCAGGCAGGAACTAGAGAAAAAAAATCTCTGTCTTGGCCTGGGTCGGATTCGAACCCAGGTCACATGAAAGGATGGGGCTAGCCCACTGTGTTCAACCTAACTCTGCAGTGTCCAAAAACCCTAGCTTGTCGAAATTGACCAAACCCACCCTCCCGCCCTAAATTGACTACTTCTTGTGCTACCACGTGCCTCCCTTACACCACCCTTCCACACACCCCACCCCACACATATTCTCAAATTTGTATCCTTGTGGAGACATTTCTTTGTTCTCATGTACTGTAGTAAAGTGTTCAATTTTGAAAGTGAAGTTTCAAAATGCTCTTATTTTAACCAGAATTAGTTTCCTTGGCTGAAATTTGGACTTAACATCCCTTTTCTAAAACTCTTCCATTGGCGACAAATCAACCCACCTTGGAAATTCCTAGTTTTTGAGTAAAACCCATATATCTATTTCGTGAAAACCTTGTGGAGACCTATTCAGCTATAGAACTTGCCCTGTGGAGACCTTTACAATGTTTTGTTCCCTATTGTGTGTGTCTCCACAAGGATACAAATTTGTGGTCACCCCTACCCTGCAAGTTAAACAAAATATGCTTTTTATTTTGGCTTTTCATCAGGTTGTTTCCCATCCGAGAGATGGGAATGAACTGGCAGGCCCAGGAGCTTCAGTTGCATGAGGCAGAGGTACGTTCAGTCAGCTTTCATTCTCCTACATAATCTTCAAGCAATAGTTGTTCTCCGTGAGGGTATTTTTGGAGGGCGGCCCACCCTGCCAAATTTCTTCACCGTCCCTGTTTGCTACCCTGCTTTTGTTTATATGAGTACCTACACAAAAAAGTGTGATTTATGGATTTTTCAACAAAAAAAATTTGTAATATGCAAGCCTAGTAAAGCAGGTCCCAGAGCGCACACAAATCTATTCAATTGATTTCAACGGACAAACGCGCCTGATAAAACCTTCTCAAATCCCTAGGGAGAATACTCTGCCAGTAGGCAGCCATTTCGGCGCTCTTGGTCATAATCAACCTCTCACAGTCACCAACACTGCCCTCACAGGTACCCATTTACTCCTGGGTGGAGAGAAGCAATGAGTGACAAAGCGCCTTGCTCAAGAGCACAGGCACCATGACCCCGGGTTGGACTGGAACCCACAACCTGCAGAATTACCCGCAGACCACACATTCAATGCTCCAGACCAACCACTAGGCCACAACGCTTCACTGGTCTATACGATGGGCAAAATGTAGCCCACTCATTGATGTTACAGGGTACTCCTATACAATAGCACTGCCCAGCTGTAGTACAATTATTTGTCAATCAGTCTGTGGGGGAGTCGGGGAGTCAGCCAGCCAGTCAGTGAGAAAGGTACAAAGGGAATTCTAGGCTGGCCGTCAAGAACCGTTGGCAAAATGTTTTTAATATGTTAATTTTTGTTGTCAGAGGATATGTAAGGATCCGAAGTGCAGGGATCGCGTCGTCAAATCCTACGAGTTGATGCTTCATTTCTGGGGCATGCATCTCAAAGACAGAGGAACGGGGGAGATCGTACGAGGGGACAACTGGAAGGAGAGGTTCCGTAATCTCAACAGGTCAGCCAATAAAAAAGTTCAGAAGTATCTCTCATTCAGTCGACCGGTTTCATGGATAAAAGGGACCCAATTTTTGGGATGTCGAGCAAAAGTTGAAGTGAATACTAGGTTTAAAAAACGGCAAATATATGTATACACTTCGTGCACAAGCACCCCCTCTATGGTGAGAGAGGGAGAGTTGGAGGAGACCCCCAGGAGAGAATGTGGCCTAGTGGTTAGGGTTTGTGACTCATGATCAGAGTGTCAGGGGTTCAAATCCCGCCGCTGGTCATGTGTAAATAGCCCAAAAACACTTATTAATTTGTGAATTTTTTTTCAACTGAACACAGGTCGTCCCACAACTACCTCCGGATCACCCGGATTCTCAAGTCGTTGGGAGAGCTCGGCCATGAACATCTGAAGCTTCCCTTCCTGAAGTTTGTTCTCCACGAGGCGATCGTGGAGCGGACGCTAGCCAACGCCGAGAGGAGTTGCCTACACTACTGGATACACACGCTGAGAGATGACAAGCAACGAAAGTGGATACAGACTTACGCAGATAACCTGCTCGCAGAAAGCAAGCATTGAATTGAGATACATAGATAGAATCATCGTATACCTATTAGCATTTGTACTACATTGTATTACATTGTGTTTATTCACTGATACATCCATATAAAACCACAGAGTGTGTGAGCGGTTTTGGGCGCTACAGTGAGTAACAGGCAAGGCGGTTTTGGGAAGTACAGGGAGTAACAGGCAGAGAGATTTTGGGCAGTAAAGGGAATAACAGGCAGGGCAGTTTGGGGCAGTACAGGGAGTTACAGGCAGGGTGGTTTGGGGCAGTACAGGGAGTAACAGGCAGGGCAGTTTGGGGCAGTACAGGGAGTAACAGGCAGGGCAGTTTTGGGCAGTACAGGGAGTAACAGGCAAGGCAGTTTGGGGCAGTACAGGGAGTAACAGGCAGGGCAGTTTGGGGCAGTACAGGGAGTAACAGGCAGGGCAGTTTGGGGCAGTGCAGGGAGTAACAGGCAGGGCGATTTAGGCAGTGCAGGGAGTAACAGGCAGGGCAGTTTGGGGCAGTGCAGGGAGTAACAGGCAGGGCGATTTAGGCAGTGTAGGGAGTAACAGGCAGGGCGGTTTGGGGCAGTACAGGGAGTAACAGGAAGGTTGGGACTGTATCACGAGTTACTCGTTTTGAATATTCAATCCGAAAAAAAAAGCTATTGGCGGTTTGGGGCAGTACAGGGAGTAACAGGCAGAGCGATTTGGGGCAGTACAGGGAGTAACAGGCGGGCAGTTTGGGGCAGTACAGGGAGTAACAGGCAGGGCGGTTTGGGGCAGTACAGGGAGTAACAGGAAGGTTGGGACTGTATCACGAGTTACTCGTTTTGAATATTCAATCCGAAAAAAAAAGCTATTGGAATACTCGGTTGATAATTGAATATTGAAATGTTTTGTATATTCGGGACAGAAGAAGAGTTTTTCCGTAAGTTGATTGATTAAAACCCTCTTCTGAGAATAAATATGAAATTATTGATAGATTTGTGCATTTCAGTGAATGTAAATTTGGCTTTTAATTTAAAATTACTTCAGTCACGAGTAAAACCAAATATTAAAGTATCCAAAAACTTTTTTATTTTAAAGTAAATTTTATCACAAGAGTGTCATTAAATGTACTCTAATTTGCAGCTGAGCTCAAAATATTAATAGATTTTTTGGGATTGAGATCAAAACTTGTGATATAATAATTATTATTCGAAAATGATGAATTGTATGCAAATATTTAACAGAAAAGTCACTGAAATATTCAGAACTGTATTTTAGAATTTATATTTGACATTCCTTTAAAAACTTTCCTGTGTTTCTGTCTATCAAATTGTAAATTTGTAAAATTACTGATTTTTTTCTTGCCAATATTGTTTCTTCGCGTTTAGAGGTAATATACATTTGCAAACATCAAAAAACTAAACACAAATACCGTATTATTATGAAATACCTTACTTGACTGTAAGTGAATAATAGTCTCAAGCATCCTGTGAAATCATGGCACCTGGTGTGCTGCCATTTTCAAGAAAAGTGGAATTTTTGTATCAATTTCCAACGGTGGTCGGCCGACTATCGTTGGAAAAAACTTACTTTTTTTGCAAATACTGCCCCCAATTTACCAAATTTAGTTAGTGCACATTTTGTTTGCAATCAGTCTCACTTCTGTGAACAGGTGCAAGCCAGCTAGTCTGGTTTCCTGACCTGAAACTTGTCAGACGTCTATAAATCCCTCTGTTTTGTCTGAATTATGGTCAGGGAACCAGACTACAAGAACATGCTTTTTTTTCTTGTTCTGTCCAGCATTTATAAACACAAAACTTTAAACAGGTCGAATGTTTGCTATAAAATACTAACCCCCAAATCCATTCATTTCTGAAAATTACAGCAACAGAAAATGTATGTTGTATATTACCTTCAATGGTAGCAAATTATATACATGTAGCGTGTTTGGAAATTTTATTCATTGTTGAAAAATGATAAAACAAACTCTGTTCATTGATTGTCGGTCATATTGTTAAAAAATAAATTTAATATGAGGTTATTATTTCTGATGAGAAAAAAAATGTGTCTTGCCTTCATCTTTATGCCAAAAAAAACGTAAGGGAAAAGTGAACATACTGGCCTCTAGTCTAGCTGTACCTATCTCACCGAATGACTCACTGACCGGCTGACTTGCTTAAAAGGCGACTTGTAACGAGTCTAGCCGAGGACGTACAAATGTATACCTCAGTTGACGTTGTTCGCATGGCATCCGTTTGTATACGGATTATGGTTGCCTGGTATCCACTGCACACAAACCCATTGCCGCACACGTACAGAGAATGGGTGCAATCAACTGTAACATTCAACGACGACTGTTCCGTGTGCATCTTTTTTATGCCCATCCTTCATTTGTAAGTGCACGCCCAAACGATACCAAAGATGATATCATGTATCAAACAACTGCATCGGTACTGATATCAATCACAAAGGCCTTTTGGCTGTAGGTTTTACACCATTTGTTTTGATCATAATTATATTGTTGACAGCAAATGTGCGGACATAAAACAGTTGAGTATTTAACAAGTAAACATGTGGAACCTGAAGCATAAATCGCAACGGTAAACACATGCATAGTACCATTGATGACTAGTAGGTTGTCCACGGCGTAGAGACACTATTTTGGGCAAGAAAAATACTCTCGAGTCTCGTACAACAATTCCAACTTGATAACTGCAGAAGAACCGACAGCTTTAAGCACCCTAGTGTCAAGCCACGGTGAGTACGATCGTCCTCATTCATCCGTATTCCAGTAAAGTGCCAGTGATACGTTATATACATATATTTCAACATTTGATTCTTGTTGACGGAACTTTTTGGGTACATTTAAGCCCTACAGTAGCAAACACCCGTATACATTATGTTTAACTCTAAAATGGCCGGATTATTTTGACCATGTTTTGACCATCTCACAGCCGGGGGGTGGGGCAAGATCTCGGCCATCGAGTGACGAAAAAGTATGAAACTCGGTAAATGCATAGAACAACTTAACATGAACATACCCAAGAAATTTTCATGATTATAGGTCAAAGAGTTTTGGAATTATGGGCATTATTCATATGCACCAATATGGTAAATCTGCATGCTCTCTGTATATTATGTATACACTATGTATTTCACGGATTTTTAATTTCGTGGTCCGAATTTTATGGTTTTGGTACCAAAAGATGCGTCAAGACTCGAGGCTAAAAGGTCAGAACAGCTCAGTCGCGAAATCTTTTTCAAGGGCATCGCGGAACTGACGTATGGGGGGCGGATTCCGCCCGGCCCTTTTGGGATTAAAATAATCGTTATTATCCTATCCCACGATGCTATCACACTGTATCCATGGATGTGGTAGGCCTAGTCATATTACAACTAGCATCCCTTCCGGCACTATATAAACGATTCACATACATTCCTATGACCCTTTTTAAACTCTTGTGGACGAAAGAGTTTAATGTAGGCCATAATACAACTAAAATCGTATTTATAGAAATGGAATTTTGACCGAAATCGTATTTTTGAATGGGAATAAATATTTGCTACAAATACAATCCCTTATCGAGAGGTTATGATCGACTGCATGGAAAAAGTGTTTTCTAAATGCGTTTTACCTTTACTTTGACCTTTACTTTTACTTTTACTTTTACTTTTACCTTTACTTTTACCTTTACTTTTACTTTTACGGTAAAAGTTAAATAACCATTCAATAGGAATCGGATTCAAGAGACTAACATGGGATCAGGCAGTTCGTCGTCGGCGCAACCGGCGGCTAGAGCTAACGGTCAACCGCCCAAGGGACGCACCGGCAATGTGACGAATACGGACACAGATATAGGCAGACGGGGACCCACACAGGTGGTCCGACAGCTGTATGCTCCCGCAGGGGCGCCGGTAAGTGTCGCCTTAATTATTTACTTTTTTTCCTGCATGTATTTCCCTCAGACAACTTAACCGCGCTCAACCCCGAATTACAATAACAATTCGCCTTTCTTTAAAGACGAATAAACTTATGACAAGAATATGATGTGATAAGTAGAATTTTAATTTACAGGGGGGGGGGGATTTCAAATCGCACTGAGACTATGAAACAAATAATAGGTTTTTTTATAACAAATAACTTTTTTTTTTTTTTTTTTTTAGAATTTTAAGTGATAAGGCCAAAAAAAGTCTCCGGTTTCTGGTATGGAGCTTGCCCAAAAAGTGGTGCAGCGACGCGGCTTTTTTTTTTTTTTACCTGATTTTTTTGCTTCAAATGTCGGCTGATGACTGCAAATGGCGCCCGACTAAACTTAGTGCAAATATATGGGAGTCCAGAGAGGCCACATAAAGCTAAGTTCTCGACCATAACCCAATCTAAAAACACGTTAAAATTTTGCAGCAGCAGGATTCCAGTCAAACCAGTGAGTTTGGCGGTTTTGACACATCATCTTTCATAGAAAAAAAAAACTTTTTCATTTTGCCGACGCGCATGGCTACGGCGACGCGCGCGCATACCAGAAACCGGAGACTTTTTTTTGGCCTAAGGGGTTGATGACTGAAGTGTAGAATATGCGACTTACTTTTTGTGGCGACATTGTGGAGCTGCTATATTAACGGTTGCAATAATGTCATTGTAGTAGGTCTATTTAGCTTGTGGAAAATCAAACATCAAAAGTAACGAACCGATAAAAACTGGATCTGGAAAAGAATCTATAATACCAGATTTAAAGGCTTTTTAATTACCCCCAATCGAGAACTTTCCACCATTTTACTGGTTTCGCGAAACGACATTGTGGTGAGCGATCTTTTTTTGTGTAAAAGTAAAGGAAGGTCTACTCTGAGTTTTTATCTTATTAAAAAGTAAAATTTAAAAAAAAAAAAGACAAAAAAAGGGGAAATCCAACAACAAAAACCGTCCCGGTTGTAGGCCTTATTGTTTGGAGGGCGTGGTCAATTAAAGAAGATCACGGCACACTGCAAGTCGAAACGTCAAGCGATGATTCATTGTCTCTTCTCATAACCACCTCACCATTACTTAAATATGAAAATAAACAAGACTGCTGCAAACTGATTTCTGACTGGATTGACCTGAAATATTCAAATCTAAAAATTAAAGCGGCCTGAGCTGACGTTCCGATCTTAACAAGATCTTCTTAAGAGGCGATCTTAAATAGATTTTCTTAAGAGGCAAATTTATATATCTTTACCTGTTCCCTTTCGCCCTTTCCTTCACGAGACAACGCCGAAGCCCCCCCCCCCCCCAAAGAAAACAAAACCACCACCCACTTCATTATTTAGGTGTGGCGTTTATTTTGATTTCAGGCCATTTATCACGGGACCGTCCGACCCAAGCCCAACTTCGAACCCTCCAAGGAAGCGGAGAATCTGAAGATAGCCATGCAAGGAACAGGTAAGAAATAAGCTTTAAATAAATAAATTAAAGTGCACTGTATACGGCCTACCTCTCTTAACAATAAATCAACGGAGAGTTTACGAAGACCTACAGGAAAAAAACTTTGGTTGATGAGTAAATCCTTTCCACCAATAGATTTTACTCAAGAGTCGGCCATATTTACTGAAAAGCGAGGTAAACTCTTCATTTTTGGAACTTGATAGTAGGAATGAAAGCAATGAAATAAAGGTTCATTACAAATAAAAACCAGTCTGCTCTGATGAATAATTCATGATTGAATGATAAAACATATCCTAAGTTTAAAGCCAAGTTGAAAAACAACATTGAAAGTGAGGTTTTGCTGCACTCCAATCATTATGATAGTCTGGCACCACACCGTTCAATAATTTACAATTTATAAAATAGATTCAGGGAACATGATTGAAAATGGCTTCCTAGCTTGTGATGAATTATGTCTTTACATGCACTCATTACTGACACTGTTCGTTCGGATTCCTTCTTCAAAATTCATCTAAATCAATGATTATGCCGCCTATTTGTCTTATTTTCACCACTGTACCTTCAAATAAAAGTCTTCAGAATTATGTCTGATGATGTGGATCGGAACAATAAACCAAACCAAACCGATCCTCCATTTTAAAAGGTAAAATAAAAATGGACCAATCGTATCATCTACAATCCCGAAATACATCATTTATATAACCCGTCGAGATTGAATTGTCAAGAATTTGTTTCCGACTGTAAAAAAAAAACACCAAACATGATATTAATTTTTGACCTTCAAAAACCTTTCAGGAACTAAAGACAATCTCTTGATTGACGTGCTGACGTCATGCGACCGTTGCCAGAGACAACTTATTGCCGAGGCGTACCAACAGAAATACGGCAAGGTCAGTTCTACCCATGATGCAATTCTAAGACTTGACTCCGCCCCACCCCAATGACGTCATCCCAACCATCATTCGATAACATAAGTCTGTAAGTTGGAGTTCTTTTTTCGACTTGTGATCTCTTTTTTTTCTATGTCTTTTCTCAGGATCTCCTAAAAGAAATTAAATCAGAGGTCAGTGGCGATTATGAAAGCGTAGTGGAGAAACTGATGGAGGCAGGGCCCCAGTACGACGCCTGGCTGCTGCACGAAACAATGGATGTACGTCAATTCATATTTTCTCATTAACACAAATATAATCATTTTAGGAAAAGTACTCATATAAACTAGTTTTCAAACTTGAAATTAGTCATCAGTTAAGTTTGGAGGATTATTTTTGGACTCCTTAAATATGTAGTCTTTCGATGGAGCTGCAGTGCTTTACATATTGGCAAAAAAACTCCAAAATGAAATATTCCAAATATTTTGCTGTGTATTTCAGTGAGATGGCGCAAAACTTGTTATATTTTGTAATCTTTCGAAAAATGTTACCATATTCGGGAGTGAGTCACTTGGGGAGAATGATGCGTGGTCATTATTTTCGACGACGCATATCAGGGTCCATTTAAAAGACAAAGTGGATTATAAATACATGTAACTCAACTGCATTTCTAGCTAGTTTTCCGGTGTCTTTAATGATTAGAATTTCTTTTGGTTTTGTAGGGACTTGGGACGGATGACGACGCGTTGATTGAGATTTTAAGTTTCCGAAGCAAAGAGGAACTCCAGGCGATACAGAAAGAATACCTGAACAGTAAGCTGGATAGATGCTATTAGGCCTACATGTACACTGCGACGAGCTTGTATGAACCAAAATAGGGATCAGAAAATATTTGAAAAAGCAAATGGTTTGCAAAAAAACTAATCATTTTTAAAACAACTGATCGACAAACCATGTACTCAATAACAAAAGGGTCGATTTCATTAAAAACAAAATTGTTGCAATGTCTTAGAAAGCGTCCTGGGACATTTAACAAGTCCCCGCTCTAATCAACATAATGTCTAAGCGGTTGTGTAGCTAGCATTAACTTGTTTGTCTTTATGTTGAAATATATATTAATCGTGGTTAAAAGGACACCACAATTTTATGAAGACCCAGTTTCTTTTTCGTTTGGTTGAAGACCGCATAAGTTTTCTTAAATTTGGGTCAAAATAACTCAGTTGAGGAGCAACTAACAAGCGCCAGTCCCCTGACTCTACTCCCCTCCCGTATCAATATCAAAAAAAGCAGAACATATACAAACATGTATCGATAAAATTTAATGAAACTGATTTTTCTTTTTGCTAGGATACCAGAGGCAGTTATCCGAGGACATCAAGGGCGACACCAGCGGCAACTTTGAGAAACTCTGTCTCAAGTTAATGGAGGTGCAACCTTGCTCTTTTTCACATTTTAAAAATCATCGCAGATTAATTAATTAATTTTGTACAATTATTCTTTGATCAAAAAGTTTTGTAAAAAATGGTGCCCTGCCAAGATAGACGCTTATTTATTGAACAAAATAGACGCTTTTTTTTGTTATTGAACTCAGCGCTAGTGTACTGTCTTACTATAGTCTTTCTGTGAATGGAACTACATGTATGTGATTTCTTGTTACCATTTCAATTTGGTGTCTGATGAAATCATGTGGTACCTATATTGTCTATTATTGGCACGACTTCGAACCCGAGTGTTTGTTTTGATTGTTTTGCATTCCTGAATGGCAGCTTTATGCCTGACGTCACTGACTTTCGTCCATTTGATTGGCTGGTTATTTTTGCAGGGCAACAGGGATGCTCCCCACGTCCTGGTGGCGTCCTTTGCCGATGCCGATGCCAAGACTCTGTATCAGGTGATTGATTTGCGAAAGTGCCAGACTAGTCAGCATTATGTCAAATGTCAATGACCAGTAATTTGTGTGGGGGAGTTAGGGCAATTGGTTATTGTTTGTGACTCGGTATGTAAGGGGTTCGAATCCAGATGCTGTCCATATGTTGTGTCCTTTGGCAAGCCACTTCACCCCAACATACCCTTCTTCACCAAGGAGTTTAAATGGGAACCTGTAGATGGGGATAACCTGCGATGGACTGTCATCCCATCCAGGAGAGATATTGACAACGTCCTGATGAACCACATTTTTGGGGGGACTGCTACTCAAAGAGAGCAGTCGAAACATATTACGAGTGACGCTATGATACATGAATTAATTTAAGCCTACTCTACAAATCGACAATATCGAGCCTCCTACTTGTCAATCAGTTTAAAAGGTATTACTGAAAAATGAAGTACACAATGATACTTCTCAACTTGCCATTAGGTGTACGTAGGCCCAATCGGCGTAATGCGACATAGGTCAATTTAGGGTGAATTCATTTGTTTTTTGTTCAAACTACAGGAAGGCGAGGACAGAATCGGAACGTGGGATGATCTATTTATAGACATCTTCACCTCGAGGAGCTGGGACCAACTGGGTTGTGTCTGCGACTCTTACAAAAAGGTATATGATATAGGGCATTTCGTGGCTGCGGCATTGCCTTTTTGCCATCGGTACAGTACGGTGAACAGCCGTAGCCATTGGCCGTTTTGGACCACCTGACATCACAGCATCAAGAACGTTCCGACACTACGATAGAAGTTAAAACTTTTGATATTATGGTTGCGACGATGATGTGATCGACAATCAACGACTGAAATAGCGAAATCGTGAGACAAGCCTCTTCTGCCAAAATGATCCCTGACGAAGATAATGCTGGTGAAAAATTGAAATGTTAACCGTGCATGTAAATTAATGTTAAGTAATCTGAACTTGTTTTTCTCGTTAGCTGTACGGCAAGACAATAGAAGAAGCACTGGAAAACGAATTCTCGGGAGATATTCTCTTTGGGTTGAAGAAACTTGGTAAGCAGGGCAAATCACGAGCTTATCCATATTCTATAAGGTTCATTTTATAGTTTGAAACCGCACTACAATCCAAAACTAAAATACCAAAATGGTGCAAAGATATTGAAGTGAAATTATGGATACATTTTGGTGGTATCCTTGGTATTATAATAGATAGCACATTCAGTACATGTAGCATTGTATCGAAAACACAGGCCCGTGTGGTTTTCTTGTTAAGTGCTTCTTGCTAAAATTATATTTCTTCTTACGAATATCTATCATTTGGCCTTTACATCCACCAATTAGGCTATCGTAATTATCCATTTTGTTTTTGCGTTTCCCCTTCAGTTGCCTTTGCGCGAGACAGAGCCGAGTATTTCGCCACCAAGCTGTACAGCAGTCTGAGCGGTCTAGGCACGGACGACGAGGCGCTTCAGAGGCTCGTTATCAGCCACTGTGAGGTAAGTTTTTTTTTTTACCAGACTATCCCTAAACGAGATGCTTCATACACAAGGACGTCGACAAGCCTTAGGTCGAAAGAGGGCGCTGCAACGACATTATAGTTTCTGTGTACACTAATAGAGAAGTTCCGTTTATTGGGGCATGCCTTTAGTACCTGTACTTAAATCTAAAAATTGTCAAAATGTTTTTTTTTGTTTAATACCCCAAAAATTGCGCTCTCATTCGTCAATGGATTAGGCCTAGTGCGCCGCCAAGAGGTAGTAGAGACATAATTATTTGCAGTTCGTATGATGCTGTGCTCGAATCATTTTTCCATTTGCACACTGATTCGCCGGTTGTTAAGGTTTTCCCGTTAATGGCCGTATTTTAGCGTGCGGTGCTGCATGTAAACAATGAAGAGAGGGTGAAAATGCAGGATGATTATGAATAACGTCAACATCAATTAGTTGCTGAGAGGCTTACCAAACGCTTGGTGGCGCTCTTAGCCCCCGCTCTTCAGCTGAAAAGGTCGAGGCTGGAGCGGAGCATCCGGAGCTACAACGCGACGTCTATTTGTCTGCATTTGTCCATGTAGTTGTAATCTACCGATCATCCATTAAGCCCCGCCCAATGGCGTTTTGACCAATCACAGGCGTGACTAGTGTCTGACATGCGCCCACGCGCGTCTGACACGCGCAGCTAGAACATGCAGAGTGACATGGGAGAGGCGGGGCCTAAGGATCAGTCTATTGCCGGTGACCTAGAAAGTAGCTACTTTTATTCTTGCGCGGCCACGTCATAAACTTTCCAAGCACAACTTTCATTCTGTTTTCCATTTTCTCTTCTTTCAGACCGACATGCTTGAGATCAAGGAGGCTTTCAAGAACAAGTTCGGCAAGACTCTCGGTAACATGATACGAGATGATTGCTCCGGTAACTACAAGACGGTCTTACTAGCTCTCATCAATTAAATAAGGAGCCTCGCCCTTCCCCAACATACGACAATTACATTTTCAATTTGTAAATATATGATATTGTTCCTTCTCTTGTCACTTTGTGTGCGTATTATAAAAACTCTTATGGGCTAAAGTATATCAACCATTTCAGATTCCGTCCAGAATTTCTCTTGAATTGTGTATGTTTTTAATTCAATTTACCTTTTTCTTGTAAATGACTGTGCAATTCAGCCTTTGAGCTGCTAACTGTTGATAATTAACCCAATTAATAATACTAATTAGTAATAATCATGCAGAGTGCTTTGTCGTGCAGTTTTTTTAATTACTTGATATTAGTTGATGTTCTTATTGTTTTTGATTATATTTTCTGTATCAAATTCAAATATAACAGAGTCAATTATAAGTACAATCAATTCGATAGCAACTCATCAAAATATATGCTAAATTAAAGTTGATATTCCAAATGCAGTTGCCATTAGTGTTCACAAAACCAGTTTATGTGATAAAAAAGGTCTTTCGGCATTATGGACGCCATTTTGAATAGTGCAACTGTAATTCGCTCACAGCAAAGGAAACGTGACGGATTGTGGGTATTCTTCTGCCATTATCAATGCTTGTTTTAGTGCAGTGCAGGCGTGTGTATAGACCTACTTCGTCCTAGACTGTTCAGTAATTTTTTGCCTATTCAAACAAAATTCTTTTGTACTTGTTATTAGGTAAATTTCTTTTATGAATTATAAAGGTATTTTTATTGTAAATAACTCGCTAGAGGCTGTCATCTTGTAACTTTTCTCAGTATAGCCATTTATTTTTCAAGTCTGCTGAAGTTTTGCTATATGTAAAGACAACTTACAAAGATAATAAAACATTAAATACGCGTTATGGAATTTGATTTCTGACCCAGTGTATAAGGCTGTTTTATTACTTACTAATTAGGACGACTAATTAGCGATGCACAATGTTAACGCCGGGTCCATGAAGTAAATTTTTCTGAGGGACATATTTTGTGCAATTTGCTACTCCTCTTTTGTATGACAAATATTTGACATCCCTTTTTGGTAAATTTTATTTTAAAAATGCACTTCTTTAAATATTTTGTTTTAAATTCCATGCACTGAAGGCGCTATTGCTGTGATGCCATTTCAGGAAGACACTTTTATAGTGTAGGGGTTTCCTGTTCAAATGGTGAACCCAAAAATGTACTTATAGTTGTACATATTTTTGAGAAAAGTTTGCGCACTGGCTTACTGCCATTCACTTACACAGCAAATCACCAGAGAAAAGAAAACTTACGACTTCAAAATATCCAAAATTGTGGCAACCGTTGGTGTTTAATTAAATAGCTGCAACAATGAGGTTTCAGCCTAAAATGACATCACAGTATTGCTCATGAATATGGACAATGTCATTAGCATAAAAAACAAAAAGGCATCCACCAAAATACCTTCAAAAATGGCAAAACGATAATTGAAAATGGGGTTTAATGGGTCGCAAAGGTGCATTTCCTGGATGGCATTAAAAGAATTACATTGCATGTGTCCTTTAACGTTGAACATCAACAGCATTTTAAACAACAATTTCGCTCGGTACTTGGCAAAAGAGCCCAACTGTTTTTATTTTTGCAGCGGAGTGGAATCAGCCGGATTGAATTAGAACAGTCCTACATGCCTAAAACTCATGTTTGTCAAAAAAATGATAAAAGCACAGAGGGAAATTGACACTGTGTACTTTTAATTTATAACCGCCGGATGGCTTTCATGATTTCTGACAAGCGCCGCACCGTGTGAACAAAAAAGCAACAACAATTTTGAAATACATTGGGAGACCGCAAAATAAGACTTTTGAGGCGATTGGTGGCAGCAAACACACCTGTCCTGAAGTTTGGCCGTGAACAATTTTTTTGGCTACGGCTTGAAATTACACACGTGTCTATGGCAGCGGCTGCAGCCACTTCCCATCGACTCGTGTAGCCAAGTCATCCGGACACGGCCTGATGTGCACATGTTCACAATGACCGAGTGTTTGCTGCCACCATACGTCTCCATTCCATGGAGCTGTTACTCAGAAAACATTGCTTACCATAGTTATAATGCTAAGCATGTAAACGGTGAGGACCAGTCACAAGCAGTGTATACTCATGGCATTCTGGCTGGTAAGCCAATCATGCTGAGTAAATTATTCTATAGTGCTAAGTGAGATTCGCCGAGTGACAGCAATTAAGGGCAAGTTTGCGCAAGAACTATTGTTGACCATTGGTGAACCATAGTTCGACTAAAGCCCGGTTCATACTTCACGCGAAGTCGTGTGCGAAGCGAAATTCATGTCGTCAACAATGGTGGACGCGCTTCGAATGTATTGTTGACGTCACGAATTTCGCTTCGCTTTCGCTTTCGCGTGGAGTATGAACCGGGCTTAAAGTTTGCCCGAACTCTGTTGGGTGACTGCGCTAGTCGACTATTTGGAACCAACCTTCTGGGGCTGGTTGCATCGCTGGTAATCAATAGCCGCACGCATTACTAACGTACAGCAGGGAGCCAGGATCCAAAAGTTTTGCAATGCCCTTTTGACCAGCGTTCGACTAGAGACGTTTGCACGTTGCTGTTAGTGCGCAGGCGTAAGGTACGTCCTTGCCCGAACTTGGCCTTAGATGTAGGTACGTACTACCGCGTGTGGTGCCAGGCTTGCCTGTACGCCTGCTTTCTGTCACTAGCCGCGCGCTTTGTTTACCAAAATAACTGCTCAGTAAACGATATTTGATTCTATTTATATTGCCATTAAACTTTTCACTAACACTTTTCGACAACATTACAACGAGCACCCTCGTTCCTATAAGGCCTACATAGTTCCGGTCTATCCTTTCCTACGCCGCGCGTAAAGTCGTCTTCTCTTAACTTCTTCATGAAATATCGCTTCTTTTGTTTCCGGCGTAGAGCGCGTTGTCCCCGCTTGATCGGTCTCATTCGCCGTGGTTTCCTCTGCTTGATCGATCTCCTTCGCCGTGGTTTCGTCCTTCTTCGCCGTGGTTTCCTCCGCTTGATCGGTCTCCTTCGCCGTTGTTTCTTTCTCCTTCGCCGTGGTTTCCTTCGCTTGATCACCTTCGGTGTCCACTTCCTTCTCTTTTTCCAGGGTTCCTTTTTCGGCTTGCGAACCGCGACTCGGTATGTGGTGGGACGGTAACGTTTTCTTTTCTTCTTTTTGGACCGGAAACGCTTTGCAGGCTTTGCAGACGCCCGGCCCCTGACGTTCGGTTTTGCTGTGAAAAGCGAATTGAAAGCAAATCGTAAACAATTTCGTTCGGTATGGAATCAGCCAAATTGAATTAGTATAATCCGCCGTACGTAAAACTCATTGTTTGTCGAAAACTAAAAGCACAGACGGAATTCGACACTGTGTACTTTTAATTATAAACAGCCGCATGGCTTTCTTGCAAGCGCCGCACCGAGTGAACAAAAAAAAAAAAACTTTTGAAATACATTGGAAGACCGCAAAATAAGGCTTGACAGCTCAAGGCCCAAATGGGAGACTTTTGAGACGATTGGTGGCAGCAAACACAAACACGCCTGTCCTGAAGTTAAGCCGTGAACGAATTACTTGGATACGGCTTGAAATTACACACGGTCGTGTCTATGGCAGCGGCTGCAGCCACTTACCATAGACTCTGTGTAATTTGAAGCCGTAGCCAAGTAATTCGGACACGGCCTGATGTGTGCATGTTCAAAATGACCCGAGTGTTTGCTGCCACCATGCGTCTCCATTCCATTGCTTACCATACTTATAATGCTTAAGCATGTAAACGGTGAGGACCAGTTCATGGCATTCTGGCTGGTAAGCCAATCATGCTGAGTGAATTATTCTTAGAGCTAAGTGAGATTCGCCGAGTGACAGCAATAAAGGGCAAGTTTGCGCAAGAACTATTGTGGACCATTAGTTAACCATAGTTTGACTAAAGTTTGCCCGAACTCTGTTGGGTGACTGCGCTATAGTCGACTATTTGGAACCAACCTACTGGGGCGGGTTGCATCGCTGGTAATCAATAGCCGCACGCATTCCTAACGTACAGCAGGGAGCCCACAAGTTTTGCGATGACCTTTTGACCAGCGTTCGACTAGAGCCGTTGTACGTTGCTGTTAGTGCGCAGGCGTAAGGTACGTCACAAATCAACCACTAGTCGACTAATGGTCCTTGCCCGAACTTGGCCTTAGATGTAGGTACGTACTACCGTGTGGTGCCAGGCTTGTCTGTACGCCCACTTCCTGTCACTAGCCGCGCGCTTTATTTACCAAATAACTGCTCAGTAAACGATATTTGATTCTATTTATATTGCCATTAAACTTTTCACTAAACACTTTTCGACAACATTACAACGAGCACCCTCGTTCCTATAAGGCCTACATGGTTCCGGTCTATCCTTTCCTACGCCGCGCGTAAGGTCGTCTCTTTTCTTCATGAAATACCGCTTCTTTTGCTTCCGGCGTCGATATCCCTCCTTGATCGGTCTCCTTCGCCGTTGTTTCCTCCTCTTGATCACCTTCGGTGTCCACTTCCTTCTCTGTTTCCAGGGTTCCTTTTTCGGCTTGCGAACCGCGACTCGGTATGTGGCGGGACGGTAACGTTTTCTTTTCATCTTTTTGGACCGGAAACGCTTCTGATGTCTGGCGTACTTCGCAGACGCCCGGCCCCTGAAGTTCGGTTTTGCTGTGAAAAGCAAATCGAAGTATTAAGGAAAGAAACTTTGTAATTTCGTGTAATCGTTTGTATACTTTGTGTGGCAGCGTCCAAGTTTTGAGTTAATTGTCGCGCAGTCGCAGTGCGATGTGCATGCTGATTCAGTGTTCAAGTTTACTATGCATGGAAGTCATGGCCGGCCCAAAATTGGCCCTCGGATTACGACCAATCAGTGGGCGTCTACTTACGGTGACTTCGGTAACTAACAGTTATCGGCCATTCAACAGTCTTTATGTTGTTTCTCTTCGCTCCGATTGGACGCACGGGGCGGCATCAATTGTGCATGCATACCTATAATGACGTTCGATCGAACCTGTCTTCGGCAACCGGACAGGCGTACATCATAACCTTCTGGGGCAGATAGGGGAAAATATTTCGGCAAATTGCGCCTTTGATGATACATGGATGGCATTTGGCACACATGCAGTCAGAGTATGTCTTAAAATATTTTTGGCTATAGGGCCATCGCAGATTTGTCCTTTGAAAAAAAAATAGGTAGAATAACAAGCAATTTTCAAAATTTTCAAAATGGCTGCCATTGCTTGTTATTCTACCAATATTTTTATTTCAAAGGACTGATCTGCGATGGCTCTATAGCCAAATATCTTTCTCATGACATACTCTGACTGTGTGCCAAATTTCGTGCTTGTATAAAGGTCAAAGGCGCAATCCCATCACCTATCTGCCGTAAGTGGGGCATTAAGGAATTTGTTTTTCAAATTGGGTGGCTGCGGACCAAAGGCTTCAGGAAATCCATTTTCAAGAAAGGAACCTGGCTTTCTAGCAGGCCTAATGTATAAAGTCTTAATGTATAATTGATATTGACTTTCTTACATTTTTTCTTTGCCTTCTGCCGTTTAATCATCTCATTCAGGAGTTGTTTGCGGCTCTTCTTGGCCTTCTTTTTCTTCTTCTTCTTCCTCTTCCCTTTCTTCTTCTTTCGCCGCTGGTGGCGCTGTTTCTTGGGCTTCCGGAACCGGCGACGCATGTGTTGCACTGAAGCATTAAACAACAATTCAAAACAGGGAAATCCTATTACTGGGCAGCGAAGGATGCATGGCCCTCATTATTGAACCGTTACCAATCAAATTACTCTTGGAAAACTAGTGACTGGGCCAAGCAGGGAGTGCAAAGGAAATTACGATGTAAAAAGGCCGCTTCACTTTATACCGCCATCTTGGATTAGCTTGAAAAAGACTGTAGCACAGAGGGCATTTTTTTATGCAACCAAGTATAGTCTATTACCATAATCCGCATGCGTGAAACATATCACGTAAACAACTGAGTATGTGACCCGGAATACATTTCTTATAGCTTATTATTCCACGAATCGACGGTCAGTGTGGTCTCGCTGTGGCGTGTGCGTTACATCGCTGATCTGAATGCTGGAGGTTCCATGCAGTTTCAATTCCTGGAGGGAATTCAATTTCCATTTTTCCCCCCAAAAAGTGAATCTGTTCCCTAATTATTTAATCAACTTCGTGATGATCGATAAAATGAAATTCAGCCTTTTCTTCTCATGGCTCTGGAGGATTGTTTTTGTTTTAAAGGAAAGTTAAGTCCCAGTACCATTACCAACTGGCACATGCGCATTTTGGTCTGACTATACTTGGTTGCATACAAAAATAATTGCGCTCAGGAACGTGCCACACAGGGACATACATAAATACATATGCAAATCCGTCCACGAAATTGTGTACCGCGACGCTCGTATCTTTTTGCTGACTAAAATGCTGACTTTTATACAAAAACTGCTTGGACATCAGCACCTCGGTGTCCATTTCACCGCAAGAGGGCGCTTGTGCCAGCCAGGGAGGCCGTGCTGCTTTATACTTACACCGATCGATAACTCTAGGGGGCGGTTCGGTAGCGCCCTCTTCCAGCCTTGCCTTTTGGCCGTACACTTTCCCGTTGACCACATACTGTTTTCTGGCGCGACTCCGGTGGTGTTTCCTTGGGCGGTGTCTCATTCTGCGGGGTGCTCTGCAAAGGTCAAAGGTTGACAGATAAAGGGAGACAACAAAATCAAATCAAGTAAACATTTCTTGAAAAAAAACCCCCACTGAATTACCCATCAAGTTCATGATGAAAGTTGGCAACAAATTTCACTACGGGATGATCTCAAGATGACAATGCATGGAAGCGTGTTAAAATTCACCCGTTGGTCTAACTCATTTTCATGATGAATTTTAAATTTTAAACTTGGTAAGCCTACTGTACTTTACTATAAAAAAAAAACACCATAAGCCAGATGATTTCAGCTTCGTACCATCTTCGTTGCGTTGTTGTATTTTGTTTTTAAGATAAGTGCCAAGACTTGAGACGCGTGCGCTTTCTTATGGGAGCCACGGCCCAATTTCACGGCACTGCTCAGCACAAAAAAAAATTTAGCACACAAAAAGTCTGGCTTATAAAAGCAGGTTACCAGCCAAAACTTTATGTGATGTTCATGCTAAGCAAACAATAGCTGAATACTATTAAATCACGAGCAATATACATCACATAGAAATTTTGGCTGGTAACCTGCTTTTATAAGCGTCATTTTTTTGTGCTAAGCAAATTTTTGTGCTTAGCAGAGCCGTGAAATTGAGCCCTGCGGGTTGGGACGAGAGCAAGCGTGACGCCATTGTGTGGAGCGCCGGTCTGTTCATTGTCGCTTCTACTTATGATGACCCCTCAAATGAAAACAATGCAAAAGTGTGACAAAGTTGGTACCACTGCGCACATATTAATGGCTTTTCACTGTCATTAATTCAGACATGCATCTGGTGTACATAGTCCTATACGATAACACTGCCCGGCTCTCATTAACAGCGGACAACCAGGCCACTTCACAAAGTGACAGTCAGTCAGTGAGTCAGTCAGGTACTAAGAGGACTTTGAGACCACGTGCCCTATGACGTCATGCCACTAAGAAACCGCCGGGCATGCAACCCAAACATTGGATGTATCTTATTCATGTTATTTGGCCCCGTAAACAGTTTTTGTTATACCTCTGCTTTGAATACTGTATTTTCATTGGCCTGGAACGATCACGTGTTAAGCTTATAAAAAGTCTCCCCTTGGAATGTCATGTACGCGAGGCAAGAGTGTGCTATGACTTTGTACGTACGGTACGTGCAACGCTTGTATCGTTGGTACCCACTCTATTTTCACCATGTTTCACACATGAGCGGGAGCAGCGAACTAGCAGACGATCAGTTCGAGCACGCGACATACATGTGAGTTGCCGTTTGATTGTTATGATTGTTGTGTTTTTACCGCCATAAAAGTTTTCGTTATTTTTACATCGAAATCCAAAGAATCCAAGACAGAGGTATAAAAAAGACAATTGTTGACTGCCGTCTGATGTGGGATATGACGTTTTGAACACCCTCGGGGCGCATCATGCACCCCGGCTTTCGGCCTCTGTTGCGCAGCGCCCCTCGGTGGGTGTTCAAAACGTCATATCCCACATCACTGCCAGCCAAGAATTGTTTTGTCAACAGTACTTAAAAAAAAACATTATATTTTCAAGAGATATAGGCCTATGTACAGGCGAGAACCATTTGCTGAGATTAATCTGTGAACAACAACAACTTCTGGAAATAATTTATACCTCCTAGGTATTTATTAAGATATCAGTGTGGGAATAAAACGTCCAGTTAAATTGAGGCTACCTTTTGCTCCTCGCCTTCGGGTGTTGGATAACGGTGTCATTGGTTAAGGCCTGAGGTCGAGGCGCCGTGTTTCTCGCTGTATCGCTGCCGTCACGTCTTCCGAACGCCCGGCCGAAGAGCGTCTCCCAAAGGGTGTCTCTCCGCGGAACCCGTATCAAGATTCTCGGGTTGGGTTCGTCCGGGTTTGTGTTGTCGTCCCGCGGGTCGGGATCCCAGGGGAAAGATCTAGCATGGCGGCCTAAAAAACAACAACACATGCCTAGTTAGCTAGACTTCCATTTTGACTGTTGACAGCACCCCCATAGCCAAGGTTGGACGACGTCTTCATTGCATTCCCTCTGTAACGTAATGCGGTAAGGGAGGCCAACTGGGCTACCCCTCCCCCCTCCCCAAAAAAATCCTGGAAAATAAAACAACTGCGGAGATTTAGGTCTACTCTAGGGGCAAAGAGAGGAGTTATTCGACCAGATTAGGAAAACTGACACTGCCTAGTGGAAATGAGAAAGTTAGATCTTAAGTGCGCAATATACAGCTCTAGATGGAATATAATATAGCTCTTTGGATCGTATTCGTAACCAGGCATAATCACCTAGATCCTATATGACATGATCACGTAGGCCTTCGTAGTAATACTATGTTTGCAGCATTAGTAGGTTGAAAGGGTCATTTTTGAATGATAAAAGAAAAAAATTGACTCTATTTTGATCGAAACAAAACAGGGGCCCGCTACCCTGCACAACAAGAACGCCCATGATTAAGCGCATTCGTCGGCAAATGCCGTGTTATCCTATACAATAGCACTGCCCGGATCACAAGTGAAATTGAGTCCGCCAATCAGTTACAGGTAGGCCCTAAACAACGAGGACACCATGCTAGCACCCTGGAACCAGCAAACAATCGGACTCACCACTGCCGTCCGAGTTTACTCCAAGCAGTTTATCGAATCGACCGCCGAATCCAGTTTCGAGCGGCGTGGAGTTCCCTTTCGCAGCGTTAAGGCTCAGTAGCGTCAGGGAAGCAAGACCGGCAAATGTCATCACCAGAAGGAACAGCCACAGATGCACAGAACCCTGACATTTCGTCGTCATTTTTTTTTAGAGCGGTTATTATGGAAGAAACATGGCATAAACTGGGTCGCTTTAGCCAGCCCCGTGCGTGCCTGCCCACATTTTGTGTACTGATGTAATGTGCACGCTTTCTGCGTCCGCTTTGTACGCGAGTTTTAAACTTGGCACGCGTTATAAAATTGTTCTAAAGTTTCCCGTTTACACACGCGTGCAGCGCGCTCATGAAACGCGCGTCAGTAAATCCAAAAACGCGCACAGCAAACTTTAACAGACTGCGCTGCTAGAACAGTTACAGTCTGACAGTAGAACAACCTATCCATTTTATCTGATATTTATCTTGAAAACAGATCCCTTGGTTATCTTTGGTGGATAGAATAAGAAAAAAGTTTGAACGCATCGGATACCAATGCCCACGATCCATCCGTAAATAGAATTCAGCCGCGTCTGGGCTAAGCACGTATAACGTAAGTTACTTGTGTTTGTATCTAGCTAACAAAACATGTCGAATGTACGATTTTGGATATAAATTCGATTTTCGAAGGCGTAGGCCTACATGATGAACTGACACCATAATGCGGTTTTGGTAAATCGTGTAGTTTAGGACACCTCTATGTTTTTTACAAGTTGCGATCATAAATCAAAACCCGGCCCTCTTTAAACCAAATAAGTGAGATGATATATTAGTAACGAACTAGGCCTACATCATGTATTGTGTTTAGATGATTCCAACACATAGAGTGACTTTTTCCTACGCTTGTATAATCGCCAAATGTTCAGGTAGGCATATAGTCCCAAAACATAAAAGTGTCTTTTCGTTCTCTTATATGGAACGGGGTCCTACACTTACAAGATTAATGCTGTTTTTATGATTGTTTTTCCATTTTATAAAGTTTTATTACTTTTAATTTTCACTCGTGCATTTTGTTGAGTCCAGTATAAAGTAACATTCAAGTATACCTATACTTTCGTTCTCTGATAGGACAGACGTGGTTCTAAACTTCACTTTTGCTACAAAAAAATGGCATCGCTGGCATCTATGATTCTGCCACTGTTATTTTCGACAATCCTTATCAATGTCGTCATCGTCAAAACGGAGGACACAAAGACCGAGTCACCAACCGAGCACGGCTTGGGTGTGAAAAGTGGCGGGGAGGAGCCGCAGATCACCCCGGGCAAATCTGCCCCAAACACGGCAGGCGGACTTGACCCCATGGCGGTGTGGGACAAACTCATGAAGGACATCTCGACCGAGCAAACTCGCCCTCGACGGCAGGCAGGCGGGGGTTATAACCCCATCCAAAAGGGCCGCAGTTCTGCGGCCGAAAGCCCCAAAAGGAAATATCTCCACCATCTCCAGAGGCAGGGGGAGCAACTGAAACAGAAACTTGGACGGCACCACTTTCCCAAAGCCAACTCGGCAAAGCAGGGTTCGCTTCGGGCCAGACAATGGCAGAAACAGAAGCAGGACATCCTCAAGTACCAGAGAAACCAGCAACGGCTCAAGCACTCGAAGAAATCGGACTTGTACGGGGCCGGTAAGGGTGCAGTAACCGGAAGGAGGCTACCGAAGAGCCGGGTTCATTTCACCCCTCTTGGGGTCGCTGCTCCGGTTGGGCCTATTCAGGAAGAGAAACGCATGCGTCGGCTGTACGGGAAGTACTTCAACGACAAAGATGGTGGGTGATGATGCAAGGTTTCAAATACACACTAAGGCCATATTATATGTGGCAATGAGTTTGTTTCTGCATTTAATAGGGGACGTTGAACAATATAGGGTCCCCAATTCCCGAGAGGTCCCCAATTTGGATTTATGTACAAAACATATGGGAGGTCTTCCTAAAGTGCACAAACAAAAGAGGGACTATGGTCCCCGATTGCAGGCAAATACACAATTGTGTGTGTTTGTCCGTGTATTTTATAGTGTTTCGTCGGTGACAAGCGAGTGAATTGTTTTCGTTTCAAAAAACGTCAAAATCCCTGAAAATAACAAGCCACGTCTAATAGGCTAATTCCAATGAAATTTTATTCAACGTAGGCCCTACTTCAAATATTTAAAGTTATCCCCCCATTATGTAAATCACCCTTAATTAAGAAAGGCATTTGTCTTTAAATACGGGCGATTCCCAATAATGCGCCTCCAAGAGTTTGCAGCGCGTTGGCCAATCACAATGCGCGAAATCAGTCGACCTTTTCCAAACGGGCGTTGGGTCGACAGATTTTGCGCATTGTGATTGGCCAACGCGTTGCAAACTCTTGGAGGCGCACTATTGGGAATCGCCCGTATTCAGGACACCTTTGTCAAACATATATGTATAAAAATTGCAGGAGAGTTCATAATCATGACTACCAGATATCTCTTGAAATTGCCTGTACATGGTGAGTCAAGAAAAGCGAAACCCAAATGTCGGGACTATTGTTTTGGTGAAGTTCTGCATGTAGCCCTTTCAAAATCTAGGATACGAAAGCGCAATTCATAGGCTTTCTTTTAGTACAAAAATCATTCAAATCACTCTTGTACTATTTAAGTTACGGAATTTTAAACACAACCACCGTTTTAAAGTTCTGTCCACGGATCACAAGAAGGTAAGTGTTCTTTCAGCAAAACAAAAACAAACCACATAGGGATGTGTGTAAATTGTTTTCGTTATGCTGAAAGAACGCACACCTTTTTTTGTGATCCGCGGACGGAACCTTAAAACGGAGGTTGTGTTTAAAACTCCGTAACTTGACAAGTACATTAGTGATTTGAATAATTCTTGTATTAAAAGAAAGCTTATGAATTGGGCTTTCATATCTTAGATTTCAAAGTGCTACATGCACAACTTCACTAAAACAATAGTCCGGACATTTGGGTTTCGATTTTTTTTTTGACTCACCCTGTGCAGTTCCTTATAATTACTAGGGACACCTAATTAATTTATAATATCTCTGAAGGTGAATTTATTGTGAGGATTGTAGTTCGATAATTTTCTCCCATGCACGCTTGCCCACTTCTAGTTCTTGTATCGATCAAACTCTTCGTTTCCCCCAGATGAAATCAAATTCTCCCTACCCAAGCGTCTCCTGGGTAACTGCTGGATGCAGGCCATGGTCGGCAGATTATTCAAACCGAGTTGCAACGAGGACGGCACCTACAGCCCCAAGCAGTGCCACAGGAAACGGTAAGAAATGAGCCCCGCCCACATGACACTTTTGACCAATAACAGGTCGGGATTAAAATATGCGCGCACGTTATGCAGTGCGGTACTGAAGAGGAGCACGTGCTGTTGCGTATAGTGGGCGGGTCTTCATGGATCGGCCCATATTATTCAGAATATTAATGATACTCTTAATATTAATACTCCCATCCAAGTACTGCCGACAGTCAACGTTGCTTAACTTGTGTGCAACGTGCTCTTCTTCTTCCACTGAGCTATCTTGGACAGACATAATATTATTTAATTAATACATGTACACATCCAGCATTAAGACAACACCTTTTTTTTCAAAACCACGCCAGGGCCCTTCAGTTGTACATAAATAAATTAAACCAAAATTAAATTGCAGTGCTTATAATCGCTTTCCATATCGTATCAACAATCTCGAAGCGCTTTACGATTATTCCCCCGTTCATCAGGCCACGAAACCATGCGGCAGCCGATATCAGCGCACATTCGGTCCTCTACCCTCACAGGTACCCATACATACTCCTGGGTGGAGAGAGGCAATTGTAGTTAAGTGTCTTGCCCAAGGGCACAAACACCATACTCCTGCCAGGATTCGAACCTACGCACCGTCGTACATAGTTAATACTTCTCATTATTGCGGTTAATTATGAAATGTAAAGTCAGGAAAGCATTGCAATATTTTATTTATTTCAGTGCTTATTTTCTTTTCTTACAACAGGTGTTGGTGCAGCGACAAATACGGCAAACCGATCAAGCGCTCCGGTGGTCACCATAACGAAGGTTTCTACCAAGGGATCAAAGCGTTGACCCTCCATTGCTAATGCCAGCTCGTGGATCTTCTGAAAATTGCTTATTAAGGTTGCAGACCAGTAAATAAACCGCCATGGACCCTAGTTATAAAGACGCCCAATTCCGAAATTCAAGGAAATTACTCACAACTCTCCAACTGGTATTTCATTGAGACACACGTCAAATTGAAGCATTTTCATCATCTTTAAATTTCTGTTCAATTTTGTGGGGGGGGGGGGGGGGGGCGGCAAACCGATGACTTTTGGGAGAAAATCCCATCCAAAGATGATCATCCCTTAAAGTAGTCCTGAAGCCCATCGCCATTTTGAAAAATGATACTCGCTCTCCATTCAAAATAGAGCATTTTTTTTAGGGCCGAATGTCATTTGCATGTACAATATTTAATAAATTTAAGCCTTTGATAATTTTGATAACATGAGCCCCATGTTTTTTTTATTTACACGAAGTAGCATGTAAATGCGCCGGACCGGATTCACCAAACGTAATGGCGTTATTAATATCTCTAAGAGCAGAATCGTAGCCGAGGCAAATCGGTTTAAAATCTCGATGTAACCATTGCAGTACAGGCGTGTATAGCACTGCATTCTGGGATTTCCCGCGCTTTGAGAACTGTCCCACAATGCAGCGGTCTGTATATCTCCATTGCACATTTCAGGTCTGGCAAAAAGGTCTACAATGCAGGGGACTCGTTTCATACAAATCCCTGGTACACCTACAAAGGGTACATGTATGTAACCGCTGAAAGCCTTAGCAAAAATCAACACAGACCACAACAAAACTTTCGGGCGAGTTTTTGGTGTCACAGACCGGTCTGACACAAAGGTCTACAATGCAGGGACCCAGTTTCATACAAATCCCTGGTACACCTTCAAAGGTGTACATGTAGTACACCTACAAAGGTGTACGTTTGTAACCGCTGAAAGCCTTAACAAAAATCAACAAAGACCACAACAAAACTTTCATTTTGGGATTTAGGTATCATAGACCTTTTTTATTTGTTCCTTTGTGTTCTTCCCTCTTTCTGTCTCTCTGAAGGAAATTGTGACGCAATTTAAGGAACCCGCTTCATGTCATTCGCAAACTTTGTAGTCTTTGCATGCGTAGACCAAAATGGGAAGGAACAAAACTAACTGTATATAATGGTAAATTGAATTGGAGTGAAAGTCTTCCAACAGAAAGCATTATTTGAAATAAATTGTTCATAAATATATTAACCACTGTTTTCCGCTCTTAATTTATTGCATTATCAATGCCCAGCAGAAATAAGATGAAATCTTTCAATTATTTTGTGTCTTCGACCAAAGTCTGTTCCATTCCGGGTGCTAAATTCTATCCTGTCCATTTAGAATGCACGCTCTGCAACATAATGTTCATGAGTCTCAAAACTTCAAGAGAAAGGGGTTGTGCTTCAAATTGAGCCACGCCCCTGTCTAGACAAGACACGCCCCAGTTTAGACTTGACTTTCCAAGCCCACAGAAGGCCGAAATTTGCACCTAATTACCATAGGGCTTGTGTACTACTATTCAGATCTCGCACCATAACTTATCTTTTGCCTAGGAAAGCAATCAATTTCTTTTTCTTCTGAAGCCCCGGTTTAAAGTAGCAACAACCAATCTAAAAATCAACGTTTCCAACCTAAAGGCCAAAGCCCCTTCAACACACTGCAATTGGAACCACCAATTAAATTTCAATGGTTTTTTTGATAGAAACCTCCCCAAACCCTTCAAAACCCAACACTATGCGGTGAGGCAATGGGCTGTCCTTGGTACTTTATCCAATACTGATTCAAGCTTAATGAAAGTAATGGTGTCCGAGGCTTGCAGCATGGTATCCCTGAAAATCCTGCAAAACGTTTTGTAGGGTTTTGTAGGATTTGGGATGGTAATGGTAAATGAAAGCTCTACAGCCAAACTTAATGAATTCTGAAATTGCCAATTTGGGTAACATATCTTGCATTTCAAAATGCAACACTGATAATAACACTTGCTGACTAGCTCATGCATGTTAAACTGGCTGCAGAAATGTATTCTTCAATGGTCGACATTTCTTTTAATTATGTGTTTTACTTGTTCCTTTCTCGAACCAATGAATAAGAATGAACCAATGAATTTAGGGTGAGAATGGTGACAAATCAGTGATCTCAAGCAACATTATACACAGTCCATATCACAAAGACCTTCAGGCAATAATTTAAAAAAGACATTGAAGGGATGGGAACTTTTAGGCTAATCGTAACATCCCCCCCTCAAAAAAAAGGAAGTGACCCAAACTTGTATTTTGATCTTAAATTGGCACCTCCACAGTGTATTTATTAAATGGAAGCATTTTCTTTCAACTCTCACATTGGTTTGCCTGTGCTCTCCACAAGACTTTGTCCATTCTTGAACCGAAACTCTCCCAGACTTTCAAAATCCACATGAAAGCTTTTGAAGGATTCTGTAGGATTTGGGAAGGTAGTGTCCAGCCCTTGTTATATAAATTAATTGGAGGCTTGACTTCCTTTATTAATTAGCATGCAAAGGTTGTCAGCACAACGGTAGATTGTGGAGGATTAAGGAAGTATTTTTCGCAAAATTCATTAGGGAATTAGAGTTGATAAAATGAAAGCATCCTTGATGGAAACACTTATAAAGTGTTGGCTTTGATTTTGGTTTGTTACACCAGGTAAGGGAAGAATGCAAAGTTAAACAAGCGGTAACCTCAGGTAACCTCAAAGTAACCTCGCAGTTGAACCTCACGGTAAACCTCAAGTTACCTGCTGTTTCAGTGGTGTGAATTTCTAATGCACACCCCTAGCCCGTTTGAAGTTTGCATAAGCTTCTCCCTGAAGTTCTTCCTTAAGCCTTTGGAATCTAACCAAAATTAAACAAGCGGTAACCTCGGGTAACCTCAAAGTAACCTCGCAGTTGAACCTCAAGGTGAACCTCAAGTTACCTGCTGTTTTAGTGGTGTGAATTTCTAATGCACACCCCTAGCCTGTTTGAAGTTTGCATAAGCTTCTCCCTTAAGTTCTCCCTTAAAGCTATAGTCCATCATTTGCAGCTATCCGAAAAGTAACTGGAGTAATTATTGTTGAAAAACATACTTGGTTGAAAGATGCAAAGGGGACTAAACTCCCTGTGAAATTATTCTTTCTGGCAAGCTGTCATTTTGACGAAAGAAGGCCTTTCCAACGGTGCTTCTTAAGACGCACCGCAGGAAATTTAAATTAGTAGTTCGTTTTGTTATTCGGCGAAGAGCGCAAGCATTGGCACGACGCACACGAGGTTGCTATAATTCGTCAGATCAGTGCGCGACATCGCGTAGCTGTAATGGGCTCAGTGAGAACATGTCTCGGACGCTGAATTCAGGCCCAATTCAAAACATGATTCAGCAACTTTTGATTTGAAATTGAGATCCTAGAATGCTGTTTTTCTCAGAATATACAGCTTCATCAGGTTAGTTGTTCAGTACCCTTCTTTAAATTTTGAGCACTCTTGTTGCTTCAAACGAACAAAATGCACAAATTACAAATGATGGACTATATCTTTAAGCCTGTGGAATCTAACCAACTTGCTTAGAATCTGTGAAATCCAGAGGGTTTAATTCTTTGAAACTAGCCACACACAGAGAAGTTCATTTCTCCTTCTCACAAATGTTAAATCTACCTACCACCTTACTTTTTTTGATAAAAGATGAATCCAAAGAAAAAAAAACACTCCTTTTCATTTCTTTTAAAAAAATAATCTCTACTGTCCTTCCATACATATTTTTTATAAAGTTTAAATGTTCATATATATTTCTTCCCAAATTATTGGACCATGTTACTCACACAAATACAACTTTCCATAGCTTGATCTTATGAAGGAACAAAGATTTTACTTTTTTTTTACAATGGAGGGCGACGTTTTCTTATATTGAGAGGGAATTTTGAAATAATCTTTTTTAAATAAAAAGTTTATTTTTATGGCCAACTGACAAATTCGACAAAAAATTTTATGAGATAGTGTTAGTAAATCCAAATTGAAAAGTTAGCAGCTAAACATGTATCTGTATGTCTTATGTATATATATGATTTTCTGGGAGATATTGTGTCCTAGCATTAGTTTTATTTACGTCAATAAGACGTCAATAAAGATATCACGGTAAAATCGTGGCAAACTCTTTTGACAAATAATCCTAAATCTATGACAATAGGGCTCGACCTGCAAACATCTCATTTCAGAAATATCTCAGAAAAGGAAAATGGAGGGAAAAAAAGGCAGTCTCTTTAAAATAATATTTCAACCTTCCAATTTTTAATCAAAATTAGTGAAAAAATAAATACCGTAGTTGGAGTTATAGTAAAAAATAATCATCACAACATGCAAAAATCATGCATTTTCTTTCTTTTTATATGAATAGAATATATATTTTTAAATGCGTGTGACTAGTCTCAATGTTCTAAATGATATAGTTTAAATAATTAACGGTCTCGCAGTCATAAATTATTTTAATCGATGAATTCAACCCTCTGGATTTAACAGTGAAAAGCAATCAAATGAAAATTAATTTTGCACGAAATCTTAGCGTTAGGGTACGTTGAGATACCATTGCTGTGGCTATAGTGCAGCATTCTTGAACACATTCTGGGATTTAAACTGCATGATCTGTGGGAGAAAAAAAGAAATAAAAACAATATAACTAGAGGTTCGCTTTTGTTGAGAAACAAATGCAGAGAGGTCGGGCTCACATCTATTTCAAATGTCATAAACGTTGCCACAAATATCAACTGAAAATTCGTTCTAAACATTTTCAACCTGCCGCTAGAGGTCACTCTAACATTTCATGACTTCACCTGTAATTTTTTGGTAAAGTACAACCTAGCCAGAGGTTATCATCATCGAAAGCAAGTTCACATATTTTTCCACTTTTAAGTTATAAAAGCACATCTGGTTTAGACCGGAAGGAAGTGTCACATGATTACATGTAGGTACACAGTATAAAATGAAGATCCTGGATTTTTCTATCAATTCCTGCAAAACTCAAGTTCAGGTCTCTCACGGTTGATTTTACATTGATTTTCAAAGATTAAATCTATGTTATTAGATTAAATCTTGTAATTTGACACCTGATGACATCATTATGATGTCAGAGTAACATGCACCTCTCAAGATCGGGTCGATATATGTTGAAAGTCACAAGTTCACACCATAAACCGTTTAGGAGAAAACCCGCAGAGAAAAGAAAGAAAGAAAGAAAGAAAGAAGATTGATCAAAACAATTCTAAACAGTGGTTTGGTTGGTTGGGTTGTGCCTGACCACTCAAAAAGTAGTACTGGACAACAGACAACACTATAGAGTACCGACGTGAATACATCACGCACACATATGTGTGTCAAAGACGTTAGCGCGTCATTCAGTCCGTGAACCAATACGCGTGCGTACTCCATTCGTTTGCAATGCGCTACCTGGTTCTAAATGACGTCACACTTCGGCACTCTATACCAACTAATGAACCGCTGCGTTGGATCCGAAATGTTAGTTACATTTAATACATAATTTATCAAGTTCAGACTTTGAATTCTTACTTACTCTCTGTTAATGTGTGACTGTGTGTATCGGAGGAATTTGTAGGGGGTCTGAGGCCGGGGGGAGGGGCATGTGTCGTCCAGGCTGGACCTGAAAACAAACAAAAGAAATATGAATATGCATGAGCTAAAATATGAATATGTATGAGCTGAGAACGGGTGATTGGTGGATGCTTGAGGATTTGGTTCAAATGGTTTTAAATTCTTCTAATATCTATTTCCCTTTTGACAACAAATTTCTGCCACGTCACAACCCACAAATCATTTTGAACGTTTAAAACTTATCATACCACAAGTTGGCACACTACTGACCTATGAAGGCATTGCATTCCTTACCTCTGTTTGCATATGCATGAGCTGGGAATAGGTGATTGGCTGAGGGGTGAGTGGGCGTGTCTCCATCTGTCAACGTTTGTAATGACTTTAACCAGTGTGGCTGTTCTTCTGTGGGAACTGCAGATCAAAATAAAACAAAAATAAAAAAAAATATAATCAATGACAGAAGAAAAATGTTAGCTGCTTGTGGAGACATTCTCTCGACAAACAAGACCACAAAAGTAACTGGCCACAGTAATGGATCATCTCTAAAGATTAGCAATGCGTTGAAGCCAGTCTACATGACGTCGCTTCTGAAAACGGGAACTCAAGTGGACATAGAAACTAAACACACAGATCATTGCTTTTCTTGTGCAGGGACAAATGTACTATAATTAGGGAAGCATGTCTCCTCTTTGGGAACTGTGACGATATAACAGATTGATACACTGTGTAACATTAAAACCATTCGTCCCTGCAACACCCCAAAACACCCCATGCCAGTGTTTCCCCTGTCCATTCAAACGTGAGGTGGCCCACCTCGCTACTTTCAGTGACCACCTCGCTCAATTTTTGCCAATATCACCACCTCGCTGTGAAGATTGGCAAAAAAGAAATTATCAATTGACAAATTTTCATTTTGTGTAATATATGAGCATTTTCCTTTACCTCCATGTATCAAGAACTCACAATTTTGATGTGTTTTTGGAATCATCGCGCATTTTTGTGAGCGCTGCATTCTTTTCAGTTTGCAGACTGTAAGTTTTGTTTCAATCATCAACTTGAATTGTTACCACCTCGCTCAGTTCATTAGCCAGGGGAAACACTGCCCCATGCACTCTATGCTTTAATCAAGGAATAAATACAATGCAATACAATGTAGGACAGGTGTTAATGGGAGTAACAGAAAGACAGAGAGAAACTGACCTTCTTTTTCTGTGAAGCCGGGCGCATGTGCATTGTGGGAGTTGACGCTGATAATTGCCGGGTCGTGCACCATCCAGGTCTGGGACTGAATTCCGGGCCAAACCTCTGCAAACGGGACAAGAAAAGGTCTTTTGGTCAATGTTCTTTGACTAAATTCACTACTGGACTTTTGTCAAGAAATGTGTGGAGTTGGTATTTGCAGGTTTTGCAGTGATTTTGAACCATAGTCTGGACCAATTCGCCACTGTATTATCAGTGCAGAGATTATGTTACGAACCAACGATCTTTCACCAAATTTGCTCGTCTTTTTTTGCCAATTAATAATCGGAATTGTACTGTACAGGTGATTGTATGAATTTGATTTAAACAAGTTTTGCAATGAATTTTTGTGAAATCTGGTACTGTAACATCAGTGAACAGATGCAAAATATGTCACAAAGTAATCAGTGTTTTATAATCAATAGTCTTTGATATTATTTTTTTTTTGGGGGGGGGAGCTTGAAGGGGGGGGGGGGTGTGGTTAAATCACACACCTGAGTTCTTCTGTGTGGCTGACTGTGCGGAGTTTGTGGCAGCGTTGGCCCCACCGAAGCTGATGTTGATGTTGGGTAGCAGCGCCCTCAGGCCGTCCTGCCAACTCTGGACGGACTCTGGGTGTTTGGTCTGCTGTTGGAAAAAACAAACAGTAAAGACTTTAAAACCCTTGCTGTGCTGTAACCTCCAAAAACACTTCAACATTCGCCTTTAATAGGAGTCTTCTCAGTAACCCTAACAGAACTCAACCCATCAAACCCCAACGGCATGTCTTGTTGGAATCTGTCAGGATGGGTACTGACAGTACCCCTAAAAAAGTAAAGTCTGTCGCGAGCCAATGTGGCTCATCAGGCCGGTGTTTATCTCCGGTTTCAGTAGCATGAAACGACTGAGAGTATTTCTACTCCCCCTGGATGGGATGCTAGTCCATCGCAGGTTACTCCCCAGCTAATGCCGGTACCCATTTATACTCCTGGGTGGAGAGGGGCAAGTGGGGATGAAGTGCCTTTCCCAAGGACACAATATATGACCAGCGGCTGGATTCGAACCCCGGACCCTCTGATCATGAGTCACGAACCCTAACCACTAGGCCACACACTCCCCTAACAGTACCCCTAAACTTACTGTCTAGTACACTGGGTTGGCACACCGCCAGAATCAAAGTCATGTGTATGCAGTTTTCCATATGGTGTTGGAATTTGCCAGGATGGGTATGGTTCCTAGTGAATCATGCTAGGGAGTTAGGGTTAAAGGCATATAGGATCCCTTGCGTGAAATTATTCCGTCTGGCTTGCTGTCATTTAGAAGAAAGCAAGAAATGTTGGTGATTTCCATCGATCAGTCACTTGACTGATTTTTTTGGAAATAAAGAGTTGTAGTGACGAAATCGTCAACTGGCGAATCGTCATCAGAATAACAAACAGACATAATGGGCTCAACGTCTTACTTGCGAGGGTGAATGGTGCGGTCTGGGATTGTGGTTATTGAAGCCGAGAGGGTGAGCAATGTTCTGTGGATTGGAGTCTGCTGGTCGATCCATCTGTAGCCAATTCAGCATCTTACTGCCGCTAACTTCTGCAAGAAGACAAATGGTTCGATCATTGTTAAACTATGGTTTAGGTTAACAGTGTCTCGAGCTGTTCTAATCAGATTTTAAGAAAGTCTACCACAAGTCAACTCACAAGTTAACTCATGAGTCAGGCCACAAATGAAACAGGGAATGCCTTCAGAACAGTTCATCTGAATAGCTTGCTAATTGAATTCAGACTGGACTACTTGTGATGGAAAAGAAATTACAACCTTTTTTTCAAATACTGTTAGATGTTTCCTTTTGAGAACATGGGAATATGCAATGTTACAAATCAAATGTGAATGTCCTCTATACTGCAATGCTATTTTTTTGTTTTGTTCATAAACGGAAAAAAAATGGTTGCGATATGCGAGAGACGGACCTGAGTTCAAGCCGTGGTTTGCCGGGGTAGTGAAACCGGGAGGGGGTTGCGTCATCTTATTGGGGTCAGAGGTCATGGCTATTCCTAGTTGCAGCTCTTTCTCCAGTAAGTCTGCTAGGCCTTTGTTCGATTCGTTCCATGGGTCAAATCCTACAAAAGATAAACAGAAAAAACATCTGACGGAATTTTAAAAAACACATTAATCCATTAAGCCCCGCCCCCTTGAAGCTTTGATCAATTACAGCCGTGATTAACGTCTGACCTGACATGTATGCGAGAAGACAGACTATCTAAGTGACTACTGAAGTATTTTGGAGGGTTTAACACAGGCATGCAACTGGGAATTTAGGAAAAGCAAGGAAACTCCAAACCACACAAGACTTTGTACAGTACTTTTCAATTTGTAATGGCATTTATAAGAAGTACAAAAATGAGGAAATAAGTAGATCCGAGGAAAAGTTGCATGCCTGTTTAATAGAACAAGGCTAGGGCTGTGCATCTGAACCGGGTACCGAAGTATCCGACCACTGATGTCAGGAACCGGTTCCCGAATATGAAATTGAGTACCCGTAACCAACTTGACATATTACTAGTCTTAGTAACTTCTCAGACAATGAAAAAGAAAGTTTCGAATGTCATTTGTGGAGAATTTTCAAAATGAAAACAAGTCCACATGGAAAAGCAAAACAGATTCATGTTCACGACGCTTGCGAAAATGCAGCTTACACCATGAAGCTACATGTATTGAGCTGACTGTACGCACTTGTATCTTGCTGTATCGACCCACAGATGTGGCGGTATTATCGTGCGGACCTTTATAAACAATCTATACAGGAACTTCCGAGACTGACATTTTGGGATTGCCTTCTTTAATGGGTACCCATGTTTTCTTCAATCGGGTATCCGATTCCTGTACTGACCGTAAATGCACACCCCTAAACAAGACCCAAAAATGCCAGGCAGAAAGAAAACTTCAGGCATGCAACTGGGAAGTCAACAAAAAAGAGGAAATTTACATCTTTCCAAGACTTTGTCCAGTGTTTTTCTATTTTCAATGGCACACATGGGAAATGAAAAAAGAGGAAATCAGCTGATCCGAGGAAAATTTGCATGCCTGAAACTTGTAAAATGCCATGGACACGAGTCTACAAAAAACAAAACAAATCTCTACAAAAACAAAGGCTCTGTTTCAATGAAATGTAAATAATTGACCGATCTCTTAAGCCCTGCCCCTTGAAACTTCGACCAATCACAGACGTGATTATAAGCATCTTGGAGATGGCCATAGGGATGTGTTTCCTGTTTTGTACCCACCTAAGTCGTCTTCGTTGAGTAGGTCTTTTGTATCTGAGCTGAACCCGAACGCAGCTTGCCAGTCGGTGTGACTAGCCACAGGCAGCAGGTCGTTGTTCAGTATGACACCTTCACTCCAATCTGTGATGGGAAAAGAAAGTTTCTGAAATTACAAACTGGAAAAAAAATTACTGGAATTTTTGCCCTTCACAGATGTAATTTATTAACCCTAACTCCCTAGGCAGTTTTGCTGGGATGCAACCTCAATCCTACAAAATCCTCCAACTGCCTCCATCGTATACAGCCCCAATCTTCCAAAATCATCCGTTATTTATTGAATGTAGTCCTTGGACGTGTTGGCGGGGCGGCCACTGCCTCAATCCTGCAAAATCCTCCAGCAATCACTGTCAATGAGTTAAGGCAGAGCCAGTGACATCCTGGAGCAGTGCGGAGGATTTCAAGTGTAAGCTAGGCCTAACACTAGGTCCGGCCCAAGACCTTGACACAGTGCATCCTCCAAAATCAGCCACACATTTTGCCATATAGCCTCAATCATGCAAGATCCTCCATTTTGCAAAGAGGATTTGGAGGATTTGGGAAGGTTAGGGTTAAAGCACTTTTTACACGGTGTTGTTTGAGGCCTTGCATGAAAGTATTGACAGGCTTCCTTGGGTGGGACTCGAACCTATGACCTATTGCTTACTAGTGCAGTCGTTGAACCAATCAAACCATTTAGCTGGCAAGTGATAAAGTTGGGTTGTTTCGTACCAACTCACCCAAATTTTCACAAATTTGTCAGTGTCCGACTCAGGTTTGGCAGATACTTTTTCTGGTTTTTATGGATGGAATGAACACACACCAAATCTTGACTCTCAACTCCCGTTTGTTTGCCAAAATTTGGTGTGTTTAAAAAAAAAAAATTCGCCAAAATCTGAGTCGGACACTGCCGTGCCATGGTTGAGTTGGCACGGAATGACCCACTAGAGAATACAGCAAGACAAATCGGTACAATATCAAACAAAACAAAATTAATGTAGAACTTGCCTCCTGCTGATGTTGGGCCTTGGTGAGGGGGGATCAGCGGGGGCATGGAGCTACCACCCTGAAAACCGGTACCTAGAAGCAACGAGTGACAAATAAACACAAAATTATAGGGACCTGACTAGGCTTGGTTTTAATCAATAGTAGGCCGCATCCGAGTTATTGGCTACGGCTAGGAGTAACACACATGTCTATGGGAAGTGGCTACAGCCACTTGTTGCAAACCTTAGCCATACAAAGTTTTACCCGTTTTTCAGATGCAGATTTCTCAGAATTGACCTATCGCCGTTTGCGACTTAGCCACACCCCTTAGACAACCCTATGGAATTTTGTAGGTTAAGTTTTGTTTGTCTCAGATTTCGCGCGTGCCACGTCCACTTGTATAACATGTAACTAGACAATATTTCAAAGGCTGCGTTGACGCAATGCTACCGCGATCTCAATTAGGGAGACATGTTAAAAACGTTTCAAGAGATATGGTAAACACAATAGCACTGCGTGTGAAAAAAGAGCTGCAATAATGTCATTAGGTTTACATGACTGCCATAGACTTATGCGTTTTATTGACCATTTTCTGTAAATGGCCGCTATTTCTTATCTTGAGCTTTAATTTTAGTGTCATTTTTTACCATATGCCACCAAGATCTTGTAGTTTAGGAATATCTTAAAACAATTTCAACATGTCTCCCCTATTTGGAGAAATCTGCGTCTGAAAAAGTGTAAACTTTTTTGGGGGACCTCTCTGTAGTGCTACCTCAAACTTTTCTGCTGTAGTTTAATAAAGGTTCTTCGCTTGCGTTTAATAAAAAGAGGGCCTAGCCTATTAAAGCTGGGTCTCAGCTGGAAACACTGCTTTCTGCCCACTTGGAATTGGTTTGTTAGAATTGGAATGTTTCAAAAGGAATGAAAATGCTCTAAGTTCTAAGCAAATTTCCGAGGAAGTGCAGAAGCTTACCATTGACTGGTGCCTGTACGTGAGGGTTTGGCGGTACAAGGCCCGGTATGATGCCCTGTGCCATGAAACCGTTAGCGGCAAAGAACGACGGTAACGACTCGTCCGTCTCAAACGGCGATTGCTGTTTCGGTTGCGACACCCCGTCTGTAGGAATTGGTTGTGATTGCACGGAACTGGGAGGGGGTAAGCCTAGATATGGAAAAAGAAAAGAACAAAATAAATCAATTTAAAATTGTGTGTTCCGCGTGCTCTTGAACAAATTCCAATTTTTTCTTTTAATAAATTTTCGAAATTTTCAACCAAAAACCCTCCCTTTTTCCCCCATTTTTTTGATGTCTGCAAGACTCGTACTGATTGTGGGGTGGGAACCAGCCAACCCCGCAAGAACAGGAATTATTGTCTGACAGCCAATAATTTGAAATTTTAAAGTAATAATTCGTTATAGCAGGCATGCAACTTTGAATTTCGAAAAATCGAGGAAACTCCAAACCACACAAGACTTTGTACAGTGTTTTTCAATTTGTAATGGCATTCATGCGCAATAAAAAAACGAGGAAATCGGCAGATCCGAGGAAAAGTTGCATGCCTGAATAACTCAATATGGGCCCATTTTTTTCAGTGGATATCTCATTCAAAAGCGAGTAACTTTTGTACTGCTTTAAAAATAGCAATTTAGAAAAGGAATCTATTTTTTCAGGATGAAACTCAAAAAGAGCACGGTGCATAGATCTTTAATATGTGCATGTTATGGTAAAAAAAGAAGAAGGTATTTCATGAAAAGTATGATGCCAGAACCTCGTGTGACAGGTAGTTTTTTTTAATTGTTGACTGCATTAATGGTATAATGTCCAACAGATCTGGACATCTGTTGCACACTGTTGTATATGGCAGGGTCAGAGATAACGAAGAACATCAGGTTGTACGAAAATTGGGGATAAAAATATCTCAAATGGCTCACCGTCTGTCGGGGGTTGTCTGACCCCTTGTGTCTGTGTGTTAATACCCCTGGGTGGGGATTCGCTCAGACTGTCCGGCGTGTGACTGTTGGCGATCGGGGGCGTGTCCACCGGCGACTGCGAGTACACGTCGTTGGACTTGGGCTGGGTGGCGAGCGCCGGCCAAGGGTCCCCCTGGTTCGTAGTAGGCCAGGGGTCCCCGTGGTTCGTGGCCGGCCAGGCGTCGGCGTGGTTCGTCGGGGGCGAGTTATTCTGGCTGCTGGCAGGCGAGGCTGAAGGCTTTTTTCTGCGCACAAATCAAGAAAGAAAGTAACAGTGGATGAATGAATCCGCTCCGATCACAAGTACCCCCTCACCGGCTAAGAAAGTACACTTTGGGGTGACCGACCGACGCCATCTTGCCTGACTGCAATTCAGCGCGGCCACTGCGTGTACATAGTACAAATCCCCTGGTGTACGTGCGTCACACACAAGGAACGGTGCGCGTCAACCAACGAAATGTCCCGCCCATGGGACGTCGTTGCTAGGTAAAAGAGCGCCCTCTTTTGTCGGTGCACGGAGCCCATAACAATACAAGGAATGCCTTTGTCAAAGCTCATTTGAACAGCTCGTGAGGTGAATTGGGACTTGCGGGGACTTTCAGGGACTTGTGATGGACGTGACTACATCCCTGCAAGATACTGCTAGGACCAAAATGTGCAACGAGGATTTTGAAGAATTAAGCGGGGGTAATTAACCCTAACCCACCTCAATCTTCCAAAATCCTCCTAGCAGTTTTGGAGGATTTTGGAGGATTGAGGACGAATGGTGTTTGAGAAAAACAAGGATTTTGGAGGATTAAGGATGAATGGTGTTGAAGCACATGAGGATTTCGGAGAGTTGAGGATGAATGGTGTTTGAAGAAAACGGATGATTTTGGAGGATTGAGGATCAATGCATATTGAGTAGCAGGACTGTCTGACAATGTTGAGAGGATTTTGGAGGACTGAGGATGGTTCTTAGCAAAAAGGGCCTGGGGGGTTAGGTTTAAGGGTTGAATTGGAGACAGTACCTTGAGCTTTTCGAATGCTTCTTGCTGTGCTCGTTGCTGGAGCTGCCGCTCGTTTTCTGCTTGGGCTGCTGCTGGGGTAACGGCGGTGTCTCTGCTTGCCGTTTCTGTTGCTGCTGTTGTTGCTGTGGCTGTGGTTGCTGTTGTGATTGTTGTGATGGCTGCTGTGGTTGTTGTTGTTGTTGTTGTTGTTGTTGTTGTTGTTGTTGTTGTTGTTGCGTTGCTACTGCTGCTGCTGTTGCAGGTGTGTGTGTTGATTGCGAAGACTGACTCGTACCACCGCCTAGCACCTCCTGGGCCAGTTTCTGTTCGTATTCTTGGTGTTTCCTGTTAAGGGTATGACAAAAGGGAAAATTTATTATAAGTCAGTGATTTCTGGACCAACTTCCATGACACAGCTGATTCCATGGTCTTTTGAAGACAGCATCTCTGAAGTTGACAAAGTTCTTACAATTTGATTTTTAAACTTTTGTCTTTTTCTTTGTGCATTCACTGAATCTGTGCTCCATTTCAGAAGTAAAACTAACATTAAGTCCATCCTATTTTCTGTGGATGTAGAAAATCGTAGACACTAAGGATTCCTGATCACCCTAACAGTTGACAGCTCTGTTTATTGAACAAAACTCTGACAATTTCGTGAAGATTTTGGGAAAATGAAGACTCTCCTCGGCACTTACCCTGCTTGCATATCTTCCTTAGTGAAGCTAGCCGCTGAGTCGCCCAACTCGTGCAGATACATGCAGTCCTGAAATCAAATCGAGATAATTAAAAATTACGACAAGCGCTGCAGTTCAGTCCATCACAACACATGTCACAAGACCATCACAGGTCAGCTAGGTCACAGGTCTGTTCACAAGGAACAGGGCGGGGCATGAACAATTACAAAGACATACCTGGGGGAGGGGGTGGAGATGGGGTAGGGGAAGTGGTTAAGGTGGAGGGGGTCGAGCATTGGGGGGGGGTAGGCCTTACTGGTCAAAGAAACTGAAGTATCTTGAGAAAAAGGTAAAATTACAGGAAACATTAAAGGGAATATACAACATTTGCAAACATCAAAAAATAAAACTACCAGGTTTTTACGAAATACCTTAATTGGATGTTGGTAAATGACAGTCTAAAGCATCCTGTAAAATTATGGCACCTGGTGTGATGTCATTTTCAAGAAAATGGTATTTTTTAAAGATTTCCAGCTTCTGCTCCAAATTTACCATTAATTCCGTTCAAATTGTGTTTGCTATTGGTTACATGTTCATAAACGGGTGCAGGCCAGCTAGACTGGTAACCTTACCTTACAATTTTCCGCCATCTATAAATTGATCCATTTTATATTTAGTGGAGTCAGGGAACCAGACTACTTGAACTGTTTTGTTTTTTCTTGGTTTTTCCAGCATTATCGAACACAAAACTTCAAACATGTCAGTGTAACAATATTTGATCTATTATACTAACCCCTCAAATACTTCATTTCTGAAAATTACAGCAAAAGCCAATGATGTATATTCCCTTTAAGTGGTTATCCACAATGCCTCAGGCAAATTCAGGAAGTTGGAGGGAAGGGGGGTGGCGGGGGTCGGATGGGGGGTCAGCCTTACCGGTTTAGGGCACTGGGAGTTCTTGAGGAAGTGGCTGCAATATTTGGTCGTTCCTAACGAGGCTTTGAGGGTTCTCCCGTCCACGTGCACGTTGTTGACTGCCTGAATCGCCTTCAGCGCGTCTTCGTATTTGTGGTACGTTACGTAGGCACTTGCACTGGGCCCCTGAGTGTAAATTCAAACGACAGAGAGTTGTGAAACTTCAAAGTAAAAACAAACAAACCTGACTTTTTGATTAACTCTAAAGATCCCCAACCAGTCAAACTCCAACACCAGGGTTTGTTGGAATCTGTTAGGATAAGTACTGCACTAGTAAGGGACCGTGACCATTCAGCCCTGGTATGAAAAGGGCCCCCCGGTACCTCGTCCGGTCCAGAGCCAGTCCGGTCTTCAGCCCAGTCTCGTCCGGTACATAGTCCTGTCTGACCAGAAGTTTTGAAGTCAGTCAGGCGCATCAATTTATTGCCCTTCAGAGACCAGCCAGAGCAGAACAATAGCAGACTTACCGGATTAAAGATAAATTCCTACTGTTCTATTGTTTAGCGCTGAGAGATGAAAACCACAAGCAGGTTTCTTCTGGAATATATTACATGTGTCAAAACTTGCAAACAACAGACCCCAGGATAGAGGAGTTCCTGATTAGCAACCGGACCAGCTCCTGGGCCGGTAGCTGGGACGGTACGAAAGGACTTCTTGGGAGGGGACGAGCTTACCGGGGGGCCCTTTTCATACCGGGGCTGAATGGTCACGGGCCCTAAACTTACTGTGTTTTACTTGGGATTAGGCATACCACAAATAAACAGAGTCCAACTGTTAATGTGCACAGTTTACCATATGGTGTTGGGATTTGCAAGGATGAGGAAGGTTCCTAGTAAATCACCCAAGGGAGTTAGGATTATCGCAGCTTGAGGTTTAGAGTTGTCAGGAGTGCAACTTGGAAGAAGTTTGCAGCTACGCCATGTGAAGCAGTAGTCTATGGAACAGACGCTTGCCTACGGAACGTGTCTACGATATGTATTTAGATTATGCAAAACAACACTGCGTCTGGACCTCCAGATTCTGACCAATCAGCAGGCGCCTTCTATCGGGTCTTCGGTAACCCAATGTTATACAAGAAAAACATGACAGCTATTGACCAATCAACAGCTTTGGCCGGATTTGGAGTGAGTTATGGTTAACGGCTGCTTTACCTGTGAGCCGGCGTAGGAAGTGTTCTGGTTGATGACGACTTTAACAATCTTCCCAAACTTGCCAAAATACTCCTGCTTCTTCAAAACCTGAAAAAGAAAACGGAGAGAAAAAAAAGTAACTCTCTCAATTCTTTTCTAAAGTAGCCATCAACAGATTATACAACTTTCATTTACGATTATTATAATCGATCTCTGGTCTAAAAACGGTATTCCTACCTCCGTATCTGCAAGTCTCTGAGAGAGACCCACGACAAACACCAGGTTTTTCTGGACAACCCTGCAAAGACATTCACAAACAAATTACAAATCAACGTAATTAATCAGCATTCTTGCAAACATAGTGACATGCACATGCAGCTGCACCTTAGATTAAGTCGTGTCCATGCAGCAAGGTTGTATCTCCTAAAATGGGCCGTACGTAGAACAAGAGTTCCAGAATGTCAAATGTTCGTATCTCACTTAAAATAGCCCGGATGTACACACAAAGTCAATGGACGTTGTTGCACGGGGCGTATTCGCGCAAGATATGACTCTGTTGCGGAATGGAGTTACGACCTTGTTGCACTGATGCGATGATATAGTGAGGCCCATTGCGCGAGTCTGTGCAAGCTCAAAGACATTTCAAGTTCAGCAGGCATTCTCAACGAAATTTCAATTTGAAAGACTTTTCGGAACCGTTTGACTTTTTGGCACATATGCGAGTGTTTCTTTACAGTCGATAGACCTTTATCATGCTGCCACCATTTCAGTCATGTTCCCAGTATCCAATAACAGTACTGAATGAATAATTTCTTATTGTGCAAAAAGGAACCAGACTATTTTTCCTTCCAGCCTCGCTTTGGTTATGTTGATTTGAATGAAAAAAAAATCAAGATGGCCGCAACATGATAATGGTCTATAATGCTAATGAGTCTATGTGCATTTACCTGACACTAGCGAGGTGTTTGCGACTGTCTGTGATCTTCTGTTTTCGTTGGTGATCCTTCTGACGTTTCTCGTTCTTGATTCGTTGTAGCCTGAAAGACAAGTCAACAAAAGTATTGATTATGTAATTTCTCCAAGTTGGAAATAAAATATAACACGGGTATGTACCCATCCTGACAGATTCCAACTAAACATGCCGTTGGGGTTTGATGGGTTGAGTTCTGTTAGGGATTACTGAATCAGTCTAGTGTATTATCAGACAGACGTTTTGGACTCACTCTTCTTCCGTTAGTGGCTTGAAGTCTGCGGGGCACTCTGGGTAGGCTTTCCTGCAGGCGGGACACAGGCCGTTCTCATCCGTCCGGATCCGATGCCAACAGAAACGACAAATCTGCCGAGGAGAGATCACAACGTAAAGTCAACTTTCTTCTCCCAAGCTTTGTTTTTTTTAAATCCATTTTTAGATTTTACAAAGTAGTGGTACTTCATTTGTCAGACTATAATTGTGCCTATAAAGGTGATTTTTAATTTTTTTTTTATTTCAACAGACATTCTTTCTCTTTTTTATCTTTGTGACATCATTAACTTAAAATAGGCATTACTATGTCACGGAAAGCCCATCTGCAAAAAATGAAATTGTCAGCGTATTAAAAGGGGAAGATCTACAATTTCACAACATAGAAAAAAAGGGGATAAATCTTCGACCATTTATTTGCATAAAATAGACAACATTGCGGGTTACGCCACTTGGAAAGAAATTTCTTTTTGGAAGCATTGTGGTTCTGAAAAAGAACCGGTTGGTTGAGTGTAGAACTCGACGTTTCGGACAGTCTGCTGCCCTCAGGGCGGACCGAGCACACTGTCCGAAAAGTTCGAGTTCTACACTCAACCAACCGGTTCCTTTTCAGAACCACACTTCTTCCAAGAAGAGATTTCTTTCCACATGGCGTGGCCCGCAATGTTGTCTATTTTATGTCATTCGCCATGCAAAGCTTCAAGTCATATATGTTTATGCACCAAGACCTGGGCCCAATTTCATAGAGCTGCTTAAGCAGAAAATTTGCTTAAGCACGAAAAAACATTGCTTAGTAAAATTAGGTTACCGGCCAAAACTCCATGTGATGAACATTGCTTGTGACTGGTATTTAGCTGTTGTTTACTTAGCATAACAATCACATGGAGTTTTGGCCGGTAACCTGATTTTATTAAGCAAGACGTTTTTGTGCTTAAGCAAATTTTGTGCTTAAGCAGCTCTATGAAATTGGCCCCTGTCAGTTTATGATTGACAACATCACATCTATTTTCTGTAAAATTCTTCAAGAAAATGCCTGGCTTACCTGATACCCGCAGGTGCAAGGGAAGAAGTTGATGTCGTCGATCTCCAGTGGCTCCATGCATAGTGGGCACTGACAACAACAACAACAACAACAAAACAAAGAATGACAACATATGTTGGGGAACCCGAGGGCACAATATACAGGCATGCAACTAGCAATTCCAAACCACACAAGACTTTGTATGTTTCTCAATCTGTAATGGCGTTCATGAGAAGTACAAGAAAACGAGGAAATCAGCGGATCCGCGGAAAACTTGCATGCCTAATAATAAGTACTTTGAATTTCAAAGCAGGAACAAGCTCCTTTCGGGCTGATTTCTGGACCTGACAATTCCCGACGTCTATAAATTACTATGGTTCGTCTGAAGTAGGGTCAAGAAAATCGACTACAAGAACAACATTTGGAAAGATTTCCATACATACAAAGTTCACTAATTTTCCTCTGTATTGACTAACAAGCCCCCAGATAGCAATTTTGTGTCATCAAAGTCAATTTGAGCAGTGAGAAAATACAAGCATTTTCTTAGAAAACACTTAGAATTTTTCAGTCCAATCTCATAGGGTTTGTACACAGGGTGTTGAGTGAACTTCGTATATGGAAATCTTTCCCAACATTTTTTATCTTGGTTTTCCAGCACCTATGAACCTAAAACTTTAAACAGGTCAGTGTTACAATATTTGCTATAAAATACTAACCCCCAAATCCATCCATTTCTGAAAATTACAGCAAAAACAAATGTTGAATATTATATTTAAATCCTACAAACCCTCTGTAAGTCTTTAATAGAATTTGTGAAGGATCTCAGTTGAGATCAATAAAGACTTTGCTAGAAAGTACAGACATAATTGCTTACATCGTCTGGTTCGTGAATGTTGTTCATGTTGTTGGCGGCTGCTTCTGGCTTCATTTTTGGTGATCTTTGTTGTCGTTCTTGGATTCCACAGAGTAGAAGGAATACAGTGTGCTTTGTAACAAGTACTTGCGAGTTTTGACTCTAAAAAACAATAAAAAACCACAGGGAAAAAAAAATCATGACAAATCATGCTTGTCTAGAGAGATTACAGGGGGGGGGGGGGGGGATGTGGGAAGCTAATTCCATTTTGCCATCATGTACCAGGCTGTGGTAAAGACATTTTCATGTAGGCCTATATTTCTCAGGAAATGTCATTCTAGAAATGGTTGCGCAATCTCTGTGCAAGTCATTAAGGGGATTCCCCCAAATTGTTTACTTCATTTACTGTGAATGAAAGCAGGATTTTGGTTTTGAATGAGTAATCAGAAAATTCCCGGCACAATTGCAGAATACCCCGCCACTCAATCTATCCACCTGGTAGCCGGCTACGGAGTCACGGTTGATTGCCCTCAATAAACCTTCTCAGCGCTACTTGTATGTACTATGCGTCATGCTCCACTGCACTCCCACTCCGTATCCGCGTAGCCGGCAACAGGGTAGTTGGTTTGGACTTACAATTATTTTCAGCAACTCCCATTCCTTTTGTGTTGCTTCGTTCTCAAATAATGGACCCCCACTCAGTATCCGCGTAGCTGGCAATGGACTTGAATTGTTTCTTTTCCCAGTGATTCCAACCGCGTAGCCAGAGATTTTAGGGGTGTATTTCCGAGTTGCGGGGTATTCTGCAAGTACTCCGGGATTTTTTATTTTGTCGGGAGACACCGCAGTTTCCTAATACCTCCTTTTCACCATGTGTAACCAAAATGACATGTGTAGTGATATTTAATGCAAATATGTAGAAAACACAACATTCATATAATTTTTGAAAAAAACTTTGTACAGTCACCTGTCAATATTTATCAAAGAACTGGTTTCGCCAAGAAGGCTTTCCTATAACAAAGTTCTGAGTGACAAGCAGAGATCTACTGATGTATGTAGCCTACCATGTGTGTTGACTGGTGGCCCTCCAAATATTGTTTTTAAAAACATGAAAATATATAGTTTTGATTTTTTAAGGGACATTTTGGGGTAAAACGACAATGAAGACGCAAAACGCAACTAGAAATAAAGATGACGATCACCGCGATGTACAAAAAAATATCTAAAAAACCCGCATTAATTTGCATCGCGCACCAACCATGCCAACAGCGTCTGTAACGTGTCACCCCCGTCGTGTGAGAAAATCACATTTTCTACTACAAGAAACTGTTCAAAATAAGGCCATTATTAATTAAACAAATGGTGTCATTCTAGAATTAACATGATTAAGAGAAGGATGCCTTGCTTTTGAAAAATCATTTTGGAATGACAAAATAAACCCTCTTGACTTTAATTTGATAAAAACTAAAAGGGCCCGAAACTACATAATCGCCACAGTTGTGTTGCACTGTCTGTGTGTACAAATACTGACGAGTATGTCATAGCCCTCTTACACATACACACACATCTGCACATAGGCCCTACGCACAGAAAGAAAGTTGAAGGAGTGAATACGTCAAAAAAGAACTTAAATTCTTTCAATGAACTGGACCAAAATTACACAGAATATTATTTTTTTCAACTGCGCTGGTTAAATATGACAAACCCATTTAAGTATTAAAGAAAAATATGAATACTCTTAAATAAAAAAGGCGGAATTTACTTACGATAAATTTTGGAGTACAACAGCGGGAACTGTTAACAGATCATGGGTTGTTGCTAGTGCGCGTGCGCAGTACGAAATCTCCCGGATGACGGCACAAGCATTGTGGGTAAAACATGGCCGCGCCCAGCGACGCAGCGATGAGTCAGAACAGTCCAATTCATTTTGTGAACAAAATATACTGAATGGGGAAGATTAGACTTTGTCCATAAATATGTCGTTTAAAAGAGAGGGAGATGACCAAAGTCAGCTAAATTTGCTGAAAGTAAGCACCACCAACTACCTAAATTAATGACCTTTAACAATTGCCAAATAAAAAATGATCCCATTTGTTTGCACATTATGAATGCATTTGGCCCAGAATCCGGACAAAATAGGTTACCTCAGCTCATTTATTCAAAATAAATCTTATCCTCGGAATAAATTTTGTCAGGAAAGAATGTTACATTCCTCGCCACCACCTTTTTTTATCATAGGCCTATGTCATCTCAATAGAGGTCAGTTACTGAGATAGTGTAGTGAATTACTGCAAAAATGATGAAAAGATATGAATCTGGGACTGAGAGATGTGATTGTGAGATCATGGAGATTGAGAAACATTTCCTATTTTGTTACCAAAGCAGTCTGGTTGGTAGGGCAGTTATAAATATATAGATTCGTGATGGTGTTTTTTGAGAAACTGGATTATTTTGTACTTGGCCTAGTAATAGTAAATGTCACGCCCCAACTATCGCATCGGTCCCAACTATAGTTGGGACTGTCCCAACTATAGTGCGGCAGTTGGGTCGGCCCAACTATAGTTAGGACTGGAGTTGCGCCGGATAATTCATGCTTGATAGATCTTGTTGGATTAAATGTTCCGCGGCGCTGGCACCGTGTATTCGTCGTGCATGCATGCCGCAAGGCTGGCCGGTCACGTGGTACTGCCTAGTTGGATGAGTTGTCCAGCTGCTGGGTTGATTGTCCAGCAACATTTTGCAAAATTCATTGCCATGGCCGGCCAACTAGTATAGATGGGCCCCACCCATAGCTAATGTCAAAGGTCCCAAGTAAAGTCGGACAGTATGTAACAGAGCTGTAGGGAATGTTTTATAGTCGTCGTACATCAATGTAAACTATAGTTGGGACCGCCAAATAAAAATATTGCGGTGGCCCAACTACAGATGGTCCCCACCCATAGATAATTTCATTGGTCCCAAGTAAAGTCAGATGTGTATTAGAGTTGTAGGGAATGTTTTATAATCGTACAACAATGTACACTATAGTTGGGACCGCAAAATAAAAAGATTGGAGTGGCCCAACTATAGATTCGCCCCATCAATAACTAATTTCAGTGGTCCCCAGTAAAGTCGGACGTGTATCAGAGCTGAAGGGAACGTTTTACAGTTGTACATCAATGTAAACTATAGTTGGGACACCGCAAAATAAAAAGATCGGAGTGGCCCAACTATAGATGGGCCAGCCCAACAATGGAACTTACAGTTGGGACCGTCCCAACTATAGTTGGGACAGGCCCAACTATAGTTGGGCCAGCCCAACTGTGGAACTACAGTTGGGACAGATGCGATAGTTGGGGCGTGACAGTAATACTATAGTGATTTCCTCATTTTTAATATTTTAATGAATTTGAAGGATTTCTTGGGTTTTTGTTTTCAGAAACGCCGCGTATCTGACCTTCTGGCCGATGATGTACCGGAGGATGAAGCATTCCTGATGAGTAATGGAAGGTAACAAGTACTCAATGTAGGGCCAAACAATAGAGGGCTTGCACGGAGCGCCCTCGCTGTGGACAGGTCTTTGACTTTGTCCCTCAGCGATACGCATGAGTAGCCCCAATGTAGTTTCATTGTCACTGAATTTAAATAACAAAACCTGTCAACAGTGCAAGCGCACTCCAGGGTGAGTCAAAAATAAAGTGACTGAATGAGAGAAAATATTAAAAAAATATGTGACTCCACCATTTCATTAAAAAAACGGTCATAATAAGTACGTGTTATTGACTAGCAACTGTGCAAATTTCACATCATTTGCAAACTCTACTTCCAAGTAACGTCTATTTTAATGTGAAGATCACAAAGTTCACCCTTTTAATACAGGTATGCCTGCACAGTTTGTCACCATCGGCCTGTGTTGGACACGATAGCCATGCTATTAGTGCATCGACAAGGCAAGAAGCATCAGAGTTGTAAGTCTGAAATTTTGTTTTACGAAGTGGCTATCGTTACGGCAGCCGTTGTTTAGCGCCCTCTACGATACTTTTTTGATACGCACGCAGGTATATAATTATTTGCTTCCCCACGTGTTATCGAGCAGTGCGACAGCTCAGTCGATAGAGGGTAGGATTTTGCACCGCGAGGTTGCGGGTTCGCAACTCAGTTTTGCATTCAAATTTGTTTCCTTTTCTAACCTGAGGCTTTGGAGGATTTTTTTTTAAAGGGAAATAAAGTCCGAATTTCATAACGTTCAAATTCACTTTTTCCTTCTAATTATATAGTTTCTTCTCATGTTTTTATAAAAGTTGCAGTCTACCGTAACGATAGAAAATGGGAAATGTATTACGGCTGCCGTAACAATAGCCACTGCGTTTGTTTTATTGGTACCAAATGAATCCAGGAAACCATGAAGTCCTTTTTTTGGTGAAGAGGGGGGGGGGGGGGGGGTTAACAGGAACTAATGTAAATATTTGCTGTAGGACTTCCAGTCACATAAGCTGTACTTTAACTTGGGATAGAACATATCCCATTAAACTCCTGGGCAAAAAAAAAACAAATGTGTGCAATGCATCATATACAGAGAGATCTAGTTTTAATCCTAATTATTGCACATGCTTTCTGGTTGCTTCAACTGGCAAAACACTCGGAACAGAAAACTAGAACAGCTACTACATTGGCTTTATAAAGGGTGATTTAAAAAAAGCGGAACCCAAACCCCAAAAAATATATTTCATATTTAAAAAAATATGTAGCACCAAAAAAAATAATGACTGGAAAGCCAATATCATAAGCTACTTTTAGATGAAAAAAAAATTACTGAAATTGCTCAATCCGTTCAGAGATATCACCATTTGAACGCAATGACCCTAAATAAAACCTGTTTTGTCCAAAATAAATTATTGTGTATTCTGACTGTTTGGAACAACAAAGGAAATGACACAGAATACTCGTTTCAACAACTGTCAACAACTGTAGTACACATTATCTTTATTTAATAACAACCCTGGTTAGGCAAACAATATGATTTATAAAATCCACTTTTTTTTAAAAGATGGGCCTTCAAAAGGACTTTGTTGAATATTTTTTAACTTTGAAACTTTGGTTTTATCGCTGGTGATGTTTGAAGACAATTGTGACAACAATTCTTGAAATCGCATTTTGGATGAAAGAGGTTTTATGGTCATTGTGTTTAAATGGTGATATTCTTTTGAACGAATTGAGCAATTTCAGTAATTTTTTCATCTAAAAGTAGCTTACGAAATTGGCTTTCCAGTCATTACTATTTTTGGTGCTACATATTTGTTTAAATATGAAATATAATTTTTGGGGTTTGGGTTCCGCTTTTTTCTGCTCATCCCATAATAGTCAACACATTTGCAAATTTTCCTAGGAACAGCTCAGAATCAGATTTCTGTTTTCTTTTAAAGCTTTAAATTTCCTCTTTTTTGTATGTGACTGCCCAGTTACATACCTGCTCCTCTCAGCATCTACACAATTGGCTTGATAATGATTGATCAATCTTTGTACCATTTATAGATGTGAAGAGTTACTATGCGAAGAAACAACATCTGATGAAAGAAGTCGAGAAGAGGAAACAGCATCTGTACCTGATGAATCAAGAACAAAACAATTCTTCACTGGAAGAGGTGAGTGGATGGCTCGACCAACAAGACAACAAGTTTGTAAAGAATATTCAACGATTTGATGAGAACGGTGGATAAGAAGTCTTTTACCCTAAACCACGTACCATCCTAGATCCTTGAAAATCTGTCGGGAGGTCATGGAAGTTTTGCAGAAGGAAAAAGGTAGATGCCAGCTACTATGAACCCCAACTCCCAAGGCTTTTTTTGCTAGGATGCAACCTCAATCCTGCAAATTCCTCCAATTGCCTCTATGTAAAAAAATTGCATTGAGCCTCAATCCTGCAAACTCCTTCATTATTACTTGAATGTGGTCCTTGGAGAGGTGACCGCTGCCTCAATCCTGCAAAATCCTCCAGCAATCACTGTCAATATGTTGAAGCAAAGCCAATGACATCCTGGAACGGTGCAGAGGATTTCAAGCATAATGTAGGCCTAAATGTATGCACGGCTGAGCATAAACAACACAAGGCTCTGCCCAAGACCTTGATGTAGTGCATCCTCTAAAATCAGTCACACATTTTTGCCATATAGCCTCAATCCTGCAAAATCCTCCATTTTGCAAAGAGGATTTTGGAGCATTTGGGAATAGAGTTAATTAAATAATTGAAATAAACTATGGAAAGTGGATGATGTAAGAAATGTAATAAGATTGCAAGATTGTGAAGGGACGTGTACAAATTATTTTACTGCAACCCTCCGAGATCCTTCAAAATCTATCGGGAAGTTTTGAAGGATTTTGTAAGAAAGAGAAGGTAGATTCCAGCCACAGTTATTGGAATGATGGAAAGTAAATTGTGGACAGTTGATAATGTAAGAACTGGAAGAAGCTTGAAAGAAATGTAGAGGAATGTGTAAGAATTATTTTACTGCAACCTTCCCCGATCCTTGAAAACCCATCAAGAGGTTGTTGAGGATTTTGGGGTGGAAGAAGGTAAAACCTCAGCATTTATTAGGGAAGAATGCACAATTAAACAAGCGGTAACTCGAGATTTAACTTCGAGGTACCCCACAAAATCCCATAAAACCGCAAAAAAAACGTGAGGTAAACCTGGAGTTGCTGCCTGTTTAATTTCACATTCCCTCCTAACTTTGTGAGATTGGGCTTCAGATAAATTGTGAATTTTGGAGGTTCCAGGAGGTTCTATGGAAGAAAACCACAGGAGTTGGAGCAAAGGTTTCGAAAAACATTTGAAAAACTTTCAGGAAATCTACGATGTTTTATTTGAAGGTTGAAGATGTTGCACCACTTTTGACGAAGACCAGGAAAGCTACCCATCATGCATTGCTGAAAGCAGCTCCTTACAAAGGCTACGGCGGACCAAGCAGAAAACAAGAGAGCAGCAGTCACAGGTAAAGGTTAAAGGGATGGACACTTTGGCAATGAGTTTGGCCAGGATATTTCCATACAGTGTACAAGACAATTTACTGACAGTGAAAAACTGACAGATCCCTTTAATCCTCACTAAATACACTGAATAGTGTTTTTGTCATTCTGTAAATTTGGGGTCCACTTCTTTTCCTGTCCCTGTTACATGTGACTTTTATGATTTCTTTTAAATTCCGATGCACTCCTTAATGCAGTCATCCTCCAAGAGTGTTTATGACTAGCAAACTACCAACCCAATAAATAAAAAATTGTTTGAGGTCATTCTTAATCATTCTTAACTTTTATGATTTTTGTTATTCTGATACACTCCCTAATAAAGTCATCCTCCAAGAGTGATTATGACTAGCGAACTACCTACCCAATATATACAAAATTGTTTGAAGTCATTTTTAATGATACTTGAAAGGCAAATTACGAAGTTCCAAGGTAACAGGGACAGGAGAAATGTCGCACCTTAAACCCTAAATTTATAGAATCACCTGTGTGCCAGATCCAATAAGGCTGAGTGTTTTGCATCTTTTACTGTCAGTTTTCAGGGCAAGACGACAGGGTCATTTTTCCAAAGAGTGTCACAGAATTCTTTCCGAGAAGATTCATCATGTCTGGGACCAGCCACTTCTGCAACCCACGTCGGTAATCTACCAGGGAATAGGATTCACTCCTCCATCAGCCAATCAGAGATGACAGCAGATTGCCCCTCTTCCAATGATACAAAGGGTCGGGATAAGACAAGCAATGCCATTGGACACACAGATGATGTTTCGGATGGAGACTCACTGAGTAAATTAAGCGATCAAAATGGGCCGCCAGAACCTTTGACAGTTACCGAAAAGAGATGCCTGACGTTGTTTCAGTTGAAGCCCTACATCCCAAAATGTCAGAGAAACAAGGGGCTAGTACATGAGGCACATGTAGACTCCGAATCAGTCACAATCTCAACCACCCAGAGTGACAATCAGTTAAACACAAAGATGTCATTAACTTCTGAACACGAGTCTAGAACTGCCAAACCGCCACCAGCTTTGCAATCTTGTACATCTGGAAAGGAGACCGCTAGTGGCGCTAGAGCTTCGGGCAATATCAAATGTGACCCAGGCACAAAACAAACCCATCCGATTCCTAGCAAAGACTTAAAGAGCTCTCAAAAGATCTCGAAATCAGCAACCAGGTCCAAGAATTCCAGCGGCGTCAGCGAAGACACCAGCAGAATGGACAGGGAGAAATACCTCAAGCTCACAAGGTAACTAGGGAATATTGCCTTTTTATTTAGTGCATTCTGCCCTTGGGATCATTGACCCGTTTAAATGAGAAGGAATACAATATTACAGAGGATGCATGTGTGCTCATAAGTCAGCATTTCCAATGGAAGCATTTAAAGATATAGTCCATCATTTGTAATTTGTGCAATTTGTTCGTTTAAAGCAACAAAAGTGCTCAAAATCTAAAGAAGGGTGCTGAACTACCAACCTGATGAAGTTTCAGCTCAGCTTCTGCTGTATATTTCGAGAAAAACAACATTCTAGGATCTCGATTTCAAATCCAAAGTTGCTGAATCATGCTTTGAATTGGGCCTGAATTCAGCGTCCAAGACACATTCTCACTGAGCCGATTGCAGCTATGCGATATCGTGCACCGATCCGACAAATTAAACCAACCGCGCGCGCGTGTGCGTTGTGTCAACACTGACGCGCGCTTCGCAAAACAAAACAAAAACTACTAACGCAAATTTCCAACGGTGCTTCTTAAGACACACCGTTGGAAAGGCCTTCTTTCGTTGATTTTCTTTAAATGACAGCTTGCCAGAAAGAATCATTTCACAGGGAGTTTAGTCCCCTTACTATCTTTCAACCAAGTATGCTTTGCAACAATAATAACACCAGTCAAACTTTGTAAGGAGAGAAACCTCGATTTTTTTGAAGAGAACAGACAGAACATCTTTAAACTTTTGAAATAGGATGCACAGCTACCAGACTGTCCGGGAATGATAAGAGTTTTTGGTTTTTCTCATTTGTTTTGCAGTTCAGGTTGGAAGACAGACTGGAAGGGAGGCTGGGTGCAAGACCAAGATGTGGAGTTTGATTCCGATGAAGACGTACCCAAATAGATGATTCAATTTCATAAATTATTCTTTAGCAAACTTGACCGAGATTGTTAAAAAAAAATTCAAAGTTGTAGGAAAAAAAGATTGTTCAAAAAAAAAAGGCAATATGTGGATTTTGACATATATGTACTTGGAGGAAGGAGGGTTTTAGCTTAAACTTATAGATACATGCCTTATTGTAGAAAATGTCTTTATTTGCTGAAAAATGCCATTAATTTGGCGAGGCATTCTTGGAACAAATAAGCTTCCACAAATATCACTTGCCATTTAAAACATCAGTTAAATCATGTTGCTTGTAACAGTTGAAGTCACTGTAAAATTGACTTTATAATGGTTGATGTCACATTTATGGTATACGTTGATAGAAATAAAGTGAAGCACAAACATTCAGACAGTAATGTGTTTGAAGTCCTTTAATGTTATTTCATAAAAACAAACATATTAGGGCACTTGCATAATTATGATAATACATGTATTTCAGAAGCCAAATAAGGTCATTTGCCCATATCCCCTTTTCTTAAACACACAAAGTTTGTATTAAAAAAATATATATAATATATGACCTAAAGGGTTTTCCATTCTTTGGCCAACAACATCGCCTGCATTTTCTGCTTAGTTCTCAAACATGTTTATGCCGTGGCTATACCCATGGAGCTATACCCAGCAAAACAAAGGCATTGCCCTCTAAGATGGCTGTTAGGCCAAAAAAAAAAGTCTCCGGTTTCTGGTATGGAGCTTGCCCAAAAAGTGGTGCGGCGACGCGCCTTTTTTTTTGGTTTTTACCCGACTTTTTTGCTTCAAATGTCGGCTGATGACTGCAAATGGTGCCCGACTAAACTTAGTACAAATAGGCCTATATGGGATTGGGAGTCTAGAGAGGCCACATAAAGCTTATTCTCGACCATAACTCCATCTAAAAACACGTTAAAAATGTGCAGCAGCACGATTCCAGTCAAACCAGTGAGTTTGGCGGTTTTGAGACATCATCTTTCATTGAAAAAAAAAACTTTTTCATTTTGCCGACGCGCATGGCTACAGCGACGCGCGCGCATACCAGAAACCGGAGACTTTTTTCTTTGGCCTTATGCACAAGGTCTATACTCAACTACACGGGGTCACTAGGCAATAAATTTGGGGTCCACTTTTTGTTCCTGTCACTAGTTACTCTTACATCAATGATACAATATAGGAATAGCAGACTACCCTCTCTCTCTCTTTTGAGGCGGCGGGTGGAGTAAAAGAATAGATAGTAATAAGAATAATAGTAAAAGAATAAACTACCCTACTACTAAAAACAATCCTTTAAAAGATTCCTTTGAATCCAATTCATTTTCATGAATGGAAAATCAAAAAGTACCAAGATAACAGAGACAGCCAAAAAGTCACACTTTGGATCATTATAACAAGGTTCAAGGTTCATTTATTTTCCACAGTATCAAATCAATAAATGACATGAAATAATTACAAAACAGAAAAGAATTACAAATAATACAACAAAAGTGATATTTTAGGGACACTGCAGATGGGCCCATTGAGAAGCAGAGCTTTTAAGCATGGGCCCCAGACAGGCATGCTCATTAAACCCAATCCAAGAGAAGGGAATATTAACTTACAATGAACACTATTGAATGGTCAGTCACACGAGGCTCAATGAGCACGCTGTATTTAAAGTAATTACATGTACGTAGAAAAGCAACATATGTGTAGAATACCCCCAACATCGTTACCTCCCCCCCCCCCCCCAAGGCCTTGTTCTAATCATTTTCCCTCCATGGACATGTGAACTGTGTCCCGCAATGTTTGTCCTTGTTTCATGACTTCATTCTCTGAATCAAGGATTGCTAGCAGTGATTGGATCTGTTTGAATAGCTGATGCAATCACAGGTATGCTGGTATACCAGGTTGTTGTTTTTTGCCGGGGGGGGGGTGGTTGGTAGCTTGTGGTCACAGGATTTTGTTCTTGTATGATTAAGAAAATGTGATTTACAAGAACATAATTATTTGTTCCTGCTTCGTAATGTTTTTTTCTTTACGAGAGTGTATTAAGTATGACGCTTGGATTAGTTTAAATCATGACAAATTCTAGGTTTCTAATAATTGAGCTCTCCGATTAAATTTTTACCTAACTATCAGTGGACTAGATGAAGTTTAGTTGCATGCAGACCAATCAAAACACAGCGAATGGACGACGCCCATCTTAGCGACGATTTTTGTACGAACGTGTAGAATGTGCGTCGCTTATCTGAATAGTTACGGATATCAGTACGAACTGTATGTTCTGTACCAAATGCTTGATTAAAGAATGATGAATGAGTTTGTGTACACCATAAAAACGCGTCGTCGATTCAGGGTACACGCATATATCCGCATTTAGCTGATTTTGTCTCGGGTCATTTCAACAGGACACGAAGTTTTAACCTAAAAACCTCATTTTGAATTCAGCAGTCGGTACCAACATGTCGAAGATTTCAGGTAGGACACTTGATCACTTTTCACTTCCTTTTCAGAGCTGACATTCGGTGGTTTAATCGGCAGAACTTGATGAATTGACGGTGTGGGAAAAATGCTGACTCACTTGATATTTACCGTGACAGTACACTAATGCAGTTGTACTTGTAGTTGTACCAATGTTGTAGGCCTACTGGTTGTGGGCGTGTCCGTGATTTGGAAATTAAGGCGTAAGACAATTTAGGATCTAGAGAAATTGTCAATTCCCACAGAAAATATAGTATTTAATTTATCTTGCTTCGAACTTTTAGGAAATAGGCCTATCCCTAGGGGAATCAAAATTAAAACATATTTTATAATATATATATTGGAAAAATAGTTTTACTTTATTATTATTAATATTAGCTAGCAGGACCCTCTTTGAGTCTTTCATGTTTTGAACTCATCTAAAACAGTTGGCAAAAACCTGATTAAATTTTTCTTTCAGATTCGTGGCTCTGAAAGATAATGTTTCAATAAGGTAGTGTATATTTTGCCGGAGGTAACGCCGGCAAACTAACGTTTACTAAAGGTTTGCCTGTGGCAATCCATATCAACAGAGGGCGCTGTACTCTTTAAGATAGGGCTGAATTATAAGATGTATTAAATTCCCACCAAAGTTGTTTGCCTGTGGCAATCCATATCAACAGAGGGCGCTGTACTCTTTAAGATAGGGCTGAATTATAAGATGTATTAAATTCCCACCAAAGTTGAGTCGGTGCAGTGGTTAAGCAATGGCTCTAGAGAGTGGGATGTCCCGAGTTCGAATCCTGATCCCCGCCACTATTTTAAGGTTTTTATTCCCATCCCCAAATAAATAAGAATATTCTTCTTTAATATGTCTCAAACATTTTATTGCAGAGTATCAAGGGCGGATCCAGAACACAATTTTGGGGGGGGCCAAAAAAAAATTTGGTCCCCCCAAAAAAAGTGGGTCTCAAAAATTACGGCGTGGGGTTCGGGGCCCGTGAGGGCCCCGAAAAATTTTTGGATTCTAGATGCTCTGTGGTGCGATCTGAGGCAATTTCTGACCACTTTAATCAATTTTTTTTGAGGAAAAGATGGTGGTGTACTCATTGCCTGCCTTTATTGCGATGTCACATAAAAAAAAAAAAAAATTGGTTTCGTTTTGGGGGGGGCCATGGCCCCCTTTGGCCCCCCCCTGGATCCGCCCTTGCAGAGTATAACTTTTTCTTTTTCAGATTTGTGGCTCTGGAGGATTTTTTTTAAAGGGAAATAAAGTCCGAAATTATAAAATGGTCTGATTCCCATCTTGTAAATACAAAAATACAACGATAGTATTGGCATGGAGCCAGACTAAAATTTGTCACCGGAAAATGTTTTAAGTACAAAAAAACAGTAACTGCGCATGTTCAGTGCATATCCGGCAAACTAACGTTTACTGAAGGTTTGCCGTCTCCGGCAAAATATCCACTGCCTTTAAATAAACGAAGTGGCTATCGTTACGGCACTCGTTGTTTAGCGCCCTCTACGATATTTTTTTGATACGCACGCAGGTATATAATTATTTGTTTCCCCACGTTTTATCGAGCAGTGCGCCAGCTCAGCCGATAGAGGGTAGGATTTTGCACCGCGAGGTTGCGGGTTCGAATCTCAGTTTTGCACTCGAATTTTTTTCCTTTTCTAACCTGAGGCTTTGGAGGATTTTTTTTAAAAGGGAAATAAAGTCCGAATTTAATAAAGTTCAAATTCACTTTTTTCCTTCTAATTTTATATTTTCTTGTCATGTTTTTTTATAAAAGTTGCCAGGTTGCAGTCTACCGTAACGATAGAAAATGGGAAATGCGTTACGGCTGCCGTAACAATAGCCACTGCGTTAAATAAAGGGAAGTAAAAGTCCAAAATCATTTGGTTTGCAACTGTTGCATGTGCACGATGATTGATTTCTGTAAAAATTTCATCAAGCGAAAAAAAATGGAGGGTCCTGTAAGTAACTGTAGCTGCCTATTTGGTTTCTCTACCATATAATTATAAATTTATCTGATCTATGTTTATTCATAATATTGAATTTTGCGTTGGGGTGATAAAAATTCAATATTATTAGGTTTTGGGGTAACACCCTGAGTATACAGAAACATATACGTCGGTGAAGGGCAAAACCTAGTATTGAATGTAAATGATCTATGTTTGATGATCGTATTAACACACAAACAAACACAGTTTATTTTCTTCACTTTTAGGAGGAACAGTAGTTGAAGCCAAGGGAGATGAAATGACAAGGTAAATGAGTCACTTTAAATGCACTTAGGCCTAGTTCTTAAATGGTAATTATAAATTGTTCTAAATCTATTTTGCCTCATCATTCCAAAAGTTCATTTAGCCAAATCCTACATGTACATGTGGTTGTCTGCCTAGATCAAATGCCAAATACACATCGTGTTTCTTACTACAAATTGCACACTACAGGAAGAGCATACATTGCTCTTTTTGCTATTTCCTCTTCTCCATTTCGTTATGTTATTTATAAATCATCACCGATAATCTCTGACAATGACTCTATCTAGCCCAAGGTATTGTTGAAAACTATGGACCTTGAGATTTGTTGATTGAACTGAACTTTGAACAGGTTGCCCTTGTGATGATAAAAAAGTCAAATGGTTTAACCATAGAGCAAGGTACAATTGCCTTCTTATCAGTTATTGCAAATTCATGGAAGTCCGCCACAGAAAAATGACTGGTTAACTTTTACCCTTATTTTGAAGACAACTGCACTCTGAATCCTCCTTATTCTTCATAAATCATTTAGTGTGTATTACTAGCTCTGCCAAATATACTCCCAGAACCCAGACAGCACATTTTTTTTTTTTTAAGTCATACCAAAATTCTCCGAGCAGTACATTTTGTTTACTGTTATTAATCTGGTCGCATGTTGTCCTTGCACTGAATGATAAAAAGTAAAATTCAGTAAAGTCAAGGTGCTGATAATACATCAAAAGTGACTCACTGAATGTATTTGCACAAATACCATTTACAGATTGTATGTGAAGTGATGACTTTGGTTCAGCTTTGTCTTTCACTCAGGGTTGTAAGTTGTTTTATAATAGTAGTCCTCCCCTCAGAACCCTTCTCTGCTTGTCCGGTTGTCCCCGTTCCTCCCCCCCCCCTCCACCCATCGGCCCCCACCACCCGCCTCCACCCTTCAGCCTCCACCACCCAGCCCTGAAAATGGAGAATACATCTTTTTGTAAGCTTAAATGTTTTTGAGTTTTACAGAGTTGCATTCAATCCTCACAAATCCTCACAAGTCCTCACATGTGAGTCAGAAGTCCTCCCAAGTCCATCACAAGTCCTCCCAAGTCAGTCACAGGTCCTCCCAAGTCAGTCACAAGTCCTCCCAAGTCAGTCACAAGTCCTCCCAAGTCAGTCACAAGTCCTCCCAAGTCAGTCACACGTCCTTACAAGTCAGTCACAAGTCCTCCCAAGTCAGTCACAGGTCCTCTCAAGTCAGTCACAGGTCCTCCCAAGTCAGTCACAGGTCCTCCCAAGTCAGTCACAAGTCCTTACAAGTCAGTCACAGGTCCTCTCAAGTCAGTCACAGGTCCTCTCAAGTCAGTCACAGGTCCTCCCAAGTCAGTCACAGGTCCTCTCAAGTCAGTCACAGGTCCTCTCAAGTCAGTTACAAGTCCTCTCAAGTCAGTCACAGGTCCTCCCAAGTCAGTCACAGGTCCTCTCAAGTCAGTCACAGGTCCTCTCAAGTCAGTCACAAGTCCTCCCGAGTCAGTCACAGGTCCTCTCAAGTCAGTTACAAGTCCTCTCAAGTCAGTCACAGGTCCTCCCAAGTCAGTCACAGGTCCTCTCAAGTCAGCAGTCACAGGTCCTCTCAAGTCAGTCACAAGTCCTCCCAAGTCAGTCACAAGTCCTCCCAACTCAGTCACAGGTCCTCTCAAGTCAGTCACAAGTCCTCACAAGTCAGTCACAAGTCCTCTCAAGTCAGTCACAGGTCCTCTCAAGTCAGTCACAGGTCCTCTCAAGTCAGTCACAAGTCCTCTCAAGTCAGTCACAGGTCCTCTCAAGTCAGTCACAAGTCCTCCCAAGTCAGTCACAGGTCCTCCCAAGTCAGTCACAAGTCCTTACAAGTCAGTCACAGGTCCTCTCAAGTCAGTCACAGGTCCTCTCAAGTCAGTCACAAGTCCTCCCAAGTCAGTCACAGGTCCTCCCAAGTCAGTCACAAGTCCTTACAAGTCAGTTTCAAGTCCTCCCAAGTCAGTCACAAGTCCTCACAAGTACATCACAAGTCCTCACAAGTACATCACAAGTCCTCACAAATCAATCACAAGTCCACACAAGTCCATCACAAGTCCATCACAAGTCCATCACAATTAAGCCCTCATATCCTTCACTTTCAAGGCAAGTCACAAGCTAGTCAAAGCGGTTGTGACAAAGACATACATTTGTATTCCTTGGTCAATGTTCAGCCCCTGATCTTACTTATGACTTGTCAAATAGTTGGCTGGACATCCACCTTTAGCTTTTGATAAGATGCAAGTATTGTCTCAAGTTTTGATTCAATTCTCATTCTTGATTTTCTCTCTGGATGGCAGGATTTTTTGGGAAACGATCAAAGAGAAACTGATCCTGCCCTACGTGGACCTGGACATCAAGAGTTTCGACCTGAGCATACAGAACAGAGATGAGACTGAAGACAGAGGTAATGATAGCAAAAGAAGGGTCGTCCATTTTCATTTTCATGGCTTTTTTTAGATAAAGCGGGCGCACTAAAGCGCAATTTGGTTTGGGCAAATACAACAGATTTCCAAAAGGTGCCCTTGTATTGTGTCCACTATTTCTCAACAAGGCTAATTTGGTGGCATATGTGACGCAGTGCGTAAAGCGCTCGCTAAAGCGCTCGCCTCTCACTGCTGTGGCCTAGCTGGGTTCGATTCCCGGCTCAGATCATAAGTGAGCAGAGTTGTTCGTTGGTTAATTCTCTCCTGTGCCTTGAGGTTTTTTCTCCGGGTTCACTGGTTTTCCTCCCTCTGCAAAAACATCACTTTCAATCTCTGGCTGCGCTCAGTGGTAGTTAGACATGGGTCGTATGGCGGCAGCCTAAGGCGCCTTTACAAGCCTTTAGTTCAACCACCTTGTAGCTGCGTCCTTCACAATTCAGCTGCTGCTGCAATAAGGACGATAAGCCCCCCAAACTCAGTTGTCACTAAGTAAAGGAATCCTAGCTCCTTATCTCATAGACTGTTCTTTTTCATTTATAATTTAGTAACAACAAATGCACAAAAGTTTTACTCACACAATATGGTAGCGATAATACCATATGAAGGGAGTCAGGTTGGCGTAGCGGTACTTTCCTCGCCTTCCACCGCTGTGACCCGGGTTCGAATCCTGCCTGGGCCAATATGTGGATTGGGTTTTCAGTCCCTACCTGATTCCGTAGGATTTCCCCAGAATATTCTTCTGGGCTTTTCCTCCCACCTCTAAAACTGTAACTTCTTCTCGTTGTCTTCTCTCCACAGGTTTCTTCAGGCTTGCGAGCTACAGTGCCTAGGGCACTTTTGAGGAATCCTTGGTTTCATTACCAGAAATGATTAATAATAATAATAATCCTTTGCTTTAACGCTAAACATCTTTAATACACATATAATTACATTTATACATTTTCCTCCATGCAGTGACTGTGGAATGCGCAGAAGCCATCAAAGAGCACAATGTGGGAATCAAATGCGCAACGATAACACCGGATGAGAAGCGGGTCAAAGGTGAGTGCATATTTAATGAGAAGATCAAAGGTCGGAGTTTGATTCAAGCAATCCATTTGTAAATCACAATTCAATTATAAGGTGTCCAGTCTCAAGTCAAGTCACAAGCTGTTCAAATGAAGTGTTTCTCTATTTGACTTGTGATTTGACTTGTGATCTTTTGTGATTTGTCTTGTGATCTTTTGTGATTTGTCTTGTGATTGACTTGTGATGGACTTGTGATTGACTTGTGATGGACTTGTGATTGACTTGTGATCTTTTGTGATTTGTCTTGTGATTGACTTGTGATTGACTTGTGATCTTTTGTGATTAGTCTTGTGATCTTTTGTGATTTGTCTTGTGATTTGTCTTGTGATTGACTTGTGATGGACTTGTGATTGACTTGTGATCTTTTGTGATTTGTCTTGTGATTGACTTGTGATTGACTTGTGATTGACTTGTGATTGACATGTGATTAACTTGTGATTGACTTGTGATGGACTTGTGATTTGACTTGTGATGGACTTGTGATTGACTTGTGATTCACATGTGATTAACTTGTGATTGACTTGTGATTTGACTTGTGATGGACTTGTGATGGACTCGTGATTTGACTTGTGATGGACTTGTGATGGACTTGTGATGACTCCAAATATCTGTGTCAAGCTTTCTGATTGGTCTACTCGACAGAGTTCAACCTGAAGAAGATGTGGAAATCACCCAATGGCACGATCCGTAACATCCTGGGCGGGACAGTCTTCAGGGAAGCCATCATCTGCAAGAACATTCCCCGATTGGTGGTTGGCTGGAATAAACCCATCGTGATTGGTCGTCACGCGCATGCAGATCAGGTAAACATTCAATCAACAATAGGTATAGTCCCAGAAATGGTAATTATCACAGGAAAACTGTTGGTTGAGTCATTTCTAAACAACTTCGTGGGGCGTGTCCTAGTGGTTGGTGTTCTTGTCCCATCAAAGGCTCAGGGGTTCGAATCCAGCCGCTGGCTGTGTGCTGTGTCCACAGGCAAGCCACTTCACCCCAACATGTCTCTCTCCACTCTGGAGTATAAATGGGTACCTGCATTAGTTGGGGAGTAACCTGCGATGGACTAGCATCCCATCCAGGGGGAACAGAAATATTCTCAGTCATTTCACGCTAAAGAAACCACAGGTAAACGAATCCAGCTAGGATCCAGCCGCTGGTCACATGTTGTGTCCTTGGGCAGGCCACTTCACCCCACTTGCCTCTCTCCACCCAGGAGTATAAATGAGTACCGGCTTTAGCTGGGGAGTAACTTTCGGTGGACTAGCATCCAATCCAGGCCAGGGCGAATAGAAATATTCTCAGTGGCAGGGAAACCGGAGATACACACTTGCCTAATGATACACACTTGCCTGATGTGTGGGCTGTGGACAGACTTTACTTTCACAACAATTACATTTTTGTTTGCAGTGGGATCATTTTTGCAGAGCCCAAACTTCGTGGAAACATCAAATTTCTGGTAAACATCAAAGATTTCCTCATTAAGTTTTAAAACTCATAATTTTTTTTTATTCCGTAGTACAAAGCCACAGATTTCGTCATTCCCGGCTGCGGCAAGGTAGAGATCAAATTCACTCCGTCCGACGGCACCGAGGTCCTGAACTTCACCGTGCACGACTTCAAAGATGGCGGCGGTGTAGCCATGGCGATGTACAACACCGACAAATCCATCCGCGATTTTGCGCACTGCTCCATGAAGTACGCGCTGGAGAGGAAATTCACGCTGTACCTGAGGTAGGTTGGCAGAGGCAGGGTTAGAACCTGGGACCTCTAGAATGCAACTCCAGTGGTATAGCCATGTGTAGACAGTCTCCCAGTTTGTAACTTTAAAGGGACACTAGGTCCTGGAACAGCCCAATTGGACTAAAAAACGCGCTTTGAATTTGATGATGTTAATCGGAAATAACATTTAAAAGTAGGATATAAACATCCACACAACTATCCTTTCAAAACTGAATGAATTTCGGGGTCCACTTTTGCGACCCCATAAATTCGAGCTGTTTGGATGCTAGTTGTGATTTCATTCGTAAAGTGTTCGCCTTTTGCGGACGTTGAAGAAACCATTTTTTTTGCATTGGTGATCTGATTGGTCACCGCTGTTTCCGAGACACACAACGTGTATATCGTACACTGTATGAGAACGACACGAAAAACGTATTCGTACTCCGTCGTGTCCGATGTGAACAAGCGGGTTTTTTTTCGTCTTTTCTCGGGAACGGTAAGACATTAAGTTGGTTTCCTTTCAACCAGATGTTTGAAATAGGCTAAGTAAACAATCCAAAACATTAAATTGTCGGGGATTTCAGGACCTAGTGTCCCTTTAAAGGGTCCGATCGTATGATGTCAATGGACCATCTGACTTCCACATGATGGGCCACCAATGTGCATTGTAAATGAGATGGCTAGTAGATGTTATTTTCCACGTAAAATTTTATATCAATGGTCATGTCCTATACCGTGTACAGTTGCCATAATAGTGTACGGTTGCCATAATCATGCCGACCCAGTACATTACAAACTTTACATGCAAGAATCTTTCTTAACTCAAATTCAGTCCAGAATTGTACCTGTGCATAGCCAATTTCAATGTTTTGTTCAGGAAAAAAGAAACACTGACAGAAGACTATTTTGGATTGTTCCTTTTACAGCACCAAGAACACAATCCTCAAGAAGTATGATGGTCGATTCAAGGACATCTTCCAAGAGATATACGACAGGTCAGTGATGGATGCTAAATCTGGTTAAAAGAGGTCAGCGTGGTGATTTGGTCATTTCACCAGCATGACCTTCTTATAGAGATTGTAAGGCATTGGGATACCAGAGTCACTGTGGTGATATACCTTCTGTGAAGTGAGTGGGTGGAGACATTGGTGAAGTACACTTCACCACAGTGACCCTTCGACCCCAGACCTGAGGTCAGGAGTCACGGTGGTGACAACTTCTCTTTCAGTGAGTTGGATGGAGAGGTTGGTGTGATACACTTCACCACAGTGACCCTTTGACCCCAGATCGGAGGTGATTTAGTTTCACATTTCTCTACCATTCAACTTCTGGGGTCAAGTTGGTGCGTGGTGAAACTATTTTTAGCAAAGAGGCATTGCCAACGAAAGGCTACATGTATGTAGTTCATATTTCATGCGAATGTGAAGTGTGGGGAACTTGACATCATGAAACAGTTGCTGCGAACTTCACCAGAGTTGAAATGTGTTCAACGTCACCCTCACTTTTCTCTCTCCAGGGCCACCTAGGAGTATAAATCGGCACCGGCATTAGCTGGGGAGTAACCTGCGATGGGCTAGCATCCAATCCAAGGGAAAATAGAAATATTCTCAGTCGTTTCATGCAAAGGAATTCCGGAAATATACACTAGCCTGATAGGCCATATTGGCTCGTGCCAATCTTTACTTTTACTTTAATGAAGAATTTGATTTTTAGTTCACTAATGACAACATAAACGAGATATTTGAATTTATCTGAATTTTTTTTCAGTGATTACAAATCCAAGTTTGAGGCAGCGGGGATCTGGTATGAACACCGACTCATCGATGACATGGTGGCCTATGCCATGAAATCCGAGGGGGGTTTCATGTGGGCGTGCAAAAACTACGACGGCGATGTGCAATCAGACAGCGTAGCACAAGGTGAGTGCTCACCCCTCTGTTGAGAATGGATCATTCCACTTCACTGATACAATATTTGTCCATAAGCAGGATGATTAACCATGATAATAATAAACTTTATCTTCAAGCAAACTTGAATCCTCGATCCTGATTGGTCGATCCATGGCAACAAGCCGTGCTACATATAACCATACCGCACGGCCACGGTTCATACCGCACTCCGCGTATTGCGCTATTCTAAGCCTATACGTGACGCGATTAGTGCTGCACAATTCACTGTGAATTCAAAAGTTGCGCGTAGGTTACACAGCATGCGTATTCCAACTTTACTGTGCGTCAAGTTTGATTGAAGATAAATTCGTTATCACGCTTGCGCTCGTGGAACACGGAAAATGTAGTGCGCTTGTGTCCCACATACCACTCGGCCTCCGGCCTCGTGGTATGTGGGACACATACGCACTACATTAGTCCGTGTTCCACTCGCGCTCGCAAGATAACTAATAATAGACACATCTGCATCCAAACTAGAACAATGGTATCATTTAGAACATTGTGGCACTCCAGCAGTTAAAAAAAAATGAAGTTAATCAAAAATCCTACGAAAAAGTAATTTTTTCTTTAAGGGCCAAGTAACGTGAATTTACATTGTCCAATATCTACGTTGTTCTCCTTCCCAGGGTACGGTTCTCTTGGCATGATGACAAGTGTATTGGTTTGTCCCGACGGGAAGACGGTCGAGTCCGAGGCCGCACACGGCACAGTCACACGGCACTATAGGCTACACGAGAAGGGCCAAGAAACGTCCACCAATTCAGTCGGTGAGTATACTTATTAACGGCTTTGAGGTTCTCAAAATGCGTATTTCCTGAAAAACTGTACTTAAACTTTAGGGCTGTCTCACCGATCCACCTATGTGATCTGGCCTACACCTGGGTACCAGGGGCCAATTTCAAGGCACTGCTAAGCACAAAAATTTGCTTAGCACAAAAAAGTCTGGCTTATAAAAGCAGGTTACCAGCCAAAACTCCACGTGATGTATATTGCTTGTGATTAGTATTCAGCTGTTGTTTGCTTAGCATGAAAATCACATGGAGTTTTGGCTGGTAACTAGCTGCTTTTATAAGCCAGATTTTTCTTGTGCTAAGCAAATTTTTGTACTTAGCAGGGCTGTGAAGTTGGGCCTAGATGTGGGCACGTGTGGTCTAGCACAGGATTCACGATCGTGAGGTTGTGGGTTCGAGCCCCGCCGTGGCCATGCGTGTTGTGCCCTTGAGCAAGGCGCTTTACCACAATACTCCTCTTAACCCAGGTGTTAAATGGGTACCGGCATTATTCAGTGCTGGGAAGGTAACAGACTCGCTGTGGAGGAGGTGTGGTGATCCCCCCCCCTACAGTGGCATATGAGTCTGGCCCCATTGCTAATGAAAGAGAGATAAGCACTCCGTTCCTGTGAACACAGGTTCGTCCCGTTTACTTTGTACTTACTCACTAGATAGTCAGCGTCACCATTGTAGAAGGTGAAGATCGCATAGCGCCGCATGGAGTAGGTTGTAGGCAACCCTTCAAAGCTGTAATGGATGGCAAATAACTGTGGGAAAAACACAGAGCCTATATGAGCTCCGTGCGCTACCAAAAGAGGGCGCCCTTTTACCTAACAACGACGTCCCATGGGCGGTACATTTCGCTGGTTGACGCGCACCATTCCTTGTGTGTGACGCGTGTACACCAGGGGATTTGTTCTATTTACACGCAGTGGCCGTGCTTCGCGGCAAATGAATTGCAGTCAGGCAAGATGGCGTCGGTCGGTCACCCCCAACTGTACTTCCTTTGCCGGTGAGGGGGTGCTTGTGAACGGAGCGGATACACCCAATGTTGGGTGGGCAGTTATGACAACCGAACACGGCATAGGTAGCGATCATTATGCCATTAAAAGAATTTGCGGTTATTTGACATGAAAATAAGCCCTACTCTCTAGTTTACAAATGTGGGACGCGACGTTGCTAACAAAACACATGCCTACTGCAATGGTGACCGATAACGGGGAAACTGGATGGTCACATATTTATGTCTTACGATCAGACCCTATTTGACGCGAAAATAAGCCCTACTGTCTAGTTTACAGTGCACGACGTAGTTGCTAACCAAACGCTTGCCTACATGGATGGTCACATTTGATGGTACTTTGACGTTATCTGTTGTCTGTCACCCTCATCAAGATATCGTTTCAACCCTTATTGCAGCATCTATCTTTGCCTGGACACGAGGCCTCGCCCACCGCGCCAAACTAGACGGCAACGCCCAGCTGGCCAAATTCGTCAAGGATCTGGAGGCTTCGTGCGTGGATACGATAGAGGCTGGTTTCATGACCAAAGACCTGGCCATATGCGTCAAAGGAATGAACAGGTATGTATAACTCGTAAGAATATCATTACCAGGGGGTATGTTGGGGTGGGTGGACGGGGGGATTGAATGTAAAATCCAAGAAATAATCTCCAGAGGATTTGAGGGTTGCGTAGCCTGGCCCCAGATGAGCAAAGTAGGGTCTGTGGTGTATGTTTGTTAAGGCAAAAAAAAAAGTCTCCGGTTTCTGGTATGGAGCTTGCCCCAAAAGTGGTGCGGCGACGCAGGGTTTTATTTCTCCCTTACTTTTTTTCTTCCTCAAATGTTGGCTGTTGTTGCAGATGACACTTCGATCCCCTTAAAACTCTCACAAATATCCTTCAGGGTGGAGCTTGAGGTGACCTCAGTAAGGCCATAAGGCTTGAGAATTCAGCACCCACTTACGATCTCAACTGACACGAACATTCTTTGAGAAATTCTGATAGTCGAGACAAAAATTTAATAGAAAATGGTAACGTCAGACCATACAGCGGCATGGTGCCCCCTGCCCCCTCTGGATACACCAATGTACTTATGACTGGACTTGTGAGGGACCTGACTAAAATATCGTCTCGTAATCTTTTTATTTCGCTCATGCAGTGTGCAGCGCTCTGACTACCTGAACACTTTCGAGTTCATCGACAAGGTCGCGGAGTTCCTGGGAGCGAAGATCCAAAGTCGGCTGTAGCTGAAATAGCGCAGGTAACAACAGCTCAAACTTGGCAACGTGCCAAGTTGTTTTTCTGGGAGCGGCTTTCTGAAATCCGTTATATCAAAATGATACATTCCATTCAATTGATTTACATCCAAAACTGCCATGACCTCAAAAATCTTTAAAAAATCTTAAGACAAATTGTAAAGTGGTAACTCATTTGCTATCGAATTTTGCAATTTCTGACCAAAACTCTGTCTCAAAGGCCATAGCCAGTTCAGTACACATGAGAATGAAAGGACATTTTTTTATGTTAACACTACCTCCTGAGGTCAAAACAGGAAGAAAGCATATATGCAAATTCCGTGGAGGGGTGACCACTGCCTGAATCCTGCAAAATCCTACCGCAGTGCGACTGTCAATATGTTGAGGCTTGGCCAGTAACGTCCTGGAGCAGTAGGGATGATTTCAAGCATAATCCAGGCCTATATTTATGCATGGCTGAGCAAAAACAACACAAGGTCTGGCCCAAGACCTCGACAAAGTGCATCCTGCGAAATCAGTAACACACTTTTGCTATGCAACCTCAATCCTCCAAATTCCTCCACTTTGGCAAAGATGATTTTGAAGGATTCAGGGCAGTGAGGGTTTATGATAATCTGTTGAAAACCTCAAATACATATTTTTTGGGAACACGAATGTTCACTGATAAGAACAATTATATTTACTCATTTTTAAAAATACGTTTACCAGAATTCCAGATTTTCAACTCTCTGTGCGAGACTAGCCAATTTATCGGACCAATGTCACGGCACATCGTTTAAATCTGCCTACTTAAGCCAGTAATTTATTTCAACACCAAGATCATTTCAAGCGAGGCATTAACCTTTTTGTTTTGCAGGAAACATTTTTGATGCAAAACTTTGATGTGAAACATTGTTTCTGGGAAGAAAATAGGGAAAATGTGTTGCAGTAACTATCACATTGCTTTCACAGTTAATTTTGTTTAATAGGTAAAAGTTTTAATAGTGGTTTAAGAGGAAGGTTTTGACTCTGTGGTTTAGTTTTTACTGTATAGTGAACACTACCAATGCTGCGCATGTGTAACTTTTCTGTAACATCTTTTCTGAACAATTGAAAATCCTCGATTTACACCATCAACAAACGTGTCTGTGTGTTCGCTTATGGTGTAAATTGAGGACACACACGTGCAACATCATCAATGAACTGAGGACAGGAACCAAGTCGAGGACGACCACGACCAAATCGAGGACGACCTCGATTAGAAAACGTTTACAAAACCAATGAGAGCTGTTGGAAAAGGAGTATAACCAAAGGGAAAGGGAAAATGAACAATTGAAAATCCTCGATTTACACCATAAACAAGCCTGGGTGTACGTGTGTGAGTGGTATACATGTACATTGTACACTCAACCAAAAAAGAAAGTCCCCATTCCAACACTTTTTTGTCTAACTCAAAAACTATTGGGCACATCTCGCTCAAATAATGACTGATCAGTGCAGAAATTCCTTAACAATCCAGCCATACTCTTTATTTGGCCCCAAACGGTAATAATGTGTACGAATTTATGCAATTTATGACAAATGATACCGAAAACAGTTGCACTTTTGTATACGTGCATGTTGCGGTTCACACTCACCTTGCAAGTGTACAAAAGTGCAACTTTTTTTTTCGGTACCAGTTGTCATAAATTGCATAATTTTGTACACATAATCACTGTTTTCGGCCAAACAAAGAGTATGTCTGGATTGCTAAGGAATTTCTGCACTGATCATTCGTAATTTGATCAAGATGTGCCCAGTAGTTTTTGAGTTAGACAAAAAAGGTATTAAAGGGGGACTTTCTTTTTTGGTTGAGTGTATAAGACACATATTGCGGATCATTTTTAGTCTTTTAAATATCGATTTTAACAGAACTTGCAAGAAACTTTTTGAAAAAAAATCTTTTTAAATGTGACAGAGCGTTATTTCTTTTACCACAGTAACTTGTTGTTTTAGAGTTCTCATCTTCAATATAGTGCGCTCATAGTATGATGGAATTGGAAGTTGTGAGATGAAATATATGGTGCTCTTTGTGGCTTTGTAGGGGTCGAGTTTTTAGTTGTTGGATGTAAAGAACGTTCTTTATTTGAACATAGTGACCTGATTTTAAAACTCTGAGGTATAATTTGAGACAGTGTTTATGCCTATTTTAGGGACTTATTAGCCAAATAATTGTTTATTGTTGATAAAATGGTGTTTTTTTATCAGTTTATGTGTTGTGGAATGTGTAGAATATTTTTTATGGGGGAAAAATTATATTTAAATGTTTGAGTTTCAAATATTGAAATGTAATCTTTTCCACATTGTGAAAATCAGGAATCCTGTTGAGCTGCTGTTGCTGTAATACGCTACATTGTTTTAAATGTAGAAAAATCCCATTTATTGAATATTAGTATTGAACACAAAGGTTAAAAGAGTACTTTTTTCGCAGAGATGCCATCAAAATATCAATAAAAAGCCTGAAACACTACTAAAAAAAACCTGAAACTACGCTTATCCCTTTCAAAAATGTGTTTTCTGGACGTTTCAGACCAAATTCTGCACTTTTAATTTATCACATTTTTTGAAGAAAAAAAAACCCCTGAATTGAGAAAACCTGAAAAGTGGCATCTCTGTTTTCGGCTGTAACATGTAAACCAAAATTACTTCGAAACAGCGCACTCACTAGCTCAAGAGCAAGGCCTATTACCAATGAGTCAATTATTCAGAACACAAAGAAATATTACATGGATTTCTGTTTTGCATAATGTAAAAAGTACAACTGCAGTGTTCTACGATTGCACTACGACTATCACATTTTATTTCATGGCCATTTTTCAGCAAGAGTTCTTCTTCTATATTCTCGTTACCAAGCTCTTGACTTGAACATCTAACAGGCAACGAAGCGACAATGTAAAACTGTCATTCTTTTTATTAGAAAAAAAAAATACACTCAAAGACACACAATTCGGTGCATTATTTCTGATTTTTATTGTTGTAGATCGCAAATATTTTTGGATTTGTTAAAACAAATTCACTGTATTTTAGCACCCTTGATACCAAATAAAATAAAATTGTAATACTAACATCTTTATATTTTATACTAAATTAAAACTTTGCTTTGTTTCTGCATGTAAGTAGTTTTATAGTTTTTGAAGAAGTTAAAAGAACTTCAGGGAGAGTTTACAATGTAATTTTAAGATGTTGAAAAAAAGTAAAACGGGGAATTTTCCTTTACTTGTGTGCGTTACCAAATTTATATTAAATAATCTTACAGGGGCAATAAAATAATAATGTATAAGCTCATAAAATTTGCCTTATTGTGTGCCTCAATGTGTATACCCAGCACGAGTTGTGACAGTGGTACCCCCGTGTCTCTATACCCTATACACACCCTAGACTATTGCTACCCGGCACCCCCCAGATATCTCAAAAGAATTCCTGAGATTCTGGTAACACAATGACCAACACAAAAGAGAGTGGGGGTTCCTTCTGTCACATATCGCGCTACATATGTCAATGTGACTATTCTGTGGTACCACCCAAGCTCAACTCCATACACGATATTTGAAAGTGGAACCCCCCCCCCCCCAAATGTCCGTGTACCCTATATACACCCTAGACAATCTGGACACCATCGGACAATAGGCGGCGCTTTCTGTGGCATTGACTACAGACAAACAATTTTAACAAGACAACAATTTTGCCAACAATAACGATTAAATATATAGTCCATCATTTGTAATTTGTGCATTTTGTTCGTTTGAAGCAACAAAAGTGCTCAAAATCTAAAGAAGGATGCTGAACAAGTAACCTGATGAAGTTTCAGCTCAGCTTCAGCTGTATATTCAGAGAAAAACATTCTAGGATCTCAATTTCAAATCAAAAGTTGCTGAATCGTGTTTTGAATTGGGCCTGAATTCAGCATCCGAGACACGTTCTCACTGAGCCGATTGCAGCTATACGCGATGTCACACATACTGATCCGACGCGTGCGTGTGCGTCGTGCAAATGCTTGCGCGCGCTTCGCCGAATAACAAAACAAACTACTAATTTAAATTTTCCTACGGTGCGTCTTGAGAAGCACCGTTGGAAAGGCCTTCTTTCGTTGATTACTTCAAAATGACAGCTTCCCAGAAAGAATAACTTCACAGGGAGTTTAGTCCCCTTACCATCTTTCAACCAAGTATGTTTTTCAACAATATTTACGCCAGTTTCTTTTCGGATAGCTGCAAAAGATGGACTATAGCTTTAATTGCGGGGGGGGTTGGGGGTGGTTATCACAAACTCCCACACCCCTTCGCCCTCTCTAGCCACGTCTGTGACTCTGCGTAGTCTCCACTGAATCTATATTTAGCGGCAGTCGACTGTAATTTTATCCAGCAGTTCATAAATGAGTAGTATTGGTCAGATGGAGGAGGGGGGGGGGGTGTTGTGGAGGTGTTGTGGTTAGCCGCCCCAACCATCCCCTAAATCTACCCTCGAGGCACTTCTGCAGCGACATTGGTAACATCTTAAAGAACATCTTGAGCTGGGTTTGGTCTTTTACCAAACAAGGAACTGAACAACTCGCTCCTGAAATTTAAAAAAAAAAAAAAAAAGATATAAAGGTCATAATATTGAAGAAGAAGAATAATGATATGCCAAAGAATAATATGCCAAAGTTTGATTAACTCATGTTCTGAATTTATTGCATAATGATCATAATATTGTGTATATTCTGGGCCATTCAGAAAATACAAATCTGGTCAATCTTGCTGATGATTTGGGAACAGGATGGCAACAAGGAAAACTCTGGAAATGTTCCTATGAAAATAAAATCTGTCTTGGGAATATTGCAGACTTTCAACACAACTGGCAAATTAAGAGTATTAACCAACTATTTACTGCAAATAAATAATGAAAGGTTTGCGGAAACACCATGTGCGAATAATTTCTCAACTAAGAGAATGGTTCTGAAAAGAACCAGAGTTTATACCTCTGGTTCTTTTCAGAACCATTCTCTTAGTTGAGAAATTATTCGCACATGGTGTTTCCGCAAACCTTTCATTATTTAGTATCTCCACCATGCAAAGCCTCAAATCTTACTTACTGCAAATAAAGTTATTTCACACTTTTTCTGTACAAACTTGTGAGCATGAAAATTCATGCATATTCATGATAATCGCCATAATGATTAATCAGTCCATAGCAAATATTAATTCATTCTTGATTGTGGAAAAAGAAATCGCACAGAAGAATGTTTTTTTTAAAGTTCGCAAGGAACAACTAATCATGAATAATGCATTGCCACATGAATATTCAAGTATGCATATTCATGAGACACAATTAATTGTAATACATATTCATGAGCTTGACTTACTTGGCACTTTCCATCATCGTTCCTGCATCCATTCCAGCCATGAAGCTTACAAGTTGAGGATGCACGTCATATCTATATGCCCAGTCCAAAAAAACAACCCAAAAATGGTTAAATTTAAAGGGAATGTACATGTACATCATTGTAGAAATGCTTTAAATGTGTCACATACTTGGCGCATACATTTAGGTGGCGGCCTATGGATCTCTGTTTTATATGGAAAATTATGTCTTGTTTTTCAGAATATCGAAAAAATTAAGAAAGCTGCATATCACGTTCTTTCTCTATGGTTGTAGCTGATTGGGTTGTAGGGCGGTGAAAAATTCTGCAAATCCGCGTACCTTATTTTCCTTCCTTTACTCGCTCTGGTGTTGACCTTTTTCTTGATTTTCCGTCGAAGCTTCTGAACCTCTAACCATTGCCTGAAATAATCAAATCCAAAGATTCACGACTTTAAGATGTCATCAGATGTCTTTTGAGAAACAGGTTTTTGAGTTAATAATGGATTTCAGAAAACAATTTGAAAAATTAATATTCTTGAGGATCGGAGGAGACAGGAAAATTCTCCGTGTACCTTGTCAGCTGAACAGGATCTGTGGTTGAGGACGTTCTTTTCTCAATCAGTTCCCGTAGCAACTGAAAAAAAAAATGTCACAGAATCACTTAAGAATCACTTTAAAAAGTTAGCTTTTTTTCCAACAATGGTCAGCTGACCATCGTTGGAAAAAAAAGCTAACTTTTTTCTCCAACCTCTGCCCCGCAATTCCCAAATTTAGTTTTATCCACGATTTGTTTGCAATCGTTTACACATCCGTGAATGTGTGCAAGTCATGGTTCCCTGACCTGACAATTCCCCAACGTCCAAATATTGCTCTGTTTCGTCTGATGTAGGGTCAGGGAACCAGACTACAAGAACAACATTTTCTTCTTGGTTTTTCCAGCATCCGTGAACATACAACTTTCAACAGGTCACTTTAACAATATTTGCTATAAATACTAACCCCCAAATCCATTCCTGAAAATTACAGCAAATGTTGTATATCATCTTTAAGTTTACCGAAATACGGAACAACAATTTCTTTGCAAGTTACTAACCTGATGGTAAAAGTCGTCGTCATCAAATGTTTCTTCATCAAAATCTTTCAGATGAGAATTTCCAGGGAAAGCTCCATCCTGAAATAATATTCACCCGAAAAGGACATAATAAAAGTAAAAGTCAAATATACTTCACATTCAAAGCCTTTGGTTTGGGGGAAAAAATAAATGCCTGTTCTTGAAGTTTGGCATGCTAAATGTTAACCCTTTGACGCCGGGTAACGGCTATAGACGCAGCTCGATGAAAGCCGATGAGCCAGGGACTGTCATTGCCGCCTTCCTGCTGCATGGCTGCGTTCATTCATAGACAACGGCTGAATGCCTGCATGTATGCATTCCATTCAAAGTTGCTTTGTCAGTTGCCGAACACTGGCGTTAAAGGGAAAATACAACATTTGCAAACATCAAAAAATAAAACTACCAAATCATTTTGAAATACCTTGCTGGACTGTTGGTGAATGACAGTGTAAAGTATCCTGTAAAATCATGGCACCTGGTATACTGTCATTTTCAAGAAAAGTGCTATTTTTGTACCAATTTCCAACGCTGATCGGCCGACCAGCGTTGGAAAAAACTGGCTTTTTTTCAAATACTGGCCCCAGTTGACCATCGCACTTGTTTGCAATCGATTACACACCTATGAACGGGTACAAGCCAGCTATAGACTGGTTCCCTGACCTTACAATTCCCCAATGTATGTAAACTGCTCTGTTTCTTCTTAAATGGAGTCAGGGAACCAGACTACAGGAAAATGATCGTTTTTCTTGATTTTTATAGCATTTTCGAACCCAAAACCTCAAAAAAGTCAGTGTAACTATATTTGCTATATATTTCCAACCCCCCAATTCCATCCATTTCTGAAAATTACAGCAAAAGCAAATGATGTATATTCCCTTTAAGGGGTTAACCCTCCTAGTCTTCTGCATTTTACAACCTTCAAGTTTTGCAATTCGCTCATAGGGTTAGCACCCACACTTCAAATTCCTTTGAGGCAATCTTCTGTGGAGTATGGATAACACTTCAAATCCCTGCAAACTTTTTGTGTATGGTTAAGCTCAGGGCAAGCAGGCAGATACAGTCACGCTTCACTGCTCTCCACAGTGCTGTTTTTGTGTTCAGTGACTCTCTGTGTGACACGGTTACTTTAACACTTCATATCCCTTCGCCTGAAACTGACCTGCAGAGTTTTAAAGGGTTTTACGTATTGCTCTGAATTTTGACTTTACACTATAAAGAGGGTTACCCTAGCCTTTGTTTAGGGTGATGAAGTCGTTAAAAAAAACCTTTATGTGAAGGGTACATATCGGCAATCAAGCTAACTGGCATAATAATATATTAATCCAACTCCCTAGGCCTTTGTGCAAGGATGCAGCCTCAATCCTGCAAAATCCTCCAATTGGCCTCATGGGAAACATTGCAAATAGCCTCAATCCTGCAAATTGCTCCATTTTTTCTTGAATATGGTCCGTGGAGGGGTGACCACTGCCTGAATCCTGCAAAATCCTGCAACAGTGACTGTCAATATGTTGAGGCAGAGCCAGTGACATCCTGGAGCAGTGCGGAGGATTTCAAGCATAATCAAGGCCTAAATGTACGCACGGCTGAGCATAAACAACACAAGGCCAATGCATTCTACGAAATCAGTATAGGCTAATCAGAAAGTGCTGCCTTTTTCAGATGTCTAATTTTTGTGAAATTTCATGTTGAAATTTTGATACGCAAACGTGTGCAAATGAATCTGGAAATTTCACGAAAAATAGACATCTGAAAAAGGCAGCACTTTCTGATTAGCCTATAAAGAGGGTGAGTATGCTTCTAAAGCCAAAAAACCCTACAAATTAAGCCTAAATGTGAAAATCAAAATTTGGCAAAGTGCGACACGTTTTTGTACATGTGGATGTGTGGCCTATGTTTACGCAGGCAGTCCCGTAAATAGGCCACATTTATGGGGCTAGGTAAAACAAAGAGATTACAAGGATTATACCTGGGTATCTTGCGAGGAGTTTGCAGCATCGTCTGTTCCCTCTGTGTCTCCAAGGCGCGTGTACACCGTTCGCCGCAACTGGGTCCGTTTTATAAGCCTGGGCTTGTCTTGCAGAACCTGGTGTATTTGTGTCACGGCCGATTTCTCAAACGACGAAAATGACTGCGACGGAATAGACATACAAAAATTGGTGAATATAATTATATATAATTGGTATATGATACGAAAACAACATCAGTTGGCTTTTCAGAGCTACTGCGCGCGTATCTTGAAGGCAGCACGCCCTACATCATGTGCTCGCGTCACGTCACTTCCAAAATTGTTTTCCAGACTGCGCGACTAATCTCCGACAGGGAAAATCTGGAGGGCTTGTTTATGCAATAAAAATACCTGTATCATTATAAATTCTAGCAACATGGCGTTGAAATCTCATCTTTAAAAGGATGGATTCTAAAATTTGATTCTTCAAAATTGAAAGCCCTGCGTCGGGCGTTAAACGCATTGACTATTGTCCTAAACAAGGATATTTAAATTACAAAGTACCGGGGGTTAAGATCGGGCAAAGCATGGTTGGAACTAACAAGATCGCTTAACAAGATCATACCCACAGGAACGAGGTTGGGTAAAACCCTTTAAAGGTACAGTCCATCATTTGTAATTTGTGCATTTTGTTCGCATGAAGCGACACAAGTGCTCAAAATCTAAAGAAGGGTGCTGAACAACTAACCTGATGAAATTTCAGCTCAGTTTCAGCTGTATATTTCGAGAAAACAACAATCTAGGATCTCGATTTCAAATCAGAAGTTGCTGAATCAGTTTTGATTTGGGCCTGAATTCAGCGTCTGAGACACGTTCTCACTGGGCCAATTGCAGCTACGCGATGCCGCGCACTGATCCGACAAATTATAGCAACGGTGCGCGTGTGTGCGTCGTGTCAACGCTTGCGCTCGCTTCGCCCAATAAAAAATAAACTACTAAAACGGAAATTTCCAACGAAGTGTCTTTAGACGCATCACTGGAAAGGCCTTCTTTCGTTGATTTCTTCAAAATGAAAGCATGCCAGAAAGAACAATTTCACAAGGAGTTTAGTTCCCTTACTATCTTTCAACTAAGTATGTTTTTCAACAAACGTCAGTTACTTTTTTGATAGCTGCAAATTGATGGAGTTAGCTTTAATGTTTTTCATCTTTACCTTCCCACTGTTCTTGCCCGTCGCCAGTCTAGTCTTGTCGTGCCATTTCTGGATCGTGTCGTACTGGAACGTCTCAAAGTCTTTATGCCTCTTGGCCAGAAACTCTCCCAAGTCGCCGATGTCTGGTTTCCTCTTGCGCTGTTGGTTGGTCGGTCTTTTGTGGGAACGGCCAGGAGGGGATGAGAGTTCTTCGTCCTCGTCAGAACTTGAGATCTCCTCGTCGCTATCGTAAAAAATTAAAGAAAAAAAATGAACGTTGATAGGCTGGTTCCGTATGGTACCCCCTCAACAGTAAGAAAGGGAGAGTTTGGGTACACTACTGCGAGAGTAATTTAAAAAAAAAAAAAAAAAAAAAAAAAAAAAAGGAAGAACTGCTTACCTGTCTTCTTTAGACGCATCTTTACCTTCAACGACGTGGCGGGTTGCTTGGTTGCCTAGCAACAGTGCCTGCTGTAGATTGATGAGCTTTTTCAAGAGTTTCTTCAGCTGCTGGCTGCCTGTACAAAAAAAATAGGACACAATTTCGAAGTAAATTCAATCACTTTGCAATTTTATTTGATTCCTATGATATGAAACACGTTCAATAGAAATTACATGTATGTTTTTGTTTTATCGTGACACTGTATTTTTATTCGCCTATTTTTCAAGCTAAATTTTCAAGAAAAAAAAAAAACCAGAGTTGGGTCAAGACTGGTCAAGATTCAAAAAGATTCAAGAACACATTTATTCCATACTCCTTTTGGAAATACATCGATAATTGAAACAAATTAGTGCATAGGAAAATAACCAAATCACTATATTTCGAACATATAATAAACAAAATAATGTACGCTTGGAACTAATAATAAAACAAGTCAGGTGTGTTTACAAACACAAATGCCCCGCAACCGTGACTGTTTCCATGACATAACACCACTCTAACATCAACTTACATGTACCTTGGTCAAATGGAACGTTCATTGACAGCATTAGTGTCTTCTGTAGGTTTTATATGAATTAATCCCTAATCCCTATGATCTCAGATTAAATACAAGATTTCTATTGTTTTTAGCCACTGTGACCTTGACCCTTGACCTTTCGACCCCCAATGCGATAGGCTCCTTAGGATTACCAAGGACAATCCACAAACCAAATTTGAAGTTCATATGTAAAGTATTTCTCAAGTTATCACGCTGACAAAATTTCTATTGTTTCAGCCACTGTGACCTTGACCCTTGACCTTTCGGCCCCAAATGCAATAGGCTTCTTAGGATTACCAAGAACAATACACAAACCAAATTTGAAATTCATATGTAAAGTATTTCTCAAGTTATCGCGCTGACAAAATTTCTTTTGTTTTAGCCACTGTGACCTTGACCCTTGACCTTTCGGCCCCAAATGCAATAGGCTTCTTAGGATTGCCAAGGACAATCCACAAACCAAATTTGAAGTTCATATGTAAAGTATATCTCAAGTTATCGCGCTGACAAAATTTCTTTTGTTTTAGCCACTGTGACCTTGACCCTTGACCTTTCGGCCCCAAATGCAAAAGGCTTCTCAGGATTGCCAAGGACAATCCACAAACCAAATTTGAAGTTCATATGTAAAGTATTTCTCAAGTTATCGCGTTGACAAAATTTCTATTGTTTCAGCCACTGTGACCTTGACCCTTGACCTTTCGGCCCCAAATGCAATAGGCCTCTTAGGATTGCCAAGGACAATCCACAAACCAAATTTGAAGTTCATATGTAAAGTATATCTCAAGTTATCGCGCTGACAAAATTTCTTTTGTTTTAGGCACTGTGACCTTGACCCTTGACCTTTCGGCCCCAAATGCAAAAGGCTTCTCAGGATTGCCAAGGACAATCCACAAACCAAATTTGAAGTTCATATGTAAAGTATTTCTCAAGTTATCGCGCTGACAAAATTTCTATTGTTTCAGCCACTGTGACCTTGACCCTTGACCTTTCGGCCCCAAATGCAATAGGCCTCTTAGGATTACCAAGAACAATACACAGACCAAATTTGAAGTTCATATGTTAAGTATTTCTCAAGTTATCGTGCTGACAAGATTTGTCCGGACACACACACCCACACACCCACCCACCCACCCACAAACACACCCACACACCCACCCACCCACCCACCCACCCACGGAAGGACAAGGCGGAAACAGTATGCCCCTTCGGCTTCGCCGCGGGGCATAATAAGAATTACGATCTATGTATGCGAGAAAAGAAAGAGCATGACACTGTTTAAGTAAGCCGACGCTTGTGAAAAAAAAACAGCCCGTACAGACAAAAGAGCAATACAACAACTACAAACGAAACAAGGACGGGACAGACGAGACAGAAAAGACAAGACAAAAGCTGACGGCAAAATACTACAAAGAAGGAATGTAATATCTGATGACGACTAAAAAACTGAAATAAAGAAGGAGAAAAATAAAGCTATCTTACATAACGAGAGGAGGACTCTTTTATTGAAAAAAAATCTTAAATCGACCGACGTTGAAATTAGTTGAAAGGTAACAGGAACTTACTGGAGTGCAGCGTCTCTTGAACTGCTTGGCCCCCCGTCTGGACGAAGGCCGCCTGCTTGTCATGCACTGGAAGCTGATTGGCTATTGCCAGGGCTTTCTGCAGCTTGATCCGGTTCTCGATGAACGTGTCCCATAATGCTGTGCCAAATGAAAAAACACACCTGATCAGAGAAATGCGAGGCTTCCCCAGACCCACTTCGTGGTGGGGAGGGAGGTGGCTTCTCTCCCCGTTGCCTGCTTTGTAGGTTGTCGTGGGCAAGTCTTACCTTTCTAAAATCTAACCACTCTACAATTCAATTCATTCCAGTACTTTATGCTGTAAATCTTTGGCATTTTGCACGGAACCATTTGTAATCTACAAAAAATCCAACACGGCAATTATGGTCCTGAAGGCACATTGGATTGATGTACTTGTGGGTCTGCATTTTTGTACCGTACATGTACGGCTGATGGGAACGAGTCAACTCACTCAGTTGAGCCTTGGTGGCTCTGCCCTTGGCGACCTCCTCCTCGACGCTCACTGAAGAGAATGCTTGCACTCCGCTCGCCGCCTCCTCGTCGCTATGGTAATCGTCATCTTCATCTTCACTGTCACCATCATAACTGTCATCATCCCCGTCAGTGCCGTCGTCCAAATCATCATTATCCAAATCATCATCATCAGCATCATCATTATCATCAACGTCTTCGCCATCTGAGGATTCCTCATCCAATTCTCTCTGGATCTTCTTGAAGGCGTCTTCGATGGACCGCGTTCTGCGCTTCTCATCACCAATATCCAATTCCTCTTCGTCGGACGTGTTGTCGCCGGACTCTGGGTACGTCTGGTCATCGTTACTATCAACAGCGTCATCATCACTCTCGATAACATTGCGTACATTCTTGGAGCTCGGTTCGACGTCATCTGCGGGGAGAAGAAAATGAGCATGTGAAAATCTAGTCCGAAAATTTGGGACTCTCAATACTGTGTATGAGAGTCCCAAAACTTAAGGTATTGAAAACATGCAAAACAAGAAAATAGACTGGCACCTAAAACAACCAGTCCAACACAGCTGCAGTACTGCATCAATCAGCCATGCCAAAAGAATTTAAGAAAGCGGGAACTAGTCTCGATTTACTACGCATTTCTCCTTAGTAAAGCCACCAGACTATTGACACTGAATGAAGAGGTCAGTCTTTCCAAATAGTTGGACGGCTTGGACCATGGTTGGACATGTACCAGTCTAGTCTTTAGCCCCATTTTGGAATCACTTAACTTCCTTCTCATGTGCAAAATGTTGAAGAAAAGTCTCCTTTAAAAATTGAATTCAGTCTGCAAACTTGGTTGGTGAAATACTGAGGACATTTTCTTTGCCCCAGTGGAATTTTTGGAGAAATTTGCTGGCTAAACTGTGAGTAAAGTGGACCTGATTTAGTTTTGCACGTTTCAGAGCCTCCAGAGCCCTGTCTGATGAAAAACATGACAACACTTCGGCTTTACAGGCACACATTGGACCAGGCTTTTTGAAAAATGGAAGAGGCAGCGCCCTCCCCTTTTTTCCCCCCAAGATGGCGAATTTTCCAAGATGGCGGTTGGATTGTTCCATTTTCTCAACTTTTTTGCCAATTCAAAATTGTGTCCAAAGGAGCCATCACCCTTTCTACAAAACTACAATTTTGTTGGAAACAAATAAAAAGACAACATATTGACAAATTTGCTAAATATCTTGCAATCAAAATAAAAGAGCAGGCAGGCAGAAAAGGAAGCGGGTGGGGATGAGAAACTGTTTCCTTTTTTACTGGGCGTTGGGGTTGAGGACTTCTTACCATCCCACAAGTCCAAGGTCTGCCTGGATGTGGTTCGTCCAGCGTAGCGTTTGTCTTCGTCAGCTAAGACTCCCGCAGCTTTCCTGCGTAGTTGGCTTGGCCTTATGTCCGAGATGTCTTCAAATTCTTCCTCAAATTCAGCAAGTTTAGCTTTGGTCTCTGGAAAAAAAATTAAGCGTAGTGACAAGTGATTTATTTAGGTTTTTTTAACAGATTCCCTGAACCATAAATTAGCATGATTAGGTAGGACTACAATTTAAAAAAAGTTATCTGACATCACTTTATACAATGTTATAGCGTTAGGCCTAATTTAAAAAATATTGAAAAAAAAATTATAAAAATCGAGGCCGAAAAACTTTTCGATTTTTATTGGAAATGTTAGGCCTAATGCAGGGGCTGGGCGCCATGGGCAGTGCGCAACGGGGAGGGGGGGGGGGGCTACTTTTTGTGCACAATCACCATGATCACCAACATACTTCATTTTTTCCAATCTTTAAACAACTTAACAAGAATGATAAAAAATCCGAACTCCCCATATCGTGCGTGAAAAGCTTGGCTTCAGGGTACACACCTGTAAATCGATCCGCCAAGCTCATGAATAAAAGTTATACCCTCAAAATATTCTATATTAGAGAGTTCTGAGCGCCGTAAAATTGGGGAATTGAAGAGATATGGTAGTGAACCTCTAGCCCGGACTTGGGGCTTCCAATTCTGAGCATTTTGGATGCTATTGGGCTCGAAAGTGGCGCTATTTTGCCATGTTGTGGAGGGATCGTTTTTCAAGATGGCTACTTTTCCGCTTTGGGGAAAATAGGGGTCGTCTTCTTTGCGTGAAAATATCTCGAAAAGTCAATGGTCAACCCACCATAAATTGAAAAGAAAATGAAAGATGACACATTGATCATCATTTTTCTGTGCAGCTTGAATACCTGTGAGAGTTTTGAGTATTTTTAAAAGAATTTTGAAGTACGGGCATTTAGCACTAGTGTCTATGGGAGTTTATTTGCAGGTATGCACCCTATAAAGAATCACAAAGATGGCCGTTTCGCGCATGCGCTGTGCCGCGGCAGTGGTCTTTTCAGTGGGCGGAACCTACGGGGAGGGGGAAAAAGTGTTTTAAAGGTATCAACAAGGGTTTTTTGCCGTAACGGATGCTTCCAAATCATAAGGGAGCAGTAGGCTATCACCCGATTACAACAATTGATACTTGAAAAGGGGGGGGGGGGCATTTTGAGCTTAAAAGTAGCTGGAACTCAATTTATTGTCGCTGGGGGCGCTCTACAGCTTAGCAGGGGCAAAACAATCACTATTTTCGGGCTTAATATCTACCTCGGATAATATTTTTCTTTCATTTTTTTTTTCAAAATATTGACTTTGGAGATATTCTGCTTGTCCTGAATGTGATTTTGTGTTAAAATTTAAAAGTTGCCTGCTATTATAGGGTACACACCTGTAAATCGATCCGCCAAGCTCATGAATAAAAGTTATACCCTCAAAATATTCTATATTAGAGAGTTCTGAGCGCCGTAAAATTGGGGAATTGAAGAGATATGGTAGTGAACCTCTAGCCCGGACTTGGGGCTTCCAATTCTGAGCATTTTGGATGCTATTGGGCTCGAAAGTGGCGCTATTTTGCCATGTTGTGGAGGGATCGTTTTTCAAGATGGCTACTTTTCCGCTTTGGGGAAAATAGGGGTCGTCTTCTTTGCGTGAAAATATCTCGAAAAGTCAATGGTCAACCCACCATAAATTGAAAAGAAAATGAAAGATGACACATTGATCATCATTTTTCTGTGCAGCTTGAATACCTGTGAGAGTTTTGAGTATTTTTAAAAGAATTTTGAAGTACGGGCATTTAGCACTAGTGTCTATGGGAGTTTATTTGCAGGTATGCACCCTATAAAGAATCACAAAGATGGCCGTTTCGCGCATGCGCTGTGCCGCGGCAGTGGTCTTTTCAGTGGGCGGAACCTACGGGGAGGGGGAAAAAGTGTTTTAAAGGTATCAACAAGGGTTTTTTGCCGTAACGGATGCTTCCAAATCATAAGGGAGCAGTAGGCTATCACCCGATTACAACAATTGATACTTGAAAAGGGGGGGGGGGGGCATTTTGAGCTTAAAAGTAGCTGGAACTCAATTTATTGTCGCTGGGGGCGCTCTACAGCTTAGCAGGGGCAAAACAATCACTATTTTCGGGCTTAATATCTACCTCGGATAATATTTTTCTTTCATTTTTTTTTTCAAAATATTGACTTTGGAGATATTCTGCTTGTCCTGAATGTGATTTTGTGTTAAAATTTAAAAGTTGCCTGCTATTATAGGGTACACACCTGTAAATCGATCCGCCAAGCTCATGAATAAAAGTTATACCCTCAAAATATTCTATATTAGAGAGTTCTGAGCGCCGTAAAATTGGGGAATTGAAGAGATATGGTAGTGAACCTCTAGCCCGGACTTGGGGCTTCCAATTCTGAGCATTTTGGATGCTATTGGGCTCGAAAGTGGCGCTATTTTGCCATGTTGTGGAGGGATCGTTTTTCAAGATGGCTACTTTTCCGCTTTGGGGAAAATAGGGGTCGTCTTCTTTGCGTGAAAATATCTCGAAAAGTCAATGGTCAACCCACCATAAATTGAAAAGAAAATGAAAGATGACACATTGATCATCATTTTTCTGTGCAGCTTGAATACCTGTGAGAGTTTTGAGTATTTTTAAAAGAATTTTGAAGTACGGGCATTTAGCACTAGTGTCTATGGGAGTTTATTTGCAGGTATGCACCCTTCAGCGTGTTCAGTCCATATCGTTACTGGTAAAGCAAAGTTGCACAGTATTTGATGGCAATTATCGACAGTCGATTTTTGGCCCATTTTAATTTTGCACAAACCTGTATCTGAAGCATCCTCTGGGTCATAACTTGGAGCAGGATCGTTCAGCGCAGCAATCTGCTCCGCCAAACTCATCTTCGATTTGGGTTTGGTCATTTTGATGCTCTTTTCTATACTGTCATCAACATGTAAAATATACAACACGTGCAGCGCGCGGATGAACGGTCGAACTATATACCGCCCTCTTTTGGCGTGATGGGTTTTAACATTAGACTGTATCCCAGTCTCAAGTTTGTCCCCTGCATGCTGGAGGTACTGGAGGTAGGCGAAAGGGGCGGGGTCTTGTATTTAAATGACATTAGTACTTTTTTTATAAAGGCAGAGTAGGCGTGCTTCTTGCCCCATTCAATAAAATCTGTACAAAAGAAAGACAGAACTTAAAATTCAAGAGGTTGGAAGCAAAGGGAGAACTGCTCAGTAGTATGTCTGAACAAAAAAAAGTTTGCAGGCGATTGTTTTATAAAGAGTACTGATATTATTTCAGTGATGGACATACCTACAAAATCAATTTCCAGCATTTTACTAATTTCAATTAAAGAAAAAATGTCCATGTATTAAAAGAGTCAAATCAAACGTAATTTCAATCGATTTATGTGTAAAAAGTCTATGAAAACGGTGACATCAACACAAGAGAAAGTAATTAATCAGTTAGCATTTTCAATGTAATCTTTATTAGTAAGAATTATACACCATATACATTTCTATTAGTTATAAAACCAGATTTACATAGCTGTGATGATATACACAGTGAATTCGTACATGATTGAAGGAACACCATTTTGCAGCCATGTTTGTTAAATGGGTAAGCCACACTTTTTGCCTATTTTCAAGGCTGCGTGTTTCCCCTAGGGTTGGCTTAGTTTTATTCTCTAAAGACAAAAATTAAATGAAGAATATTTATTAAAGAAAAACAAAAAGAAAGGAAAAAAAACTAAGGGTTTCTGGCAAAATGAGACGAAACTGGAGAAAAAAAACGTAGCAGAAAAAATTCAATTTTTTTTTTAAATTGGGGTGATTTTTTATTGTACAAATGTATTGACATTTGTAATCTTTGATGTTTGTTACACATATGTTAAAGAAATAGTATAAAATTCGTGGAATAAAAGTGTTTAAAAAAAACAATAGGCATCTTCCACTTTTACGGCTACAAAACTCAAAACTATGAAGCCCTTTCTGTCAGTATTTTATTTATTTTAACATGTCGATAAATGCAAACTTTGAAAAACCATAACTTGTCAACGGAATGTCTGATTGAAATGCAACAAACAGTATTGTAAATCAAATTAGGTTTTGCCCTTCACCGACGTTTAAACACTGTATACTCAGTGTGTTACCTCCCGAGTGAAAGATGGAAAAAATCACTCGGGTGGGACTTGAACCCAAGACCTCCTGCTTTCAAGTGCAGACATCTTACCACTCGACCACCGAGCTAACGGGATCGGTTTGCTGGTTCTAATCTGATGTACATAGCAGCCGGGACCCCATGAACGTCGGTGAAGGGCAAAACCTAATTTGATTTATATCACCCCGACGCAAAATTTCATCTCATAAAACAGTATTGTAAGGAGATTTTCATTCTCTTCCCTAGTACAATGTACCTGCAAACCCTCATTTCGACCTCTGTCCAGTTCTGTCTCATTTTGCCTCACAAATAAACCCAAAACATCCAAAACCTCTACCTAACCTTATACCCTTCCTAGAACTGTCAAAGAGTTTGATAAATTTATCATCCTATCAGTATATCTGTACTGATATGTTTTGAATATTATAATTTGTGTCTTTTGTTTATTTACAATTTTATAACTATTTATTTATAACTTGCCAACCACTGTCCAATATTGAAAAGAAAAAGAGTACCTCGATGCAGTCATGTGAAACTCATTTTGAAAATAGAGCATTTTGAAGGAAAAAATATGAATGCCGATTGAAATTCTCCCTTGAGAACTAAAACATGACCTGTGACAATGTCTCTAATGTGACATTGTCTCATTTCGTTTCTGGACAAGTTCCGCACATTGTATCGAGTATATTAAAGGGAATATACATCATTTGCTTTTGCTGTAATTTTCAGAAATGGATGGAATTGGGGGTTGGAAATATATAGCAAATATAGTTACACTGACTGACTTTTTTGAGGTTTTGGGTTCGAAAATGCTATAAAAACCAAGAAAAACAATCGTTTTCCTGTAGTCTGGTTCCCTGACTCCATATAAGAAGAAACAGCAGTTTACATACATTGGGGAATTGTAAGGTCAGGGAACCAGTCTAGCTGGCTTGTACCCGTTCATAGGTGTGTAATCGATTGCAAACAAGTGCGATGGTCAATTGAGGCCAGTATTTGAAAAAAAAGCCAGTTTTTTTCCAACGCGGGTCGGCCGACCAGCGTTGGAAATTGATACAAAAATACCACTTTTCTTGAAAATGACAGTATACCAGGTGCCATGATTTTACAGGATGCTTTACACTGTCATTCACTAACAGTCCAGCAAGGTATTTCAAAATGATTTGGTAGTTTTATTTTTTGATGTTTGCAAATGTTGTATTTTCCCTTTAAGTTGCAGGATTCTGAACAACTTCCCCGCAATCTTCCCGCAATGAAGTTATCAGTATTGGTGAGTCAAGCAGTTGCTGATGAAAATTTCCCCCGGAACATGTCCGGGACAAATGCAGAGCTTCTTCCGGACAAAGTGAATGATTCTACCCGCAACTCGTCCGGAACTCGTCCCAGATATGAATTGAAACGGGCCCTTACGCCATGACTCTTGAATTGTGGCCGCCAATTGGCAGATGGGCACTATTCATTCTTGTGGCCTCGTAAAATTTTTATCTACCATCGGCTAGTTTTTCTGTGATTTCCATTATGTTTTGTTTTTGTAAGAGGGGAACATTATCTGCAAAATGTTAATTAGATGTGAAGATATTACATGAAAGCAAGATCAACTGACAGTACACGTGAACTCATAGACCTCTTGCCTGCCATGTTGACATCTCAAATCAACAGCTGGCGCTATCAAGATGCAACACATTTTCAATCTCGCAGCACCTTAATTGTTCATTGCTGATATTCTGTGATGTTGAACCATGTTTCACTGTTATCCACAATCTAACTCGATGGATCCAGTAACCCCGTGCGTAAAGATCGAATCCCCGAAGGCTCCAAATAGCGCCCTCGTGTGACGTCATCTGAACCGGATGATGAAGTAGATGACGAAGAAGACAAAGAAGGAGAAGAGGAGGAGGTAGCACAGGTAGCAGTTGTGGCCGGACCGCGCCATCTTGGTCAACCGGCCCATGGTGGAGGACAACAGGCCTCCCGACGTATCAAAGGTGTCATCCTAAAAAACAACCATGGAAAACAGTCTATTAAAAGGTGTCCTGGGTGTTGATAAAGCAACAGGGGCATTAAACAAGGCAACTGGGGTGTGAAAAAAAGCAACAGGGGTGTAGAAAAGGCAACAGGGCCTGGGTGTAGAAAAGGCAACTGGGTGTAGAAAAGGCAACAGGGGTGTAGACAAAGGCAAGGGGTGTAGAAAAGGCAACTGGGGTGTAGGAAAGACAACTGGGGTGTAGAAAAGGCAACAGGGGTGTAGAAAAGGCAACTGGGATGTAGAAAAGGCAACAGGGTGTAGAAAAAGCAACTGGGGTGTAGAAAAGGCAACAGGGGTATAGAAAAGGTGACAGGGTGTAGAAAAGGCAACAGGGGTGTGGAAAAGGTGACAGTGGTGTAGAAAGGTGACAGGGTGTAGAAAAGGCAACTGGGGTGTAGAAAAGGCAACATGGTGTAGAAAAGGTAACTGGGGTTTAGAAACAGGGTGTAGTGAAGGCAACAGGGGTGAAGTAAAGGCAACAGGGGTAAAGTAGGGGCAACAGGGGTGTAGAAAATGTAAAAAGGGTGTAGAATGTGCAACAGGGGTGTAGAAGAGGGAATAGGGACATAGAAAAGGCAACAGAAGTGTATAAAAGGCACCAGGGGTGCACAAAAGCCAAATTCCTTATTTATTTCTGATAAATGTGACAAGAGATGGACATTAAGGAGACAAGATTGAAATGAACAATTACCCCTCCCAAACAAAACAAATCAGGCAGAACAATTTGCAGAACACTTTTTCTTGCAACTTGGAATTTGTGTGAGCTTCGTCTTGCCATGCATGCTTCAAACTTTTCATGATAAACAAAAACCTGATTTTCAAGCCAGCCTACCCCAAGTCTCAAAAGTGTCGAATAAACTTTTCAGCATAAACTTACCAACTGCTTGAGGAAACTGTTCTGCTCTCGTACTTCAGTCCCAATATCGATGGAAAGCTGCACAGAAAAGCCAACAACAAATTGGTAAAAAAATGGCAGACACGTCTTTCAAAATTCTAGTAGATAATATAAAGTATTCGTCATCTTTTTGATACAATATTTTATCAGGGAAATGTTTGACTTGATATTTCAATTGTTGCCCTTACTAACGAAAACCTCGTACAAAAAAAAAGCAGCCCCCTCTAGTATAGTTTTTAATCTCCGCCCCCAACAGCACATTTGTTTTTACTTTCACATGGAAATTTGCGGTTGCATCGAAATTATCCACAGTCAACTAACTACAGTTTTGTGTTTTTGTTCAGTTGTACTGCCATTGTGGTATTGACCTATCGCGGTAGAATCGCGTTAACGCAGCTCGCGCAATATTGTCCAATGACATGATATACAAATGGACGCGGAACGCGCATAATCTGAGACGAACAAAACTTAGTGTACAAAAACTCCATAGGGTTGTCTAATAAGGGGTGGGCTATTAAACTCACAAACGGTGATAGGTCAATTCCTGAGGTAACTGGTTAAAATCTTGCACGGGACATTTTTTTTTTTTTTACCTAAAATTGATTCAAAGTGATCCCGTCAACTTACCGATTTGAGCGTGGAGACTTTTTCATGTAGACTGTCCACGAGTCGCTCGTTTTCATCTTCGACTGCGTTGTAGTCTGAGTAGGTGTGATTGCCACTGGCTTCCACTTTCATCACAACAATTAAATTAAAAATGGAATTTAGTTTGTGTTTTGGTGAATGTTTCGGCACACATTTTTCAAAGTAAATATGTTGTAAGACCAACACAAATACATTATTGAAAACCCTCTAAATAAAACTAAGAAGTAAAGGTATTGTCTTGGTCTTCGGCCATCACATGTCCTTTACAACCGTGTAGAAACAACTTCACAATAGTTGCAGACCGTGAGTGCAGAAAAACATTCCAAAAAAAATCAGGCCAACTTTCAGGCGTGCAACTGGAAATTTAGGGGGGAAAAAAACAAGGAAATTCCAAACCACACAAGACTTTGTACAGTGTTTTTCAATTTGTAATGGCATTCATGAGAAGTAAAAAACGAGGAAATCAGCGGAAAAGTTGGATCCCTGAACTTTACTCTCTCTTTTGATGACAAATTCTCCAAAATATCAATATTAATAAGGCAAAGACAAGGTCCTCAGTATTTCACCAGCCAAGTTTGAGGTTTTAATTCAAATTTTAAAAGTGACTTTCTTCAACATTTTTTTGCACCTGAGACTAGTGAAGCCAAGTGAATGATTTCAATTTCAACCGCACTTCCGCTCCGAAAATCATTTTTTTCTCCGGACTCTTGGCCTCCATAAAATCAAAAAAGGAGGGGGAGGGGGGGGGGGGGGGCGGCTGGTACCCTTCTGCCAAATATCAAAACTGACCATTATGATGCATACTGGAAAATATATGCCCATTTTCACGGCGCATTGTAATGGTTTTGGAGCTTGTGATTTCCTCTTTTCTTTAACCATTTATGAAAATAGTTACTGAAAAAATGGCTTTCACAAAAATCAGGCCGGGGGGGGGGGGGGCAAGGAGATCGAGCCCCCCCCCCCCCCCCCCCCCCCCCCGGATACATTACTGTACTAAACCAAATGTTTGCTTCTGTACTGTGTTCTCTTAGTATTGTACAGTTTAAAGGGAACATGAAATAAAATTTTGATTGCATTTTTTTTGCTTAAATCAATAAAGGATGATGTTCTTAACAATATTTTGTGTATGGCGGTGTTTATTTTCTAAGATAAATGGGGGAAAATAATTTGTGAACATGTTTGGTCAAACTACTCCGCCCCACAAAGGGAAGCTTCATTAACATAAAACTTCGCGAGGGGTATGACGCAAGCGGAGGCAGAGACTTGCCGCGCTGCGGGTGCACCGGCATTGCGGCGTGCATCATAATACATGTACATATACATTGCGGCACTGAAAGTTTTTCTGGTGTTTCGTTCGGAATCGAGGAGAAATAACACCCGATTTTCGGCCATGCCGACAAGGTGTGTGGCTGCTGGGTGTAGCAAAACTACCAAGGATGGAGTAAGCCTTCATTTGTTTCCAGTAAATCCGAAATATCGGAGCATTTGGAGAGCCAAAGTGAAGGTAAATACCAGAGCAAAGTGGTCCGGGCCCAGTGAGTTCGCTGCCCTCTGCGCTGCACTTTGAGCCGTCGTGCTTTGATGCTGGTCTGTACAGCAACTTGGGCATGCCCCTAAAAAAACATCGAGTCAGTGTCTGAATCATTAGAACTCTGATTCGAATCGGACGAATCTGTACCATTTTCATTGGATTCGCTAAGGAAAGAAGAGGACGGTCTTCGGAACTTTTACGGTCATGACGGTCGTCGTTGTGTTCATTCGACAACGGTGGCACCGTGGCACGTCCACGTGTACTGTACATATCCCATGTAGACACATTCGTACGTGTGCATATAATGCCACGTACGGGTACGCGGCGGCTGCACATACACACACAGCACAGTAGCTTCGCTAATCCGTCTCGTACCCAGACGTCATTTACGGGCCCTGGATTTCTCTGCCTTTGTTTATGTCATGAACAGCGCCCTCATTTGGAGTTGCCGCGAAAATCAAAAAGGGGGGGTTCAATTTTGGACGGCAAATTACCACACTAAACGTACACCAGAACCAGTTCTGCTTTTAATTCACATTTAATACACATAAATGAATGTATATATAAAATAAAATACGTTATGAAAATTTTGGACTGCATGTTTCCTTTAAGTACTTACGACCTGCTCGCCTCATCCTGATTGGACGATTTGGGAGTCCTCAGATTATGTTGGATTTGGCTTAAGCTGATGCCACAAAGGGATTAGGATTAACAGCTAATCCTACCAGACACAATACAGGCAGATTTATGCAGATTTACACAGAGCTGTTGAGGATCATCAGTGGCTAACCCTGCAGACTGTTTCACTGTAACAAGAACGCGAGGATGAAGGACAAGTTTTATATAAATGTCAACATTAATTAAAGATTTTTTTCATGTTTTTGAAGGTAGGGTGGACAATTTGAAGTTATCAAAAAGTAACCGACCAAATTATTGTTGAAAAGCTTACTTGGTTTAGAGACAGTAATGACACTAAACTCCTGTGAAATTACTCCTTCTGGCACGCTGTCATTTTGAAGAAAACAATAAAGGGATGTTATTTCCAAAGATGTGTCAAGTGCCACATTTTTGGAAATTTCCATTTGTAGTTGGTTAATTGGGTGAATCTGTGAATATTTGGGTGGAAAGCGTTGATACGATGCACACGTAAGCCTACCGTAGGACCATTTTGCAATTTCGGACTTTATTTCTATTTTCCGATAAAACGCCTATTACTAGGCCTAGGCCTATACGGAATAACTTTCATAAATTATGCACTGTCATTAGCATGATTAGTGTCAAGTGTCATGACTGTAGTGAAAGAAAGCGGCTAAATAAGCCCATTAAAAATATATCGTCAGACCCCCTATACGCAGTCCTATTTCTACGCACCCAACTTCAAATGGTGTGAAACAACACGCGTACACGCGCGCGTTGCAAGCGTTAATTTACCACTATCGTGACACTTCCTTTTCATTTGCTTTTTTCAATTAAAAAATGTCAAACTTATAAATTAATTATAATTGACGCCGCTACCTTTTTGTATGTGGCACTATCGCTACAGCTTGAAGATACCCACTACATCAGAACTTGAACGATTTACGACTTAAAAACTTAATTGACATGATGAAAGGTGGTACTAACATATTGCCGTAATTTGTTAAGAAGTCGTGTCATTTTAGAAATGATTGGGCTTCTTTCCTTAATGACCTCCTCTCAGTACTCGAGACGTCTGGGTATCGATCGATTTTTAAAACTCTCTTGAGGGCGCTATACGGTAAGGTTTTAAACTCCGGCTTTATTCGGCATACGCGGATACAGCCTCGTCCCCAGGGTGTCGAGCAGTACGCGCCCACCACTACCTGCTCTCTCACCCTAGTATTGGATCATTTGCATGTGCAAGATTTTTGCACACGTATGCAAATGAGGAACAGTCAGGTGCCTGGATATGCGTTACACATTAGCGTTTGTTTTTGTATGCGGTGTCTGGGGTAAAAACAGAGTCAATTCGTAGCAGCGCGAGCACGGCGTGAGTTACGAAAACACGATTTTTGAAATCAAACTGTTACGATCTTATCGAGACAACATGCAGTATCATATTTCATATTAATATGAGCAAATTGGAAAGGAAATTAGTATTTTCGAGAAGGCGTGGACGAATGATCGCGAAAACACGTACTGCACGTTGTGAATATATAGCACCAAGTACACGATAAAAATCCATTACTAGCCAATTGCGGTATCCAATCAGGATACAGGAAGAAAGTTTCCTATCCAGGGTTTACTATTGGAAACGCCGTTGGAAATAAAGTAAGCACTGGGGACGAGGTTGACGCGGCTAGGCTTCAGATTTAGATCTTAGCCAAATTTGTGACCTGTTCTGTCAAAAGCAGACGCTTCTGGGCAGATGTTGAAATTGAGAAAGGGCCAAAAAACGCTGTGGGGGTGATTTTTATCGATTTTCAATTTTTTGTATATTCGTAATCCTGAACATGTCTAAAATATATTATAAAAGTTTGAAACCCTAATTTGAACTCTACATATACTATTTGGATGATTTTGATAAGGTATATCACTATTATCAGTTAAAGAAATAACTGTTTTGTGACGTTCGTGGCCATTTTCTCCGTTTTCTACTTTTCGACACAATGAACTTCAAAATAGCATAACTCTACACAGCAATGACCGATTTCAAAAATTAAACCACGTGTTAAAGGAAAAAGAACATATGTTAACAATATGTAAAAATATCATTTTCGACCTGATGCCCAGAAAAGACTGATTTTGACTCTTTATTGACGCATGGAGGTAGAATAAATATGATTCAGATACTGGCCACCTTTCAATAGCGCCAGCTTCTGGTCCAATATGCCCAGTCCGGCCCACAGAGCCAGCCGTCCAAATTCGCTCGTAGGCGCCCCCGCCCTACTGTTTGCACAATTGCAGGGCGAGGGGACTGAAGGGGGGGAGGGGGGGGGGGTCACAAGCGAAGCCGTCCAAAGTTGAACCATGGAGGAATACCTCCATGCTTGAACTGAGCCCAATTGGTCCGATGCATATGCGCCACACACTAGCTGTGACCCCCCCCCCCCCCCGGTTTTCGGTGGCCGCTGGTACGGTACGTACGTTACTAGGGGGAATCAAATCCTGATCAAATATGAGACTGACCGTCGAAAATTTTGTTGTCGACGCGTCCCCGCGAAGGGAGGGAAGGAAAGGTGGACAGTTTGACAGGGGAGAGGAGATAGAGGGACGGAAAATAGGAACAAAATAACATTTCAAACCGACCAGGGTAAACAAAAGTGTACTGAAACACTGTAGCCCTAAGGCCTGCCTATCCATGCTCGAATTGTCTACACAGAAAATGAATAGAAGAATACAATGCAAATAAAAATATAAAAATGAAAAGAAAATGAACGAAAAAAAAAAACCCAAACAAAAACCAAGCAAACCAAACCAAACCAAACCAAACCAAACCAAACCAATTCAAACCAAACCAATCCAATCCAACCCATACCAATCCAATCCAATCCAAACCAATCCAATCCAATCAATCAATCCAAACCAAACCAAACCAAAAAACCAAACCAAACCAAACCAAACCAATCCAATCCAATCCAATCCAAACCAAACCAAACCAAACCAAACCAAACCAATTCAAACCAATCCAATCCAAACCAAACCAAATCGGCTGATAAAAAAAACTTCACGTAAGGCGGATCCGGGGGGGGGGGAACGGGGGGGGGGGGCAAAGGGGGCCATGCCCCCCCCCCAAACGAAACCAATTTTTTTTTTGATGTGACATCGCAATAAAGGCAGGCAATGAGTACACCACCATCTTTTCCTCAAAAAAAATTGGGGTCAGAAATTGCCTCAGATCGCACCACAGAGCATCTAGAATCCAAACCCAAACCAAACCAAACCAACCCAATCCAAACCAAACCAAACCAAACCAAACCCAACCGGAACCAAACCAAACCACACCAATGCAAACCAAACCAAACCCAACCCAACCGGAACCAAACCAATCCAATCCAATCCAATCTAATCCAATTGAAACCAAACCAAACCAACCAAACCTAACCAAACCAATCCAAACCAAATCAATCCAATCCAAACCAAACCAAATCGGCTGATAAAAAAAACTTCACGTAAGGCGGATCCGGGGGGGGGGAGGGCCAAAGGGGGCCATGCCCCCCCCCCCCCACCCAAACGAAACCAATTTTTTTTTTTGATGTGACATCGCAATAAAGGAAGGCAATGAGTACACCACCATCTTTTCCTAAAAAAAAATTGGGGTCAGAAATTGCCTCAGATCGCACCACAGAGCATTTAGAATCCAAACCCAAACCAAACCAAACCCAACCCAACCGGAACCAAACCAAACCAAACCAAACCAAACCAACCGGAACCAAACCAAACCAATCCAATCCAATCCAATCCAATCCAATCCAAACCAATCCAAACCAATCCAATCCAATCCAAACCAAACCAAATCGGCTTATTAAAAAAAATTTCACGTAAGGCGGATCCGCAATCCAATCCAATCCAATCCAAACCAAACCAAACCAAACCAAACCAAACCAAACCAAACCAAACCAAACCAATCCAATCCAATCCAAACCAACTTCAAATGGTGTGAAACAACACGCGCGCGTTGCAAGCGTTAATTTATTTTCATTTGCTTTTTTTCAATTCAAAAATGGAAACTTATAAATTAATTATAATTGACGCCGCTACCTTTTTGTATGTGACAGTGACACTATCGCTACAGCTTGAAGATACACACTACATCAGAACTTGAACGATTTACGACCTAAAAACTTAATTGACATGATGAAAAGTGGTAGCATAATTCAAACCAATCCAATCCAAACCAAACCAAATCGGCTGATAAAAAAAACTTCACATAAGGCGGATCCGGGGGGGGGGAACCGGGGGGGGGGGGGGCCAAAGGGGGCCATGCCCCCCCCCCCCCCAAACGAAACCAATTTTTTTTTTTGATGTGACATCGCAATAAAGGCAGGCAATGAGTACACCACCATCTTTTCCTCAAAAAAAATTGGGGTCAGAAATTGCCTCAGATCGCACCACAGAGCATCTAGAATCCAAACCCAAACCAAACCAAACCAACCCAATCCAAACCAAACCAAACCAAACCAAACCCAACCGGAACCAAACCAACCACACCAATGCAAACCAAACCAAACCCAACCCAACCGGAACCAAACCAATCCAATCCAATCCAATCTAATCCAATTGAAACCAAACCAAACCAACCCAAACCTAACCAAACCAATCCAAACCAAACCAATCCAATCCAAACCAAACCAAATCGGCTGATAAAAAAAACTTCACGTAAGGCGGATCCGGGGGGGGGGGGGGAGGGCCAAAGGGGGGCCATGCCCCCCCCCCCCCCCCCCCCACCCAAACGAAACCAATTTTTTTTTTTGATGTGACATCGCAATAAAGGAAGGCAATGAGTACACCACCATCTTTTCCTAAAAAAAATTGGGGTCAGAAATTGCCTCAGATCGCACCACAGAGCATTTAGAATCCAAACCAAAACCAAACCAAACCCAACCCAACCGGAACCAAACCAAACCAAACCAAACCAAACCAACCGGAACCAAACCAAACCAATCCAATCCAATCCAATCCAATCCAATCCAAACCAATCCAAACCAATCCAATCCAATCCAAACCAAACCAAATCGGCTTATTAAAAAAAATTTCACGTAAGGCGGATCCGCAATCCAATCCAATCCAATCCAAACCAAACCAAACCAAACCAAACCAAACCAAACCAAACCAAACCAATCCAATCCAATCCAAACCAATCCAAACCAATCCAACCCAACCGGAACCAAACCCAACCGGAACCAAACCAGAACCAAACCAAACCAATCCAAACCAAACCAATCCAAACCAATCCAATCCAATCCAAACCAATCCAAACCAATCCAATCCAATCCAAACCAAACCAAATCGGCTTATTAAAAAAAACTTCACGTATAAGGCGGATCCGCAATCCAATCCAATCCAAACCAAACCAAACCAAACCCAACTGGAACCAAACCAGAACCAAACCAAACCAATCCAAACCAATCCAAACCAATCCAATCCAATCCAAACCAATCCAAACCAATCCAATCCAATCCAAACCAAACCAAATCGGCTTATTAAAAAAAACTTCACGTAAGGCGGATCCGCAATCCAAACCAAACCAATCCAATCCAATCCAAACCAATACAAATCGGCTTATTAAAAAAAAATTCACGTAAGGCGGATCCACAATCCAATCCAATCCAATCCAATCCAATCCAAACCAAACCAGAACCAAACCAATCAAATCCAAACCAAACCCAACCGAACCAAACCAGAACCAAACCAAACCAATCCAAACCAAACCAATCCAAACCAATCCAATCCAATCCAAACCAAACCAAATCGGCTTATTAAAAAAAACTTCACGTAAGGCGGATCCGTAATCCAATCCAATCCAAACCAAACCAAACCAAACCAAACTGGAACCAAACCAGAACCAAACCAAACCAATCCAAACCAATCCAAACCAATCCAAATCGGCTTATTAAAAAAAACTTCACGTAAGCTAGGCGGATCCGCAATCCAATCCAATCCAATCCAATCCAAACCAAACCAAATCGGCTTATTAAAAAAAACTTCATGTAAGGCGGATCCGCAATCCAATCCAATCCAATCCA